GTCCATCAGGTGCAGACTGGACTTGGTCTGGGGAGACATCTTAGGCTAAAGTTTAGTCAGGGGAAGTTTTTCAGAAGGGTGAAGAAGACCACCTCATGAATGAAGATGGGTCAGTTTGCAGAAAGGCTCAGGGCCGGCCTGTCCAGAGAGGGAAGGACAGGAGCAGAGACAGAAGCAGGAATGTGCCACAAGAGCAGCCGGAGGGTGGGAGAGGAAGAGGGAATGGGGGTCGGGGAAAGTGGGTGTGACTGAGTCTTATGTTCTTTGGGAGTGGAGAGGTGAGAGACAGGCACAGTGACCGTCACCTACCTCCCCTGGGTGGAGATGTGGCCCCTACACAGGCTCTGTGGGGGAATGACCACATTCCATGGAGTATACTCTGGTGGTCAAGTCCTGTTCATCTGCTCAGGGCTGAGCCTGGGCTGGGAGGTGGGGATTCTCCCAGTTTCCACTTTGGGATCTCTCCTAACCCCCTTCTCTGGCCTTGGGGTTCAGTTTGTCTGGCTAAATATTTCAGGGGGCTACAGTCTGTTTTTTAGGGAATGACATGCTGTCCATCCAAACCCTGCCAAACACACCGTTTCTGAGCCTGGGGATTCAGGGGAGCTCCTGACTGGGGCAGGAGTTGGGGGGAAGCGGGGCTCACCTGGAGGTTCCAGTTCACTTTCTTCAGTTCTTGCATCGCCAGGGCATCTTGAGAGTGTCTGAAGCAAGTGCAGTTGCTCCTGTGAGAAAAGGAATCTCATGTCGAGGCTCCCCTGGGGCTGCCTGGCTCTGTCCTCTTGGGAGACTTGCTCTGACACAGAGGCAGCAGCTACCCCCCAGGGACCGCAGCCTGTGCTGCCTCACATGGGGTGAAAGGACAACACGCAAATACCCCCAGAGCAAACCCTTGCTGCCTCCTAGACCCAGATCACACAACCATAACTTGGGGGGCATGAGGTCCAGAGGTGCTTTTTGAGGTTGGGGGAGTTGGCCCTACTGTCAGGTTTCCTTGAGCACAGGCTGCCTGTTTTCTTTGCCCCTGATGACTCCTTCCCAATTCTTTAGCCCTTAGGTTTTCTGCAGAGAAGGACTGGGTGGTAAGAGCGCTGGAGTTCGGGGAAGACCACCATGACAGCTCTGTCTTTTGGCACAGAATCACTCCCCATGCTCTTGAGGCCCCTCAGCTCCACCTCTGAGTGCTTTGGGCCCTCCCTCAGGGCTCCGGTGTGGGAAATGTGTTGGGAGCTGAGACACCATGACAAGGTGGAGCACAACCCCAGCAAAACTGGAGGAATCATTCAGAACCTCCCCTGGCCACGTGGGGCCTGGTTCCTAGCAAGAATGGAAATGGGTTGGCCGCCTTCACAGCAAATCCATTTGACCTCAGATAAGACTGGCTCCTCAGTGACCCACTGAATCTCCTCCCCCAGAGCAACAGTCACACAAACTCTGGGAGAGTTCATCTGGCTTCGGAGGATGGTGACTTCCTGTCAGGGTCCTGCTGATCTTTAAAGAAGATCAGTCCAGCTTCCAACAGGAATTCTTGCCTTGCCCACCAGGACCTTGCCTTAAGTCTTAAGGATCATTTGGTCTTTGTCTCTCACTTCACAGAAAAGCAAATTGGGGTCCAGAGAAATGGACCTGCACAGGGTAGTAACATAGAGGCACTATGATTCAGTAACATAGAGGCACTTTCAAATGATTCTCCAAGCCCCTGGACAGGTATTCTGGCTCTGCCTGCACTGCTCTCCTCCACCTGTGAGCCCTGCCCTCCCCAGGTGCCCTTGCCCTGGGATCATGACCTGTTCACTTACAGAGCTGCCAGCAGCATGGTGCACTTCCTGTCTGGGCCCTGGTACAGGCTGGTCAGCTCCATGACCTCTACCACGTTGATAAACGCCCTCGGAAGCTGCAGGGAACAGAGGGATGGGCTTCATGAGTTCACACACAGCTGTGGGGAGAAGACACTGGCCACTGCTGGAAGGAGTCTGAGGGATTGTCTGTTTAATTTTTTTTCTTTTTATGGGGTTGGGGACTCTTGCTCCCAGGGAGGCACTAGGCAGCTGGGTTGCTGGCAGGACCTGCCATTCCCACCTCTTCATAGAAGATGTCCAGGGCCTGCTGAATGTGCTGAACATATTCCTCGGTTGAGTGGCCCTCCTGCAAAGAACATGGGGGGCTCTTTTCAGTTGTTACATTCCACTCAGAAGATAGGAGCACAGGAGGCTTCAGCTGATAGCAAGGGGTGGGGCACAGAGGGGCTTTGGTGGTCCTGGCCAGGCTGGAAAGCCCAGTCTTGTTGCTGGTTGATCGAGCGTGCCCTATAAGAAGTGGAACCCTTTATGCTCCTATATCCCCCTGTCATGCTTTGTGACTCAACCCAAGGGACTCCTATGACCCATATCCCCGACTAGAGGCTGATTTAAAGGTACCTCACAGTGCCCTGGGTGATGTGTATGGAGAGCATAGTAGGTGCTCAGTAAGTGCTTGCTGACTGACTCAGGGTTTTGCTTCATAGCATGAGGAAGACAGTCATATTTTCGGATATAGCTCTGGGCTCCTTAGAAGGCATCAGAAGAAGACTGACACCAGAGGATGGGTGATGCTCAAAGCTCTCACGCCAAACATGGATAAATGCCTGTTGGCAGGAGTGTGGTGCCTGGCGCCGTACCAGGCTCACAGGCAGGAAGTAGGGGATCAGACAATCTATTTCTTTTTCTTAACACAAAGAGCCTCGACCAGGTGAGGGCTGTGTGCTCAATTCCAGCTCATTGCTAGACACAAGACATGGCCCATGGACACCTGATCATGGATGAGCTCCTGCCCCCAGATGCCAGAAGAGGTGCTGAGAGTCAGCGAGGAGGGGAAGCAAACAAAGAAGAAAGCCAGGCTGAAGAGCTGCAGCGCGGCCTGGGGTTCTCTTCTCCAGGAGTCTGCCCTTTCCTGCTTCTGCAACTCGGCCTGAGTAACCTGGTGGTGGCCTCCACATCCTTTTTCACAAAAACCTGCTCTCAGGAGCATGGGCTTGGCTGTTTGCAGGAAGGACAAGTATTCTGGGGCTGCAGAAAGCATTTCCTTATACCAAGTGTCCACAGGCAACCTGGACACCTCTGGTTTCCGGGGAGTCCTGTGGGCCTGGACACAGTATTATTGAAGTCCCCAGGCAGCTGGGCCCCTCCTGCCTCGCAAGCCTGGGCAGGAGGAAGAGAAGGGGCTGGGAGAGCTGACCCCTGTGTGGGCAAGGATGATCCCATTGAGGGCTTCAGAGTTGTCCTCCATGAGCCACAAAGAGTAAATGGCTTCTCCCCACACCCTGACCGTCCAGTACTCGATCACACCCCCTCAGTCAGGGAAGCTGCCTTTTTTTCTGGCCACATAAAATACAGGATGTCCCCATCTTAGAACAAGATGTGTTCCAAAAGTTGCGACTTCCCAAAGTTTGTTAGCCCGGACACGTCTCCCCATAGAGACACTGTTAGGAATGGGGTCAGGCTCCCAGGCTAGCCAGCTGAGGTTGGTTAACTCACGAGAGCCCTGAAGGCAGCAGACCACCCTATCAACTCTAACCAACCTCATTTATAGGATCATTTTACTTCCTCTGCAAAATGGGGAGAAGACCCCAGGTGGGCATGGGGTAGAGAAGCACTAGGCACCTATCTGAGTGAGCAGGATACCAGATGGTGGCACCAAGTGCCTAAGAGAAACAGTCTCCTCATCAGCTGGAAGAGCGGGTCCATCTAGACCCTTCTTCTGAAATCCAAGGGCCACTCAGGCAGTAGGAAAGGCCAGTCTCACCTGCTATGTGTGAAGGGATTGGGGGGGGGGTGTTGCCTGGGCAGATTCAGGAGACTGGAAGCCTAGGCTAGTGTGATTCCCATGAGAGAGGAACATGAGACAGGGTCAGGACCCTGGGCAAGCATAATGACCAAGGTCAGCAACTTCATTTCTGGTCCCTGATGGAGTTGATCAAGGGCCTACCGGATTTTCGCAGTAGTGACACAAGTCATTGACCCCAATGAAGAGTGTGATGAGCTTCCAGTCTTTCTTCAGGTTGACTTCCTGAGGGAACAGATCCTGAGTTTAAGCCCTGGGGCATGTGAGGTGGCACCCACCAGGCCACCCAGACAGATCCCATGACAGAGAAGGTTGAAGGGGAGGGTGCCTCACTCTCATCTTGGTGCCTAGGAGGTGGAGGAAGTTCTACAAAGTGTGTGTGTGTGTGTGTGCGTGTGTGTGTGTGTGTGTGTGTGTGTGTGTCGGGGGGAGTGTTCAGCTCACACAGTCGAGCAGAGTCGATTTCCCTTTGAAATCCTCTTAAAAGAACTGCAGTCCATGAAGTGGGGAGTGGACATGTTCCACCCTTCCCTGAGCCCATTAAAGGCTGACTGGATTAACACGCCTCTGAAATGTGATCTAAAGCCTTCCAAGGAGCAGAGGGCAAACATGCAGCTAGAAGTCAAAGCCGGGCTGCCTCTTAGAAGCCTTCTTGGGGCCTGAGTCTGAGGAGGGAGAACTGGAGCCACAGCCCGCAGGGCCAGGAGGCGGGGTGGGGGCCGGGGAGGCCCTGGGAGCAGCAGCTTCCCGCTCAGCCACCACCATAATAGGAGTCCTGCCAGGAGCTCCTTCCAAGGCATAAACACAGAGCATTTGAAAAAAAGTGCCAGCTCAAAGTTTCAGAAGGGCCGGGTGAGCAGGAAGGAGGAAGGATTGGAATGAGGAGCCTATTTTTAGTACCTTGCGTTTATATAATAGGACTCTGAGAAGCCAGCTCTTGGGTAAAGAGGAGGCTGCCAGAGTCCCAGGCCCCGTCTGTTCTTTCTTCCACCGTGCCCTCTCGCAGCCTACCCTAGGGGCACAGGGCCCGAGGAGGTCCCCTGGCCCCTCTCCAAGGCCAGCTGGGAGTAGGAGTCCCTGGGTGCTCACAGCTGGTCAGTGGGGGCCCAGGGCCTGTACTCACAGGGCTGGTTTTCATCTGCTCCACCAGGTCTCGGGCCTGGGCTGGCATGTCCCTAGGCAGGGATAAGAGAAAGGACCTTAGAGTCACCCAGAAACAAGGGCTCATGCTGTGGGTTTTGGCCTGGGAAGAGCGATGCTTCAGGAAGAAGAACATTCTACAAAGGCTACTCTTTCCGAACCCGTCAACCAGCTTCTGCTCTCCAGAATCTCAGCCAAGTCCTCCTCAGAGAACTGCTGTGGACCTTGAGGCCACCTTGACCCAGACCCTGACACCTCGTTATCTGTATCCAACTACCCGCTTCGGCAGGGCTGGGCCTCACTGGACACTTGGCTGGAGACGCGGTCAACCTTCCCGTCAGGGATTTTCTTGCTACTTTGTCAGTCTGCTTCCCTGGGAGCTGAGCCTGTTCATTTCTTATTCGATTGCCTGTTTTAAAAATAACCTTTTGTATACTTGAAAAAAGTCACAGACCTAAATTACCCCTCAGCTTTCTCCTCTCCCAGCTTAATGACTCCTTTAACCTTTACTTCTAAGTCCCACTCTCTGCTCCTTTAATCCTTCTGTTTTTCTTCCCTGGGGTTACTTGGATGTCTCCTCACATTTTCTTTTCTTTCTTTCTTTTCTTTCCTTCTCCTTCCTTTCCTATTTTTTATTTATTTATTTTTTTGCCTCTCTCTAACAAAACATGGTTAGTTCTCCCTTCATCCCCTAGATGCCTGCCATATAGAAAACAATAAATACTGCATTCTGGAAAAGTGATATGCATGCCGAAAGAATATCATTTAATAATAAAAAGGAATGATCTATGGCTCCACCCAACATGGATCCTTCTCAAAATAATTTTTGCTGGATGAAATAAGTCACACACACACACACACACACACACACAGGAGTACACATTCTTTGATTTCATTTATATAAAGTTCTAGAAAATTGGGGCTGGGGTTATGGCTCAGTGATAGAGCGTGCGCCTTGCACGTATGAGGCACTAGGTTTATCCTTAGCGCCACATAAAAATAAATGAAGGTATTGTGTCCAACTATAAGTAAAAAAAAATATTTAAAAATAATAAAGTTCTAGAAAATTCAAAGTAACCTATGGTGACAGAAAGCAGATCAGTGGTGGTCTGAGATGGGGATACTGGGTAGAGCCAGGAAGAAGTGGAATGGAGAAATTATGAGGGGGTACAAGGAAACTCCTGTGGGTAATGGGCACATTTGATCTTGATTGTGGCTCCACAGGTATATACATGTGTCAGGATTTATTGAATTGCATACTTATTTTGTGTGTGTGTGTGTGGGGGGGGGATCGAACCCATGGCCTTGTGCATGTGATGCAAGTACTCTACCAACTGAGCTGTATAAAGTATACAGCCCCGAATTGTATACTTTAAATTCATACCATTTATCACGTGTTAGTTACATTTGTTTCTTTAAAAAAGAGATGTATATGAGAAGTTAGGTCATCAAAATGCATACAGACAGTGGAAGTTTCTATGAAAGAAGCCATAAAAGTAATAACTGATGTGGGATGGCCGTTTAAGACCTCTGTGTGGCCGAGCCCACAGGGGACCACGCCTGTCCTTTTTTCCCCTGGAGGAGAGTTGGCTTCCTGTGCACTAGTGCTACTGATGAGAACATCAGAAAACTACAAAGGAAGCCTGTCCTGGGTAAAGGTGACCCACCACAGCATGCTTGTGACCTTTTGATCGGTTCAAGATGTGATGAAGAGAATTTGCAGGTGAGAAGCCCTCCCGGGAGGAGTAGGGACAGTGAGGAACGTCCATGCCCTCCTTCTTCCCAGCCGTGTTCTCCCCACCCTCAGGCCCTGACCAAGTCCTGCTTCCCCAGGAGACTTTGCTCTGTGCTCATTTGTCCACATTCTCCGTTTCCTCCTTGCCCAGAGCCCGGGGCTTCTGCTTTCAGTGCTGCTGTTACCTTGCTCTGAGCTCGCACAGCCTGCTGAATCCTGCCTACTGGGGCTGGCTCTGCATCTTGTAAAGGAGCAGGTTGGGCTAAATGATGTTGGGGGGTTCTCGCTAATTTTCCCACACTCTACCAGGTGCCAGTCGGGGCAAGCCTGTCCTTGGGCAGTGGGACATCTGTCTTTGGTTCACGCTTTACACTCTTCTGTTCTAACTGTTGTGCGTGACTAAGTATCAAATCATGTCAGTCTGCAGTGTCGCCACACACAACACTGTCTTTCCCCAAAAGTTATTTCCTGTTTGCTTAGTCTTCTTAAGTAGACCGCAAGCTCTTTGTGAGTAGGGAGTTCACCTTTGGATTCTTTTGTGTCTCTTAGTAACCACCTTGAGGCTTCCTCCTTTGCAGGTGTTGAGTGAATTCTTGCTTGTTGGTTGATGGAAGAGAAGTTAACTGTTAAGTAAAACTTTGAAACTAAGCAACCTGATAACGGCAAACATTTTTATGTGTACATGCATACTATATACAGTTCTAAATTCTTTTCAAGGATCATTTACCTCATTTAATCCTTATGGCAACCCTGAGAGGTAGGCAATATTATTATTATCCCATTTTCATAGAGAAAACTAAGACTCAGAGATGCTAAACAACTTGCTCAAGATCACACAGCTAGCAAGTCTCTGAGCTGGAATCTGGACACAAATGGTCTGGCCATGATCATGAGATGGTTATCTCATGATTTTAGGTGCTCTGCTATGGTGTTTATCTCTCTTCGGGGGAACTCATTCTTATCCATGCTAATAAGTGACAGAGGAAAAAAAAGTCATAGGACAGTCATTCAACCTTACTTAAGTCAGTGACTTACTCTCTTTTTCCTAACACCAGACATCAGAGATGTCTGCAGGTCTCAGCTACCTCTCCTGCTATTAACCCTGTCTGGCAGGGAAGCTAAGCAGCAATAGAGAAGGAGAAAGGGGCTCATGTTCCAACAGAATGAGCTATCAGCTGCTGAGCTGCATGGTAATAATTAGGTGTTGATGATGGCAATCATAAAAGTACATGTTCCTATAATGGCCCCACCTAGCCCAGTTTTTTGGTAGAAAAATAAGTCCTTCCTGCTTATGACGCTGAGGAACTGACAGTGTTTCCTGTGGCTCAGAGGCTCACGCCGAGACCGGGGCCCGGGTTACCATTTCTGAAAGGAACATTCCCTGTAAACAGTGAGTGAAGGCAGTGTGGTTTCCCTGGTGATCTGAACGCAGCGATCCTTCTACAAAGCAAAGGCCCAGCCCGCTCCACTCCATGCAGAAAATCAATGAACCCGCTCAGGCATTTCAGCTCTAATGATCTGGGTTGTTGTCAACAGCAGAGACCCCAGTGAAAACAACCAACCCCCATGCTGTTTGAGGGGCCCTGACATTGAACTTCCTAGTGTCAGAATATGAATTTTTCAGAGTCAGACTCAAGGTTCTGAAGCAATATGGGGAAGAAAGGAAGGGTGGACACGCACAGGGTCATGCACTGAGCCTCTCTGCTGAGAGCCAACCTGTGTGTGTGACATGTGCCTCTGATGGACAGGAGATAGAGCAGGAGTCAGCAGGGCCAGTGCCCACCAGGGTCAGGGCGGATGTGCTCCTCCTGCTGCCCTGGAGAAGTGGTAATATACACCACCAGAGCTGCATTCAGGCATGGTCTGATCCTGGCTCCTCGGAGAGCTTGCTGGGTTACCTTGGCTGCTCAGGAAACTTTCTAAGCCTCAGTATCCTCATCATAGTGTCCAAAGTGTAAGAATGACATGAGCTAATTCACAGGGAGGGTTCGGCATGCAGGAAGTGCATCTGCACAGCTCTTATGACCCAACAGGGACTAGGCTCCCAGACTCTGTCCTCCTTGCCTCCTCCCATGTCCATCTTGATCTCTCAGCCTCACCCCCCAACCCTCCTCTTACACCCAGAGCTACTCACCGAGCTCTGGCTCCTTCCGCTGCTACATTTAATCCTGCTGTCTCCTCATGGGTACTGGTGGAGAATCCAAAGATGGAGGGGTTGAACTTCTTCAGAATGTCTTTAAAGAGGAGTGGGACAGAGAACGTAGGTGAAAGGAGGCAGGAGCCCTTGGGAACAAAGAGGCTTATAGTCTTGGAGTACAGGTGTGGAGCAAGAGGGTTCTGGTCTTTCTGGAGCTGGCTGACTTCCCTCCCTGCAGACAACCTCCTCTTCCCCTCCTCCAGGAAGTAGGCCCTGGCCTCAGTGAGGGGTATAGTGGCTTCTTGGTGCTGGCTACTTACTGGGCAGTGTGGTGTGGGTCTCCAAGGCCCCATCTCCACCAATGCTGGGGAAGAACAAGAAACTTGGTTAAAATCACCCTGACTTGCTGCTCCATGTGTCAGCACGTGATGAGCCAGACCCAGAGGATCTGCCCTGGAGCATCACACCCCCACCCTCAGAGCTAAGGTAAGCATCATGGCATCCTCTGGGGTCTCAGCACGGAGCCATGGGATCTGACTTCATTCCTGGAGGGGTGAGAGGGGAAACACACCCTCACACTTTCTTGGGGGAAGCATTGTCAACAGAGGAAAAGCCCCAAATCCCTCACCTCCAGGAGAGGCCCCTCCAGGATGTGAGTGGGTTGCTGGAGTTGCTTGGTCGAGCTCCCATCGCTGTCTGTGAAAAGCAACGAGAAGTTTCCAGGTGGCTGCTGGGCCAGGCTGCAGAGCAAGTATACTGGGAGAGGTGCCTCTGGCTCGGGGGTACAACCAGGACCCAGATTTGCCCCTCTGAAAATCATACTGGCTTTCTCCAGGCCACCTTCAATTCCAAATGATCACATTCTTCTCCCCAGGCCCCTCCCAACAGCCAGGAACCTAATCTTGTGGATTCTTTCTTCCCAGCCCCCTGGCACCTGTGTCTGTCTCTCGTTGTCTTTGCCTTATTTCTGGATTATCATCTCATCTCCCTGCTGTGGGCAGCACCCTGGACCCCTGCCTGACCTTCCATCTCCTCTCTGTTCCCCTCCCACCAGCAGGGCTGCCACCTGCTCCTCTGAGCATCTCTGTCTCTGCATGCCTCCCTGGACAGTACACCTCTGACCCTTCAGAGCATCTCCAAGGGTCAAGGCCAAACTCTCACCAATGTGGACACCGTCATGTGGTACCACTTTCCTTCCCTTTGTTTCCTTCCTCCTTCCCTGTCCACACAAATCATTGGGTCTCCGCAAATTGATCTGTCACTGTTTTCAAAGCCTTATGGCCTCACTGCTCTGCCCGTGCCCATCTACTCCGTCCTTCCTGAAGGGCTGAGCACCCTCCTTTCCAGCCCCTAACCTCCACTGCATGCCCTGAGATGCTCATTAGCTCCCACCTCCTCCAGAAAGCTTTCTCTATATGATCTGTCTTTAAAAAGAAGAAGTTCTTTGAAATTTATGAAAGGAACTCAATAATCAGCAAAACATACAAAGATTTTTTTAAAAAATGAGCAATCTACTCCACCTCAAGAATCTTGCCCCTGCTCCAGAGGTCATCCCCCTCTCCCACCCCATCAGGGGGAATTCAAGGCTATCAGCCTGGGAAGTGCCCTCTGCAGCTTTCTCATGTTTACACCAAAATGAAAACATCCACACACATGGGGCTGGTTTGTTTCCACAGAAATGAATACTCTTATTTTGAAAGTCCTGGATGTCACCTCCATGGTTCTGCATAATTTTCTTGTGGCCCTACTGGAGGGCTATGTCTCATCCTTTTCTTTCGGATGATCGAGCATCATGAGCACAGCCAGAGCTAAACAGTTGGCTCAGGTCGTTCACTTGGAGAGACTGGGCTGTTGTGCTGAGTTGGAATCCCTTAAGTTGGGGGTGACAGTGGGCAGTGTGTGATAAGACCTACCACCCTTTGGATCTGAGTTGGTGCAGATGAGTTCCTGATAAAGGCAGGTGGCTTAGACAAGTATCATGATGCACCAATGAAATACCTAAGAACAAGGGACATGGGGGATGGCTTTTCCCCAGAGATGGGGGGGGGGCTCATGGAACAGGTGGTGTTTGAACAGGGTGGGGGGATGATGGAGGAGGAGGACACCTACTTTGGTGTCTGACACATAGCATGGGGTGCACTGCTGACTGCAGAGCCCGTGCTGAGAAAGGGCTGACCGCACAGGGCCTGGCTGGGCTCCCTGGGACCCACCCTGGCACGTGGCTCAGTACTCACAGTCAGTGAGTCTCCCAGGGCAGCCACCACCTTGATGTCTGCTGGACGGAGCTCGTGGACTAGGGGAAGAAGAGAGATGGTTGCAGTAGGGGTGGAGCATCTGCTCTTCAAAGTAGGAACTTTGCCAGGGCCCCTGGCTCTGCCCTAGTCCCATAGGTCACCAGAGTCCCATAGGTCACTTATTTCCAGCCTAAAGCTTTAGCAATTTTGTCCCTCCCACTTGTTCAGAGCAACCAAGGCTTGACAACAATAGGCTTGATGGCTATCACCCGTTCTGAGAGGAGCCCAATGGTCCACGGAGTATACACAGGTGGGCCCACTCCTGACTGTACTGCCTCACTGGACATGGAAGCCTGACAGGCTGCCATTGGGATGACAAGGAGACAAGAAGAGTGATTTTGGGGAGAGGCCTGTACCCCTCCACATGGGAGTCCAATGCTGTGGCTCTGAGCCAGCTTCTTGGGTCTCCCAGGACCAAGTTCTGCCTTGTGTGGGAATCAGCAAGGCCTGCTCCAAGCCTAGAGTATGTCTGTGGGGTCCCCCCTCCAGCCTGATGCTTCATAAAGCCCTTAGTTGAAGGGGTTGTTGACATTTCACTCACCTGAGGTGGGAACTCTACTGGAAGAACCCCACTCTGTGCACAGGAAGTCACTGCCCCAGTTCTAAATCAACAAGAGGAGACACAGTCATTGTGCAGGCAGTGTCAGTGCAAGGACCAACTAATGAATTTTTGGTGGAGGGTAGGAAAACATCACTGGAAGGGGTCAGGGAAGGGCAAGGGTTGTTAGTTGTAGATGGGCTAAGAGGGAAATTAGAGGGGAAAATGGGAATCTGCCTACTTCATGTACCATGTATAGTTCTTCGGGCACACACCTATGCACACTCACACAGCCTTTCCTGTTCACGTTTCTCTATACTCTAGAATGGAGCCAGCAGCTGCCCCAAAGCAGGGAAGAAATAGTGACTTCGTTCCAAAGTAACCTCATGTTTGAATGCCTGCTACCAGAGATCACAGGAGCTTTGCTATTAACATTAACCAATCGACACTAATTACAACACTGGGGCCTAACCAAACATTAATTAAAATATCTTTAAGAAGACACAAAACTTTTCCAAATGCAAAGCTTCTGGCTTCTGCCTATCTTTTCTGTACACCTGTACGTCTTTTTGCATATTTAACTTAAGAGCCACTAATCTTTTTGCATATTTAACTTAAGAGCCACTAATCTTTTTGCATATTTAACTTGCTTCTATGTGTATAAATTAATGCCTGGATGCTTTTGGTAAACTTTCCTCATCTCTGTAATACAGGATGTATTTTCCAGGTGTTAGGAGAGTGGGTGGGGGTAACAGAGGCACAGACACAGCTAGTTCAAGGAGGCTGGCAGAGAACTCAATTTCTATGCAAATTCCTATATCTGCACGCACAGTAGGACTCCACTGACAGTTGACAGGTTCCCCTGGAGTGTGGCTGCCAGAAAACTCCTCTCATCAGTTTGGTCAGATGAAGAGGAAGGCAAGTCTTGTTAAAATATCCCTATCATGAGGGAGTGAAAATAAAACTTAAATGTTATTTGCCTAATCCAGTGGAATTCAGTTTATCCCAAGGGATTGCTCAGTTCAACACACTGATGGATTTCTTCTCCTGTTTGGAAACTCTATGGAAATCAAGAACAGGCTTCAGTGCCAATGACAAATACTTGAAGAAAATGCAATTAAAAAAAAAAAGTGATACCACCATTGGCGCTTTAGATAGTCAGGGATCCAGAGACATGCACGATGCCTGTGATTTAACAGACATAGATTGGAGCTTGAGCATGCTCATCTGTCACCAGGAGGAACCACAGGTTGTGTCCTAAACCAGTGCAGCCTAATTCCCTGGGGATCTTGTAAAGTTGCAGATTCTGACCCAGTAGGTCTGGGATAGTGCTCAGGATTCTGCGTTTCTGACAAGTTCTGGGTAATATTGATGTGACAGATCTGTGACTGCTTTAAGCAGAAGCTATTCAAACAGGCATTTTTACCTCTTCCAGTAGCTAAAGAAATGATGGGTGAAGACGACGATCCCAGGGGGCAGCCCCAGAGCCCTCTGCTCACTGTCTACCCAGCACTTAGCACAGCGCCTGCTCCATTTAGGCACCCAGTAAATCAGTGTGAAATAGAGAAGTCAAGGCTTGACTGACAAGATGAAGCTGACCCTTCAGTTTTAACAGACCTGGGCACTGGTTCAACCAGGAAAAGACTCCATTAGGCTAAGTGCACTAGGGAGCATCCAGGCTGGGGAGAGCGTAACCCTTAGCAATGAGGCTGTTATTGGTTGTACCCCAAAGCTTAGCACCTGGCAGTTCTTTTAATCTGTGGATGTAGGTTAATCTCAACTCTTCAGTTGGCTTATAAAAGGCCTGCCCCCAGTCTCTGATCTCCAATCCATTTTCCACATGGCCGACAGGGAGACCTCTTAAAGACATAAACCAGAGCATGCCACCAAAGGCTTCCTGCCTCTCTCCACTTAAAATCTAGCCTTCTTACTCAGAGATTCGGGCTCTGCGAGACCTGGCCCTGAGCACCCCCTGATCTCTTCTCCTGCACTCCTTACTTCATTCACGTCCCTCCTTGTCCCGCCCCCTCCCCCACCACCAGTTCCCAACTACTATGACTTTCTTTCTCTTCTTCCACCCAACTCAGCCTCAATTCTGAGCTTTTGCAATCTCTGGCCTTTCCATTTGGGATTCTGCTTTTGGCTGTCCATGTAGCCAGCGTCTTTTTATCTTGTATGTCTCTGTTCAAATCTCCCCTCCTCTGAGAAGCCCAGCCTGCATGATGTATCTGAATTTGCCATCCTTCCCCTGGCCCCATCCCTCTTTTTCCACTTCATCCTCCTCTGAGTCATTGTCACTATCTGAAACAATAAGTTTTAGTTATTTACTGGATGCCTCCCCCAGCAGATGGTAAACTATGAGAACTGGGACCCTTCCATCTACTCCTCTAACTCCTGAAACAGTGCCTGGCACAAAGTAGGTACTCAAGAAATGGTGGTGAAATCTCTATTGGGCTCTCCTCTGAGTCTCCACCAGCCCCTAACATAAGACTGGTGTGACACTGGCGTGGAACCACGGGTGTGGAACGGAAACTGTGGTTGAGCCCCTGTCCTGGTGGCCAATAGAACTCGTCTGGACCAGGCCTGCCCTGCAGGGCTCAGTGTGGTCCAGGATCCTACAGGCCATCTTTGGAGTAGCAGTGACTAAATCTTAGAGCTGGAACAAATGACGTGAACCAAACAGGGCCTGCCTGGGGTCCATGGACATGAGTCAGCTTCCTGTCCGGCCCCACCCCGGCACTGAGATTCCTTCCCACTGGGCTTCCACCTTCAGGAAGCTGATGGCATACCGTGCCTGCCGCCACCCCCTTGAAAAGCTGCACTGCCTAATCAGAAACAGAATCGCAAAGGTCAAAGACAATGGATTCCTAGGCACTTCCTCTGCTTGGCTGCTGACGTCAGGTAGGCAACTTGAGAACATGTCAGGACAATCCTGGGGCTTCGTGGCTCCGGAGCCTTTTGTACATTCCGATTCCCAGTACGTAAGGAGGATACATTTCTGCTTAATCCAACAGTCTGAAACCTGGACCACGCCCCAGGTCCCTGACAGGTGGAAATGGCATCTGAGAGAGACAGAAGTGAGTCAGGGGTTACCTCAATGGCTGGCGTGGTGGGGTATGTGTAGTTACTGTTCTGGAAGGTTCTCAGGAAGGGCTCATCCTTAGGGAGAAAAAAAACACAGGGAGGGGTGATCAGACAGCTGAAAAATGCTGAAGATCAATCCTTCTGTCTCCTTTTACTTAACAAGGTTCTGATGCATTTAAATAGAAAGAACTGTGTAAACATAATTTCATTCATTCCCTGGAGGTTTTTACATAACAGCTTTAGCAAGGGGTGTCCAATAAAAGGCTTCAAAAATGTTCCATGCTTATTACACTCTGGGCCCTAGGTTTTCTTTGTCACCCTAGCTGTGCATGGGCTTCCAGAGCCTCAGGCTTACCTGTTTTCTTCTCTTTGTGATTTCTTTGGCAAGCGATTCACACAGCAATGTTTTTCTTTTACAGGAGATAGTATGATCATCAATATATTTAATTATCTGTTATTTCTCTCTTTCTGTCTTCTTGGACTGTCTTCTTGGAACTACATATGTTATCCCATTTAGGTTGGCTTCCTCTATTTTCAGAGGTTTTTTTCCTCCTTGTAACTTACCTATTTCACAATCAGTTTTCACAATCAAGACTCCAGGTCCACCCAGTTGCAGGTGAAGGGTTAATTAAAGGAGGAAGAAGAAGTAGGCAAAGGAGAAACAGGAAAAGCAAGCTAATGAGGAAATGTAAAAATGAGAGCAAAGCAGGATCAAGATAATAAGACCCAGATCAGGAAATATCAAAGTCGGCCCAGGGTGGGGACCACGCACAGAACCTGCGGTGAACTAGAAAGGCCGTGGCCTGAAACTTTGGAAATAAAATGGGAATAAGAAAGGAAATCCAGAACGAGGGAAATTGACTCCATATGGGCCAAGCCCAGACAGATGTTTTGCTTTATTGTGGCCAACTGAGGAAGAAGAGGAGGAGAGGGAGGATGAGCTCAGGGCCCTCAGGAGGGGCATGCCTTCTTCGGTTCTTCCTCTTGTCTCATACCTGACCCCTTCAGGCAATCATCTTCCTGCCTGGCATTGTAGACAGTTGACTTTGCAACTCCAAATGTCCCCAGTTTACTGTCGAGGCCCAGAGTGGGGAAGGGAGCTGTTCCAGGTTAGAGAGCAAGTCTGAATGCAGAGCTGGCTGCCCCCTCCCCCTCCCCCGAACTGACAGGCTCTGGCCTGCTTCCACTCCTCACCCCGGAACCAGGTCTACAACAGACGCTGAAGGCCACACAAAGAAGGTCACTTTGGAGGACAGAGTCTATATACACAAAGCCTCAGCCCCTAGCACAGAGCCGGATTCCCCAGGGTACCAGCAAGTCCCCCTTTCCTCTGAGTCTCGGCATTCCCAGCTGAACCAGAGGACATTGAAGTGCTCAGGGCCAAGGGTAGAAGTGTGCCCTGTATGGCCCCACATAGTGCCAGACAGAGGAGGGCTGTGATGGCAGGCCTGCACGGCTCTCTAGGCTGTCTCGGTCAGTGTGGTTCAGTGTCCCCTGAATAGTCATCTCTGAGGAGGGCAGTCTGTAAGAAGTGCCACATACCTGTGCAGCAGCTCCCGCAAAAAGAGTGGGGTTCTAAGCACCAGGAGGAAGGGAGGTTATCAAGAGGCAGGGGCATAGACAGGAGAGGCTCCGAGGCAGCGAAGCAGCGAGCTCAGCCATTGTGGAGGGGCTGCTGCAAGTCCTTGGGACATGTGCTTCTCCATAGGAGACTGTGGCGGCACGTGCTGATTATGATTTTTCTCTCCACAAAGGGGGTCTGCCTGGGCTTAGGGTCCAGGGGCTGGAACTAGTTCCAGAGTGACAGGAAGAAGCAGAGGGCAAAGATGATCTCGGTCTTTTCGGGAGAATGGAGAGTCAAACCAGAGAGCTTATGTGGTCTTATCTATTTGATGAAGAAATCCATGGGTTGGGGGAGGGGAGATGGTGCTGAAGGGGCCAGAGTCAAGGTGACACTAAAATGTGGTGGGGAGTGAGGCCAGCGCAGGCACCACGAGAACAGGTCCAGGCAGTGGTTTTCAGGAGAGATGGGGTCCCGGGGCTTGTTTTCGTTGACACTTTATGCAGAAGTGAGTCCCAGTGATTTGCCTGGAGTGGAGCAGGTTTATGTTAGAGAGATCTGGGGGAGGCTGGGTGGCTCTCAAGGGCGAGGTTTGGAGCACAAGCAGGTGGAAAGTGAAGTGGACTGAATCCCAGCACCAGAAAGCAGTCTAGTCCCAGCTGTGCTGAGATAGTGTGCCTGCCCCAAGAGCTGAGCCCAAATGATCACCTGCTGTGGGCCAGCAGCTGAGTCAGTGGCCATGGGACAAGCCACAGTACCCTGACTGCAGTACTAGGTGTTGAATTCCAGAGAGAAAAAGGGGTGCTGTTCTTCCCTTCTATGCTGCTTAAATCAAACCAAAGTACACGGTCACCAACTTTAAAAGGAAATGTCCACCTGGGGTCAGGGCTGCAAGAAATGGCTGAGGTGGTCTTGGGTGGTAATAGGAGGGGGTGTATAACAGTGCTCCATGGAATGCCCTCTGGTATTTTCTGTGCATTCCAGTCCACGCTTTATAGAATGTGCTGGTCCTTTACCTCCATTGATGGCAACATCTGTCTGTTGATGGGTAGCCCTCTGCAGTTTGAGAAGCATCCTTAAGAGAGGGCAGCAGATAGACCAGAGGCCATGCTGCCTGGGGAGGGATGTGGTTCCTGTGTGTCAACAGATCTCTAAGCCCTCCACCCCTCTGTGGCTTTATGATGGGAAGGTAGGATGAGATGATTTTACATGCAACAGTGATACATGGAAAGAGGAGCAGATGCGTGGGCCCTGGGAAGAATCCCATTAGCTAGGGTGCCTGAAAAATAACACACATATGCCAAGCCCGGAGGAGAAGACTTTGAGAAGACAGACATTTAGTTGCTATGTAGATATTCTTCACACAAAACAATTATATTTTGGCCAGGTGCAGTGGCACACGCCTGTAACCCCAGCAGCTTGGGAGGCTGAGGCAGGAGAATTGCAAGTTCAAGGCCAGGTTCAGCATCTTAGTGAGAACTTGTCTCACAATGAAAAAGGACTGGGGACTTAGCTCAATAGTAAAGCACCCCTGAGTTAAATTCCTGGTACCCAAAACAAACAAACAAACAAACAAAACAATTCTCTTTTGAATGACAATTGAGTTTGAAGGGGGGTCAGGGAAGGATTAGGAGGTTTAGAAGCTCTGAGCATCTAAAAGATAATGGTGTCCCTGTGTGTACTTCAAAATAGAAAAACTGGTAAATAATAAAGTTTCGGGAATCCAACAAACTTCTGCTTTTTCTTGTGATAGGGTGACATCATTTCATACCTACTCCCATCCCCGTCCCTCCCCCTTCCTCTCTCTGGTTCCCTGTTTTGTGGGTTCCCTGACCACACATGGGGGTGACCTTACACCTCCAAGGAGAAACGTGTTTTAAGGTGTGGAAATACATGTTTGGAGTTTAGGAAAGAAAAAATGAAGACACAGAGGAATCCATGGTAAGGAAATTTCAGCAGGAAATCCCAGAAATGAAAAAGATCTCTGAATGAGGGGCTGTGGAGGGACAGAAGAGAACAGGCCCGGGGTGTGACAGTGGAGAAGGTCTCCGCCGTCCGGGTTAGGAGAAGAGAGCAGGGTCATTCACAGAGGAGAAGGGGAGTGAGAGCAGAACAGACAAATCGAGGTGGCTGAATATCCACAGCCCAGGGAGGGATCCGTCTCAAGGAGGAGGTGGTTCTGTTGACAAGGGAGGTTGAGAAGAAAAGCTGAAAAGGGACAGAGCTGACCTTCCAGATGGTTCCGCCGGGGGCTAGGGAAGGAATGGGCAGAGAGCCAGTGAAGGCATGGAAGAAAAAATAGAGTCCACAGAACGAATCTAAAATTGGCTATAAAACCACTTGTCCAAGCTGGAAATACAACAGAAATCCACAGAGTGCTGTGAAGGCGCCCTACCTGGCACGGCAGAATGTACTAGCAGTGTGGCTGGGGGTGGGGGAGGAGAGTGGGGGCTGGGAAAGCTCCTTGGTGCTCACTGAGCTCACTAGTGGCTCATTCATCTGGGCCACCTCCTCCCCCTGCGTCCTGCCTGTTGCTTCTATGTTTAAACACGGCTAGGATGAAAATATGCTGCCTGGCCCCTCGGCTCAGAGATGCGGGTGGACTTCTGCATGGCTTTGAGGCTCAGGAGACAGAGCAGATGGGACCCGAGGCACAGTGCAGCGAAGCTGGGCTGGCCAACAGATGGACCCTTTGGGAATGGCCTCCAGGGCTGCTTAGCAACAGCTTCTCCTGAGTGGGGCTTCTCTGGGCTCTAGGAGGCTGGATAGGCTCTCCCTGGCCCATCAGGTTCAGTGGGGCCTCGCCCAGAAGAGAGGGGCTGAGCCCACTGCGGCTTGAGATGCTTTGGCTGGTGCACCACCCATCTGGGGCTCCCTGCCGAGTCTGGGGGCAGGGACAGAGTGGCAGCAGTTGCCTTGAGGTTCATGGTGAAAGAGATGTCCCTGACCCTGTGCCTAGGCTCCGAGCAATGACTACTTGGTGTGAGTTATTACTTCTCCTGTTTAATGGAAGGGGAGTGGGCAGTTTAGAGAGGCCCTTTCATGGCTGATAGTCAACAGTATACTATCTGGATTGTTGAACGATAATTAAAGTCGGGTGAGGTGGCGCACCTCGCCTTTAATCCCAGTAGCTTGGGAGGCTGAGGCAGGAGGATTACGAGTTCAAAACCAGCCTCAGCAATTTAGCGAGGCCCTAAGCAACTCAGTGAGACCCTGTCTCTAAATGATCTAAAACAAGACTGAGGATGTGGCTCAGTGATTAGCATCTTTGGTTTCTGGGCTCAATTCCCAGGACCTCCCCCCGCCCCCAATTAAATATTTACAGTGTAGTTTATAGCTAGGTTGCCCTGGCCCCTCCTAGAATCCTGGACTTCCTCAGGATCTAGCAATTAAAGGGTTTACACCTGGCTGTGCCCCAGCCCTCTGGCCTGTGTCTGATCATGTGACTGCAGGCATCCATGTGGTGCTGGGTTGACACTCTCCTTTGCTCTGAGCACCACACCCAGCAATCCTGGCCTGTACTGCCACTATTGTCTCCTGGTGAGGCTAAAAGACATCAGACTGAGCGTGGGCCCATGGCTGGTCTGGGCAGGGGTGCCCCTCTTCCAGGGACCCCAGCAGACACATGGGGGAGCTGCAGGCCCATTCCCCAGCTCTACTCAGCCAGGAGGGTGGGAGAGGTTGGCGCAGCTCAACTCAGGAGGGAAACACAGCCTCCCAGATGAGGTCAGGCCCTCTGCTTTTATTGCCATAGAGGATTTTCTGGCCTTGGCCTTATTTGGCTAAAAAGCCATAAGACAGAACCTAGGAACGGGAGCTAAAGGCAATGGGAACGGGCACGGCCCCCACCCCAGGCCTGAAATCAAGTTTAACAACTGCTTACATATTCCTCCTTAAAAGGAGCCTGAGCTGATCCTCCCATACAGGCCCGTCCTCCCCCACCCTCCTCCACAGCTTGGGCTCTCCCCTTGGGTACTTCCTCTGTGCCCCTCTCCTGCCAGAAACTCCCCAGTCCAGGCTCTCCACTCTCTGACCACCAGTTCTGAGCCCGCCTGGTCCCTCCCTAGGCCCTCTAACCTGCAGTGGGACATCCCCATGTGTCCCAAATACCACTGCCAAAACAAGCCTTCTGCCCTTTCCCCGCTCTTCTTGCTCCTCTGGAGACCCCCCCCACCTTTTGCACCCCATCGCCTCCCTGGGCCCAGCTTTGCTCATTCCCACAGGTGGAACTGCTTCTGCATTCTGTTGCCTTCTGTGTCCTCTCCTCACCGACTTCCCAAAGCCCATCTCCCACATCTCTGTTGGCTCAGGGGCAAGATGGGCGACGTGGAAGCTGGGCTGGCTCAAGCTTTTGTTTCTGTAAAGGTGCAAAGACGGTCTCCTTTAGTACCTGGGTAGGGCAGGCCAGGGGGATATCCTCTGTCAGGTCCAGGGTATCCGTTTTCCTTCCCAGTGGTTCAAGCTGATTGGGGAAGAAAAGAGAGATGCAGGTGTACTAATTTGTCCTTGCTGAAGTACTAAAAAAATTTGTCCTGCTATGGGGAAGGCTCAGAATTTCATTTCAGAGGGCTTGGTGTCCTCTCCTGGCTCTGCCAGGTGTCTGTGGTAGGACACTAAGCAAATCTCTCAGCTTCTCTGAGGTTCGGTTCCCTCAGAAACATCTAACGTTCTTTTGCAGGGCTGTGGAGGGGCTGAAAGGAGATCATGCCTAGCACAGTGCTGGCACACATCTCTCCATTCACAGATCTCCATTCACAGATCCTTTCCTGATCTGTTGAAATGTGGCTTCTGCCTGGCTCTCATGTAGAAAGCATCCCTCAGCACAATCCAAGCACAGAAGAGAGTGTGGATGGGAACCTTTAAGCAGACCCTTAAAGGACTCCATCTTACGCCAGTCAGAATGGCAATTATCAAGAATACAAGTAACAATAAGTGTTGGTGAGGATGTGGGGAGAAAGGTGCACTCATCCATTGCTGGTGGGACTGCAAATTGGTGCAACCACTCTGGAAAGTAGTATGGAGATGCCTCAGAAAACTTGGAATGGAACCACCATTTGATTCAGTTATCCCATTCCTCGTTCTATACCCAATGGACTTAAAATAAGCATATTACAGTGATGCAGCTATATCAATGTTTATGGCAACTCAATTCACAATAGCTAAGCTGTGGAACCAACTTAGGTGAGCTTCAACAGATGAATGGATCAAGAAAATGTGACACAATGAAATTATGGCATTTGCCAGTAAATGGATGGAACTGAAGACTATCACGCTAAGTGAAAAAGCCAGTCCCCCAAACCAAAGGCTTTATGTTCTCTGTGATATGTAGATGCTAACACACAACAAGGGAGGATGAAGGGGAGAAGACTGGAAGTCCATTGGATCACACAAAGGGGGATGAAGGAAAGGGAGGGAAAGGGAAATAGGAAGGACAGTAGAATTAATTGGACATAACTTTCCTTGTGTTTGGATATACAACCAGGGTAACTCTTGTATCATGTACAACCACAAGAACAGGATCCTAATTAGAATAAGTTATACTTCATGTATGTATAATATGCCAAAATACATTCTCCTGTCATGTCTGTCTAAAAACAACAACAACAAAAGACTCTTCCCTTCTATCGACTTCTACAGATGAACGAGCCACTGCTGCCCTGGGCCAGGCCCCATTCTATAGGCGCTGCAGCTCCACTGTAGACTAGAGCCCCAGGGACACTCACTTATCTTACCATGTTGACCCAAAGGGCTCTGGAGAGCTGGGAGTGGAATTTCTGATTTGGGTGGATGCAATCTGGGGCGAAGAAGGATGTATCCAGATGCCCATTCTGGAAGAGACAAATATACTTTCTCAAGATCTTATTGGGTCAGAGGGAGTCACAGCCCGTTGATCTCATCCCTGGGACTGACCACACAATGCCCTCCTCCTGGGAGGGCTCCAGGTCAGGGCCCTAGGGCCTGCTCACCTTAAGAGGGAGATGAGTGCAATACCACAGGTGGGGAGCTTCGGGTGATTCCAACCTCCCTCCCTTCTTTCTGGCTCCACAGTTCCCCCTTATTTAATTTTTAAAATGTTGCTTTATTTTTCCGCACACTTGTATAACACCCCAGCCTTGACCAGCTACTTCTCAGCTCACAGGCCACTGGTCCTGCTGGTCTCCATGGGGAGAAGGAAGCCAAAGCCTTGGCTGGTCTGTGCAACGCCTGAAGCAGGGCAGGGTGCCACCTGACTCCAGCTCCTCTCTTGTGGCATGTGGGATATACAAAGTGTTCTCCTTCTGGCTTCCCTCCAGTTAAGAGAGTCTCTTGGTATGAAACCTTTATCTCTCCATTCACAGATCTCTTTTGTTCTGAGTAGAAGTACCAGGCCTTTGCAGGGGGGTGAAAACATAATACCAGAACCCTACTTTATTTTTATTTACTTTTTTGGACTGGGATTGAACCCAAGGGTGCTTAACCCGTGAGCAACATCCCCAGCCCTTTTTATTTGTTATTTTGACAGGGTCTCCCTAAGTTGCTTAGGGCCTTGCTGAGGCTGGCCTCCAACTTGTGATCCTCCTGCGCTAGCCTCCTGAGCCACTGGGATTACAGGCATGCACCACAGGCCCTGGCCAGAACCTTACTTTATAACTGAAGGGATGTATGAGAGAAAGATGATGTGCATAGCAGCAAGTTAATAATGTGGAATTGGATACCTTTGAATCTGGCCTTTCTGTCCCTTATGCCCTATCTGATTTGGGGCAGGACACCTCCCATCCCTGCAGCCCTGTTTTCTGGAGATGATGATAACTCCAAAGGCAGTTGTGATGATTTTACCTACGGGAAGCTCAGTGCCTGGCATGTAGTAAGAGCTCAACACAATGGAGCTCTTCTCAGGAGCTATGGAGACTCCTGTCACGTCCCACATCAGGCTGCCTCTGGGAATGTGGCCCAGGTGTTCAAGGACACTGGACCTGCCAGAATAGCATCTGAAGAGTTCTCCGTGCATTTCCCATTCTACACACACACACACACACACACACACACACACACACATATACAAGAAGCATGTGGAATCTCTTCCTAGAATGTTCTCCCCTGAGGGCACCTGTGGCAGGCCCTTCTTTGGCCCCACAGTACATGCGGACAGGGAGTGAATACCTGCAGGATGGGGAGCCGGACGTTCTGGAAGAAGGGCTGCAGCACCACAGAGAAGTCCTCCCGCGTGTCATAGCGGCCTGAGTTCACCAGCTGGTGCATGCTGCTCTGGGGACACATGCACACATGGGGGCCTTCAGCACAGGGTAGGGTAGGAGCTGGGGATGTGGGCTGTGTCCCCGCCCTCCTCTCCTGGACAGCAGAACTGACTCAGCCCAGCCCTTGAGAACAGAAATGCGCACGATGGCCAATCCCTTTCTGGAGAATTTGGATAGATCACATTTTGGCTTTGGTTTTAAGTGGTCTGCAATATCTGAGGGGCCGGGTAGGAGGTCCACGAGGAATAGACAGCTGGGAAGAGACTCCAGGGGGCCCAGTCTCCCAGCCTCCCTCCTTCAGCCTCCCTCCTGCAGCCTCCCTCCTGCAGCCTGCCTGTGGGGGCGGTTGGGAGCAAGGGGACTGAGGATGGGAGGAACAGGAACATGTGGGCCTCTAAGGTGGTCCATGGCCATGCAGGGCTACTGGCCAAGATTTGGGTTAAGCTCAGCCATGAGAGTTTTGTCACTGGATGCCATTGGGACGGCTCCCACAGGGCACCTGAGACACTCAACCAGGTGAGGCAGAAGAAGGAGCCCAGGGTGACGTGTCTCTCCTCAACCCCTGCATAGCTCTTCCTTCCTGCGCCTCCCCTCCCCAGGGGCCCTGGGCCGTGGTGTCAGAGTGACCTGGGGGAGAAGATGCAGGGTGATGCCCTTCTTTGACTCACCTGATAGGCTTGTGTCAAGGCCTCCAACCTGGCCAGCTCGGGGGAGTTCTCCCGCAGGGTCAGGACACAGTTACACAAAATGCTGCGCAAGGAAGAGCGGAACTCAGAGCCCACACTCGTTCAGGGGCCACTCTGGCTGCCTGGGGTCAGGGTGCAGTGGCTCACTCAACCCCAGGTTAGGAGCACATGTGCCTTGAGGCTCCAACGCACCTGCCCAGGGGCAGGTTTTAGGGGTACTGGAGAGAGCGCCTGGGGAAGAAGCCGGTGGTGGCATGGGCCCATATTCACACGGTGCCCGCACTGGATGTCAGTGCTAGGCCTGCAACAGACTATGAGAGAGGAGTTTAAGCCATAAGGATGCAAGGTTTGATTTTTTAAAAAGTTAAAAACTCATCCTCTAGTGTTAGAGCAGGAGTTTGGGGGCTTCTGATGCTCCTACCCTCAGACATCTCCTTCAGTGCCACACCGTCCCCTTTTGTTTTATATGAATTTGTTCATATTCGTCCATCCTTAATGTTAAAAGGAAAGATTATAGATGCTCCTCCGCCTACGGTGGGGCTGATCCCAATGAGCCCTTGGTAAGGTGAAATAGCATGTCAGAAATGCGTCGTGGGGGGGATGGAGTTGTGGCTCAGCGGTGGAGCACTGGCCTCGCACATGCGGGACCCTAGGTTCAATCCTCAGCACCACATAAAGATAAATAAGTGAAATAAAGGTATTGTGTCCAACTACAACTAAATATATATATATATATATATATATATATTTTTTTTTTTTTTTTTTTTTGAACAACAACAACAAAGAAGTGCATTGTGGGCATCTAACCTGCCCAACATAACAGCTCAGCCACACCTCACTTGTAGCATGTAGGTTGTTTCCCATGGTGACTACAGCACCCTGTGGGCCGTGGTCCACAGCTACACCCAGAAGCACCTGAGAGTGTGGTACTACATGCCACCAAACTCAGAAAAGGTCAAATTCAAAATTCCAGGTATGGTTTCTTCTGGGTGTGAATCGCTTTTGCATCATAATAAAGCCACTAATCCTAAGTCAGGAACCAGCTGTATTTCTTTCTTTCTTTTTTAAAGAGAGAGAGAGGTAGAGAGAGGGAGAATTTTTAATATTTTATTTTTCAGTTTTCGGCAGACACAACATCTTTATTTGTATGTGGTGCTGAGGATCGAACCCGGGCCGCACGCATGCCAGGCGAGCGTGCTACCGCTTGAGCCACATCCCCAGCCCCTCTTTCTTTCTTTTTAAAAAATATTGTTTTGGGCTGGGGATGTGGCTCAAGCAGTAGCGCACTCGCTTGGCATGCGCGGGGCGCTAGGTTCGATCCTTAGCACCACATAAAACTAAAATAAAAGATGTTGTGTCCACTGAAAACTAAAAAATAAATATTAAAAATTCTTTCTCTCTTTAAAAAATATTGTTTAGTTGTTAACGGACCTTTATTTTTTAAAATTTATTTGTATGCAGTGCTGAAAATCGAACCCGGGCCTCACACATGCCAAGCAAGCGCTCTACCACTGAGCCACAGCTCCAGCCCCAGCCAGCTGTGTTTCTAAAGCTCTTAGCACAGTGCCTGGCACACAGTAAGTTCTGTACAGTTTGTTAAATTGCTGGAGGTGTGCATGAAGCACGAAGAATAGTGAAACACACCATGAACCTGCCACCCAGTGGAAGCCGTGAACAATTCCAGTTTGAAGGTCCCATGTGTCCCTCCCCGTCCTCTTCTTCCCCATCAGTAACTGACTTGTGAATTTCTTCCCTCACTTTCTTATGTTTGATCACATACACGTACCTCCCTGGGTGTTGCCCCCTCACAGTCTGGGTCTCCCAAACACCAGCCCTGTGGCTCCTGGTGTCACAGAAGTTCCTACCTAGCACCTTGGGATCAGGTGAGTGGGGGCTGGGCCAAAGCTCCATCTCCCAGAAAGGGATGATTCTGACACAAGTCCTCTCTGATAGACATGGACACACAGACAGATCAAGTCACAAAGACCCGGATGAGTCACCGCTGCATGGGGGCCAGACCATGGGGTAAGGGTGTCTCCAGCCTGGGGCTGTCAGCACTGCCTACCTGGCCTGCTGCATTGGGCACTTGTCCGGGTTCCCCAGGAACACCTGCCGTATGACACTGGGCTTCATGAAGTCCACAAGGTTGACCAGGGCTCTGGGCACCTAAGGGCAAAGCTGCAGATGAGCCAGGGGCTCCCGGGTTTCTTCCTCAAGCTGCCTTGGGCCCCTGAGAAGTAGGAGCCAGTTCAAGTTCCCTTTAGACCTCTAGCTCAGTGTGTCCCTTGGCTGCAGTTCTGAGAGAAATCTACACAGGGCCACCACCTTGGACACTACACGCCCAACATAGGGTGCTGTTGCCCGGTGGGCTGCAGCAGGAGTGGCCCCTCCTGGAGCCAACAATCAATGCTTAGAGTTCAGCTCTGTTCAGCCTCATTTAGTGAGCTGACACAGGTCGGTTCTATATTTGGTGAGACAGGTGATCTGTTTGCCAGGCCACTGGCCCTTGACCAGTTCCTGCTAGCCCAATCTGGCCTATTCTGCTGAGCAGGCACAGGGACTCAGCCACTCAGCAGAGCATCTAGTGGTCATAATATGCCCTTCCTGGGCAGCCAGGGCAACTTGTCCTTGCCAGGAGATGGCAGTTGGGTAGGGGGACACAAAATGGGTATAGAACCAGACAGGAGCTTGCTCTAATGGCTCAGAATGCAGAGCCCAGATTATTTGCCACTCAGCTGCTGCCTCCAAGGAATAGTGGTGGTGGGGGGATGCACTGCCTTCATTTCTTCAAAACTGAGATCCTGCCAGGCACAGCAGCACATGTCTGTAGTCCTAGTGGCTCAGGAGGCTGAGGCAGGATGATCATGAGTTCAAAGCCAGCCTCTGCAAAAGCAAGGCACTAAGCAACTCATTGAGACCCTGTCTCTAAATAAAATACAAAGTAGGGCTGGGGATGTGGCTCAGTGGTTGAGTGCCTCTGCATTCAATTCCTGGTACCAGTCCCCCCCACCCCCCCAAAAAACCCCAGATCCTTCTGGACTAACTCCACATAGAATGAAACGTGCTTGGGAGTGGACTTCAACCTCTGGACAGGGAAGGAGCCTGTGCTCTTGGCTCTCTCCTTGAAGGCAGGGGGCACTTCCACCATTCTTTCCCTAGCTACCTTCAACCCTGGGAGCCCCCACCCACCTCTCTATGCAAGATGTCCAAGGCATTGCGGAGATGATCCAGAAAGTTGGCTGCAGAATGCAAATTCTGGAAAGAGACAAGGGAGGAAGAGGAGTTGCTGGTTTGGATGAGAGTGTAGAGGGGCAGTGGTAGGCTCTTCTGCTGGCTCCAGCCCCAGGGGCTTGTTCTTCCTGTGGCCTCCAGAGGGTGACTAGCTCAGCACATCAGAATCGGAGCTGAAGAGGTGACTGCTCGCCATTGTCAAAGACCAAGCAGCCAGAAGACAGGAGCCTGCAGCCCGAGATTTAAAAAGGAGCAGAAAGTGGAGCACCCTCTCCCAACTGTGTGGTGTCTGCAGATTCTTCTCTGAGATCTTGAGTTGTAAGAAAGGGGAGAAGATGCACCATATGTCAGCCACCTGCTGCCTGGTCACCTGGGATATGAAGATGGCACTAGGAACCCCAGGGTTGTGGAGTCAGAAGCGGGCATGCACGAGTATGTGTGTGTGAGTATGTGTGTGTGTGTGTGCGTGTGTGCATGCAGATAAAGGTGTGGTTGGACAGTCCTCGGGTTGGTTCTAGGGACTGTTCTCAGAATCTCCAATCTAGTCAAAGTCAGGAGCAAGGAGTAGGCACAGACCCCACCCCCATTACCGAATCTGTGCAGTGGTCACATAGATCACGGGCTCCAATCAGCACTGTGATGACCTTCCAGTCTTCATGGAAATTGATTCTCTACAGGGAGGGAGGGAGATGCTTGATGATTTCCAAGACACAAACAAAAACATCACAGCTCTAAGAAATCCATTCAACCTTCTGACTTCCTTGCCCACTTGAACTTATAGAACCAGAATCTCAGAGCTGCTGGAATTTTAGAGGTTTATTTATAAGACACAGGATCTTAGCATCAGGAGGGACTTTCACGGTCACTGTGACCAGCAACAACCCTTTCCCCACTGACATAGCGTCTTTGGACAGGGGTCTGCACTACCACTGCTTGAGTGCCTCTGGTGACAGGAGTCTCACTGCTTTACATGGTAGATTGTTTCATGTGGGGGCAAATTTATTGGGTTAGAAAATTAATGTTTATATAAACAACCTTAAATTAAATCTGACTCACGTGATCATCTTTCATCTTCTGCACCAGAGTCTGGGCTTGGTTCGCAAGTTGCCTGAGAAAGAGAGAAAACTCAGTCCTTCTGTTGTAGAACATGCCCATATTTTTTCTCCTAAAGGATCTAAACTAGAGGCTTCTATGATATCATCCCTACTGCATGAGCTGGCAGAGATCCTAACGCTCAAAGACTAGAATCTACTTGCCTCTTCTAGAGAGTCATTATAACAAATTATCATTTGAAAAGCCAGATATGTGTTTATCCTAAAGTCATAGTTAAAAGTATGGCCAATTACATTTGTTGCTCACAGTCTCCTTTCTGGAGCTTCAATGCAAAATGTCTTCTAGGATTCCAGGCTAAAAGCCACTTGTTTCTTTTGAAACACTTGCAAGACTATAGACCTTGTAATTTGTCCTATGAAAGTTTTCTCATGCTTCTTCTTTCCCCTCTAGCTGCCAGGAAATTGAGAGTTTGATGTTCAAGCCCAATAACCATAAAAATGCTCACACAGACAATTGTTTCCCTCAATGGCTATGATTTTCTCTCATGTTAAATATATTATTTTTGTGAATTTATCTAAATGCTTCTTTTAGAAGGTGGGGAGTAAACACATAGTCAGCCTATGCCTAGGTTTCTTATTCACAGAAGGAATTGGTCCTGGGCACCTGACCCCCACTTTTTGTTATGTTCCTGAGTGACATACCCATGGAATGACTATCTCCTGGGATGGATGGTGGGACCACATGTCCTGAGCTGCTCTGTTACCTGAAAGAGTCTTCCCAGGCTATTGAGCATATCTGGGGGCCCTGCGCATCAACAAGAGGGTCTAGGCTTGAGCTAGATGATCATGTGACAGAGGCTCAGATGATTGAGACAGGAGACCCAGGCTTCTGGGGCCTCCAGGAGCAGGCAGAAGGCCCCCTTTGGAGACCATCACAAGAGGCCAGGCAGTTGTACCTCAGCAGCCTCTGGGCATCTCTACTTCATTTCTTGATAGGTCCATAACAGGGTGAGGGAGAGGACATGCCCTGTCGCCCAGGGGCCTCCCAGGCTGAGGTTCTGTTTGCCTATCACTTTGGTGGGCTTTGCCTGAACTTTTGGGGAATTGCCACTTCTGAGGCTCTGGGAAGAGTGGATTTCTCCTGCACCATTGTGCTGAGGTAAATTGTAAAAACTGGGCAAGTTGGTCAGTTAGTTCAGTTCTTAGAGAATGCCACACGTGAAGCCTGGCTGGGCATGAGCAACTTCTGTGGAGAGCCTTCCCAGGGCACAGCCTCTCCAGCCTCCCTGCTACCATCTTGGTCACAGGGACAGAAGGGAAAGTGGCCTTGGCCTCTGAAATCATTGTGCACAGAAGTGGGCAATGTGATCTCAAAGGGACTGTGTGCCTCCTCTGCTCCCCCACTTTGCCCACGCCCCACGCCATACTTGGTCTTGGCTCCAGGAACAGCCTGGTTGAGGAATGCATTTGTGTCATTGGCATCACCAGTACCCACTGCGTAGCCTGTGAGGTTTCCGTTAAACTCCCGGAGGATATCTGAAAGAAGAGGGGTGGACAGGGCACAGAGATCTCAGAAAGGAAGGCCGGATGTCTCCTCCAGCCCAGGGTCCCCACAGCGAGGTCCCCATCATCTTCATGCTTACTGGGGAAAGGCGGGAAGGCCACAAGGCTTGCAGGGAGATATAAGCTGAAGTGACTTGATGATAGGGACAGCCACAGCAGCAAGAGCACTTCACTTAAAAAAAAATATTTTTATGCAATTCACAGTGAAGTGACGGGACCCTGGCCGATCTGTCTCAGCATCCCATGAGCTGCTGAAAAAAATTAAGGCTCATAATGTTTGGTAGCTCATCCTCAGTCACCCCATAAGCAGAAAGGGGACAGAGCTTGGACCCAGCCACCCGGCTCCAAAGCCAGTGCTCATTCCCCTCCTCCAGCTGTCTGCCCATGGCCTCCCCTCCTACTTTAATGGCGGTTCCTTTCTTAGTTGGGTGCTCTCAAGAGGCCTGGGGGTCAGAAGGAATGAGCGACTCAAGTCTTTGGTGGCTACTTACTAGGTAAGGTGGTCACGTTCTTCAGGGAGCCATCCCCGCCTGAACTGGAGGGAGTGAGAAGTCAGTAAGGGAGAGAGAGATGGAGTCAATACCTAAGAATAAATTAGATTTTCTATGTGGGTTCTTTCTCCTCTCTCCAGCAAGCCTATGAGGTAGATGTGACCATGTCCATTGTGCAGAGTGAGAAACTGAGGCACATGGAGGTTAGTTAGGTTGCTAAAGGTAACTAAAACCTAGCCTGAGCTGGAAAACTTTAGAACCTAGATAAACTCTTCTCTGCCCAGTATTAGGTGCATTTCACTGGAAGGTTCAGAGGGAGGCCAGAATCCTGCTTTCCAATGCCCAGTCTAATTTCCTCCGACTAACCTTCAGACGTGTTCTAGAATATTTCATTTCTTTTCATTTGCTTGAATTGAGTACAGTGTACAAGAGGTAAAGAGAAAAATATTTCTATTTAACAAAACTTGATGTTCAGGTGTATTATTATTATTATTTTTCTCCTATGCCTCTTTTCCCAATCCCAAGACGTTATTCCAGGACAATAGGTTTTTAGGGCACATCTAGCCCACGAGGAGAGGCTTCCAAAGGACAGGCCAGGAATAGGTGGTAGTTGTTCTTCATTCAAGGAATACTTGGAATGAAGTTGACTGTTTTGTACCAGGCTGGTCAAGGGCTTGGTTCACAGGCTCAGTGAGCAGCCCAGGTGGTGGACAAAAAGAAGCTAAATCAGGCCTGCCCGTCTATCTTGCTCTTTCCACCATGTCCTCATGGCCTATGGTCGGGCATTTGTGCTTCTTTGGATTCTTTCCCAATTCTGTAGGAAGCCGCTGTTTTAGTTGCTTCCTAAACCTTCTTTCTTTGGACCAAAAGCACCAAATCAGAGTATTTTATATTTGAAAGAAAACTAAATCCACACATGGCCTCCATTCACTACTTTCTAACTCTGCTTCTTTCCCCCCCTCAATAAACACAAAAACATGGACATGTACATAAACACACACATCAAGTACTTTCTACTGTCATTTTCGATTTAAAGGTATTTTGGTGCTAAAACAAGTGTCATGGTAGATGAAGGCCAATTGGTAAGAAAATCTCTCCCTGTCTAGGAGAAAATAAGATAGTCACACAAGTAAATATGGAGGAAGAAAACTAAGCTGCCATTTTGAGCAGAGCTATGGAAACAGGACAGGAAGTGGAACCATGTCAAACAGCTTGTCTTCATTAGGCCCTTCACTGAATGTAATTTCTATGACACTCTGAGCTCAATGGCTAGGTTTTGTTCCCCTACAGAGCACTACAGAAAAGTAAGTGGATGCTTGATAACTTTTGTTGAAAATTAAACTGTTGATTAAAAAAACAAAAACAAAAAACAAAGAAATGCATTTTGTTTTTGGTAAGTAAATTTTATTTTGGTCCATTGAATGATCCCAAACCGGCCAATATATTTCAGTGGAAGAAAAGGCTTTGCTCTAAAGACCTCTGACCCACCCTGTTGGTTGGGGAAGCTAGGGGAAGTTGGAAGAATCCACTGGTGCTTGATTTCACAGGTCAAGGGGCCTTGAAATATTCACAAACAAACCTCTTCTGTAGGTCCTGTTCACAGCCACTATCCCCCAAGAATCCTGGGTCTACTTCTCCCCTAACTCTATGAGGTCCACCTTTTCTACTTTCTATTTCCTTGGTGGAAGAGGATCAAACTACATTCTTAACCTACCTGGAATCATTAATTGCCTGTTATTTACAATCTAGAATCTTTAATGGCCCCAGAAAGCGGCTTTTCTCAGATCAGTCATAGACATTTCTCAGGGAATGTTAATAGATATTACAAAGAGTTCTGGAATTAAGGGAACTGCTGGATCAAAAGAAACTTAAATAGATTTTTTTCATGAAATACTTCTCAGAGCCTTTAATATGCTAATATATATATATGAATTCTCCAGAGGAAGGATTTGGTAGATTATGTTTCCCAGTAAATACGAAGGAATTTTCCCTCTTGGATGGAGTTAAAGTTCCCTGGAACACATTCTGAGAAATACTAGTCTATCTGCTCCACCAAGAGTCAAGCTGTCTCTCAGTCTCTGAACTGAAACTTCCATCTTTAACATAGGTTCATTTGGGGGCAGATATTTGAAACATTTAGGACAAATAAAGGGTTTTGGGTAAGGGATAGCAGCCACTGAACATGGGGCACTTGAGTTGGCACTAGAAAATTCAGTCATTTCACTTGTCGGAAGGAAGAGAGCAATGACTGCATTTTTCTACGGCTGCAGAGAGAAAGAAACTTTGAGCAGAAGATTGCCTTTGTACCTGACCCCTGGGAGCCCAGAGAGTTGAACGGTCTGTAAAGTTGGGCCAATCACCTCACTTGCCCGGGTCACTCCACAAGGTGCAGCTTACCTGCCTGTTGTATGATTTGCCTGCTTCATTTTCTATTTTCCCACATTACGATGTGAGGTCCACCTGCCCTCTTTAGTGGAGACCAAGGGCGGTCACCCCAACTGCTTTTTCTGCCTTGTAACAAGCCCACTGTCTCTCCCTGTGGTTCTTCCTTTTCTTCTAGTCTCAGTAGCAATTTGGGGGAGTGAGGAGTAATCCAGGCTGTTTTGTCCTCAGACCAGACCATTGACTGGGCTAGGGACACATGGAAACTCAGGCACCTGGGAGCTGGAAGGCACTGACCTCAGCTGTAGGGGAGGAGAGGTTCTGTTCTTGTGCTGAGGATACCCTGTCCTCCCCGTGGGTGGCCACAGGCTGTGTGATGCTGCCTCTTCTGCCCTGGAAGAAGAGCCTTTCTCTTTACCTTTCTCTCTGGGACTGTCCTCAGCTCTGGCCAGAGAACGGTCACAGTCCTGATCACCCCCACCCTATTCCCTCTCATTCTGGGGCTGATATACATCACATGACTTCATGTGAGGCAGCAAACACCTTCACGTGCCACCCACTGCTCATCTGCGCTCTGCACTCTCCTGGCTGCCTTTGGTCTAGTTGCTTTACAGATAAATTCTGAGCTACTTGCAAGAACTGGGATTATTTATTAGGAAAGAAGGAAATTTAGGAATCCCCACACCCACTGCTCATCCAACACCTGCATTCTCTACTCCCTTGTCTGGGTGCCCTTCTCACCTCTGCTACTTGTCTAATGCTAATTTTTCTAGAGGTGCTGGGTATCACCATCCCTGGGAAGCCTTCCTGAAACTTCCTGCTGGTAGGGTTGATTATTCCCTCTTTGCTAGTCCTCTAGAGCTTGGGTATCTTCTATTTTTAATGGACACTTACGAATTGGGCACATACAGCTCCCTCCCTCACCCACATCACCTCCTAACATTGTGACAGCACCAGTTAGGCTCAGGGATGCCCGTTGCTTGTGACTTTATCTCAGAAGCTTTGTGTACAGATGTGTACATAGACACAAAGGAAAAGGTACAACTACTGAATGACATGAATAAGTACACGCAGACAGAGACGGAAAAGCATCGACATGTACATGTAGACACGGAAGCAGGCAGATGGACACTCAGGGATTTGGTGTCTTTCGGGTACATTTCCTGTTGCATTTTCTGTCCCAGGAGTCTGATAAGAACCTTGGTTTACTTTTTCTGTGCAATTTAAAAATAAAAACATAATCAATGGTCAAATCACCTCTCCCTCCAGCCAATGTTCACACTTTACAGAAATCTGTTTTCCTGCTGAAAGCCCTTTCCAGACTTACCTAGTCCCTGCTCTTTGGGATTTATGTATTTACAAGAAAACCCCCCACCCAACCTCCAAAACAAGCTCTGAGAATGAATAAGTCTCAAAGGTTAACGTTACCTATATGATAGTCCCCGATACTGTGTGGTGACATCGAGGAGGTCACCTGGTTTGGAGCCGATTCCATTGCCAGCCTTTGGAAACATAGCAAATCCACAGAAAAAGCAGAAAGTCAGAGAAAAGGGAAGCTGTGAATTCCCAGGACTCCTGAAGACACAGTTCCCAGGGCATCATAGCAGCAGGAGTAAAGCATGAGATCCAGAGCCAGAAGACCCAGGCTGCCATCTTGTGTGCCTCCCCTGAGCATGGCTGCCTCCTCACTGAACTAAGGACAAGCCCTGCTCAAAGCGGGGTTTGGGGGCCAAGTTGGATCAGAATTGTAAAAACTCTTTTGAACACTCTCAAGTACTTTAGAAATGATGCAGAGAGACTGTTAATAATATTGTTCCCACTTTATGCTTCTCAGTCCTTTATGAACATGAAGAGCTCCTAGACTTGAGCCACTGTGGTGGACAGATTTCTCATAAATCTCCCATTTCTCCTTTTTGCCTCCAGGACATTCCACAAGGCAGTCACAAAGGTATAAGAGTGCCACCAGAGAATGGTCCTCCGGGATGGCAGCATGGACCAATGGCTGGGCATTCAGGAGAGCTTTTCCTCTACGGAGGAGTCCTCTTGCCCATGCAAAGAGGAAACAGATGGGGGTCGGGATGAATCATCAAGCATAATCCAGAGGGGAAAGAGCACCCACACAGGCAGGTTTAGAATTTTGAATCAAAATGACATATTTTTGCATATGTTTTTAAAAAAGTGTTGTTGAGTGTTCAAAACCTCTGCTGATTGACACATTTCAGTTCATTCCTGGAAAAGATTTCCCCTGACTCCTGCTTGAAAAGGTAATTGCAAAATTCAATCATTGCCCCTCTCTTGGACTGACAAAGCCAGGACAAAGGAACAAGATTGTGCAGTGAGGGTCCTGGAATGAGGAGGAAAGGGACCTGGAACTGGCCCTGTTGTGCCCAAACCTCCCGGGGCCCAAGGTCCTTACAGTCAGAGAATCCCCCAGAGCAGCCACCACTTGGATATCTGCGGGCCTCAGGGCATGCACTGGAAAGATAAGCAGACATTCTTGAGTCTGCGGGAAGGAAGCGGGAGTCAGAGTCTAGTGCTTTTTTGCTTTAAGCAAGACCAGAAACACAACCTACATGTACATTTGGACCATGCAGGATTGGGCTTCTGTAGTGCCACAGAAGTGGAGGTTATATGAAGGAAGTTTCCCCATAACTCACCTTGGACCTATATCAGGGGAGAGGGCAGAGAAACCAAAAGACGGAAAGGGAAGGCAGGATGGACAGAGTAGGATCCACCACTGTAGTGCTAATGGTCCTATGAGAGGTCAGCTGTGGCCTGAGTGCACTGGACCATCAGAGGTGAGGAACAGGGCCTGCATACAGCCCTCTTAGAGCTGGGTTTTGAATTTCCACCAAGAATCTGAGTTAAATCATGTGGGGCCTTTTCCTCTCTCACTCTTCTCTACCCCCCTCCCCAATCTCTTCTGAAGAGCCCAAGGAATCTTCCAGGCCTTACTGTAGGCTGCAGTGACTGCAGAGCCTAAGGTCCCAAGTCCAAGGAGGAGGCTTTCTCATGGGACTCCCTGGCCTACCCTCTGAGCTACACCACACTACAGGACTGAGCCACCCCCTGTAACCTCACAGGCTTCTCCACCTGTGCCCCCTCTAAGAGGTGAAGCAAACAGCTCCTAGCATGACGCTGTCATAGGTCATAGGAAGGCAAAGCAGGTATACACCTCAGATAGGAAGCAAGCACCGGTCACAACTGTGCCATGCAATTAGCTATGGAAAGTCTGGCCAGACTGCTCACTGGTATGTAAGTCCTTGTGAAAGGGCCCTGGATCCTGCTGTGTCATGGGGGCATACCTGAAGTGGGCGGCGATGCAGAAGGGGTTCTGTCCCTGCATGGAAGCCAGGTCCCGTGGGCCTAAGGGAACAGAATAAATCCCAGAATCTCAGAGTTGGAAGGGTCCAGAGAGGCCGGCTAGGTACCAAACATACCCATAGGACTTTAAAAATAATAAAAGATCTTGGGCCCTACACCTGGGAAAGGGTCTCAAAAGGGCATTTGAAGTTTCCCTAGGTGATTCTGAATACCAGCCAGCTTGAGATAATCTGTAGTCCAGTTCAGACCCTTCCTCCAGCCAATGAAGACTTGGAGCTTCAATATCTGTGCCCACAACACCTCCACTCCTGCCCCAGTTTTGTGAGGATGGGTGTCTCCATGACATCTTGATGGGCTGTGGTTTGGTTGGCTGGTTTCCTGTTCAGCCATTAACGATGGACTTTACTCTGCCCTCTACCCTGGCTGCAGGTGTGGACCAGTGAATGGTCTTTATAAAAGGGTGTGACTCTCCATTCCCTGGGCTGTCTGTCAGGAACTGAACCTACCCTGTTGGGCCAGTTCCTGCTCAGGAGCTTCCTATCACCCTCCCTGCTGAGCCCAAAGAAAGCAATCAACAGATACCTGCATGCTGTTCTTGGAGGTGCCCAGAAACGGCCAGACCTGTGGAAAGAGGGGCACAAGAGCAGCGTGTTTGCTTTCCTTCTCTGTTTACCAACCTGCAGTAAGTGTGGACCTGGATACACACCCTTGGCCTCCCCCACTCTACATTCCGATCCCAGGTTCTGCCAGCCAGGCTGTCCACTGGGGGTTTCTTACCAGGATGCACTGGGGCCTCTACAATCCAAATCCAGCACCAAGCCTTAGAAAACCCTCAAGTGACTCCCAGGAAGGCTTAGGTCTTCCCTCCATTGCCACCCCGCTGGCTGAGGATGTGAAGCTGCCTCTCTTTCTGCATCCTATCCCTTCCCCAAAGTGCAACTCTTTCTGGTAATTAAAGTTCTTGTCTCCACTTCCTGGGCTCCCTTGTTACCCCATGCCCACCCTACCCCGCAGCCACATGGACTCCTTCCTGCTCGTGCAAGGAATTCAGGATTTGGTTCTTTCCCATGCAAGCCCCGGTACAGTGGTTCTCATTGTCAGGCCGCCTGGGACCCTTCTGGGTACACAGAGGAACTCCTGGGGATGAGGGCAGCAGCTGTAGAGCTCCAAGAATGTTTCTGACAATTTGTGGATGAAAACAGGGGTCTTGTTCCACGTTTCCTTCCTGCTTAGTGTCTGTTCTCCTCGTTCTAGCTTCCCTTTTACCGCCCCGCCTCCACCCTCCATCCAATCAGAGATCATTCTAGTTCTTTGTTTCTTGCTCTTCCCAGATGGTCATGGAGGTACATCAAGACTGGGTATCCTTCTGTCCCATTGCCCCTAAAATTCTCCACTGCTCCCAGCCTTCAGTATAAGAGCTGGACTTGGCTGCCATGTTCTCCTTGTTTACTCAAAACAGTGGGGCCCAGCCTGGATTTATGCCAGGGCTCCCTACCATGCAGAGACAGGAATGTTCCAGGGCCTCCAAGTCACAATCCTCATCCCTCTCAGGTCAACTGAAGGGGTTACCCTGGATGAATAACCTGGGGTGTTGAGTGGGCTGGATATGTGGGCAGAGCGGGGACTGGGGTGAATGCCTGGGATGAGAGGAACTAAGAAGCCTAATGAGAGCCAGGACCTGGAGAAGATGCTGTCATTGGAGGTGTTGCGGGGTCATGCTTCTCACTGTACCTGGTTCGGACACACGATATCCATCTTGTTTTCAAAATTATGCTGTGTCGTCTTCTGGCCAACGGGTTCCAGCTGAAGCAAGAAGCAGAAAGATGGGGAGTGAGAGAGAGGCAGCTGGAGTGGGAGGTCAGGACGCAGGTCGGGGTGGAGGAGATGAAGGAACGGGACTCGGAGGGCATGTCCTCCCTTAGCCATCTTACCATGTTTTTCCAGAGGGCACTGGCTGCGTGGGCGTGAGCCTTGCTGCTGAAGTGAAAACAGTCAGGGGCAAAGAAGGAGCTGTCGGGCAAGCCGTCCTGGTCACCAGGCAGAAAAAAAGAGTCCGTTTTAGAGATTTTGGATGGCACCACCGACACTCAGAACAGCTGTGTGCCTCTAGGGGTTCTACTCATCCAGGACACATCTGGCTTTACCAAGGTCTTTGGCATGTCCACTTTTTCAAGGAATGGCTGCACAACCACGGTGAAATCCTCCCTCGTGTCGTAACGCCCAGTGTCAATCAGCTGCTGAGTCCCCTCCTGCAGGAGGAAAAAGAAATGAATGGGTCAGGTGGTCCTCTGGCATCTTCTTGGCCCTTGATCAATCTCTTCTCTGATACAGAATTAAACAGAATCTGGCTGTTGGGTAAATCAGACCTCAGTAAAATCTCAACTGATCCAGGACCCAGATAGCTAATTTTTGGGTCAGCCCCAATCTCATCCCTTGGCCCCCACCTCTGCTGCAACTTTATATACTTGATTCAGGCTGTGAAAAAGGAAAGGTAAGTGACAGTCTGTCAGCTTGAGCCCCTTTTAAAGCTATTCTGATTAAAGCCTTGGTGGGGGGGGGGGGGTTGATTAAATGACATTTTAGATAATTCTTACATTTAATTTATTTCTGTCCTATATTTGTCCAGAAAAATCAAAGGTGAATCAACACCATTTAGGGAATATTCATGTTGCTTGTGCCCCAGGATGTGTGCACACGTATGTGTGCTATTTCAAGGTTCTTGGATCCATCCAGGAGGGTAACAGAGCAGTAACCCTCATGGGTGCTGCCTGGGCTCAGTTCTGGGAAAACCAGCCACCCCAGTTAGGGCTCCAGCTTCTGCCAGATTCTGCCATGTCACTGCTCATCAGGACTTCTGGCATTTGGGGCCCAGACTCTGGCCAGAGAGGGAAGTCGGGAAGTTGGGAACATTAGTGTGGTCACCTTAGAATTCACCATGCAATCACTGTCATTTCCCAGGGCCAGAGAAAGAGATCCCCTGTGTCAGAGAAGACTCATGCTTGACCTCCTGGACTAGTTTCCTCAGTAACAGGCAAAGCCTTGAGAAAGTCAGGGGAGTGGGGAGAAGGTGGCCTCTCCAAAGAGGAGAGGAAGGTGCTATAGTGCTAACTAACTGGGTGACCTTCAGCAAGCTGCTACCCTCTCTGGATTCCTTTTTCTGATCTGTAAATGGAGGATGTTGGGTAAGCCCTAAATCATCTCTTGGGGCCCTTCCAATGCTACTGATTTTCCAGGGATAAACCACAAGACTTATAGTTGGACAATTGAGAGAAATAGTGTGCAGAGCCTCTGGCGCGTGTGAGTGCTAAGTAAATGACTGTGATTATTAATAGTAAAGGTGACATCTAGGGAGAATGAGGAGAACCATAGCTTTTGCAGGGAATGGGAAGTGAGATGATCCTGAGAGGGTGTGATGGCCTCATGTGACTGACATCTGAACATCTCCAGGACAAGATCAGACCTGGGAAGAGCTGGCCTATCAACAGAGGTCCAGGAAGGCCATTTTGGTAAAACATAGTTATCTCATTATCTGTGGGGAGTTGATTCCAGGATTCCCCACGAATCCCAAAATCCATGGGTGTCCAAGTCCCTTACGTAAATAGCATAGTATTTGCACAGAACCTATACACACCCTCCATATATTTTAAATCACCTCTAGATTACTTAGAATATGAAATTCAGCATAAATTCCATAAAAATAGTTGTTATACTATATCGTTTAGGGGATGAATAATGACAAAATATGCCTGTACATGTTCAGAATAGATGCAATTTTTTTTTCCTGAGTATTTTCTCTCTCTGGTTGGTAGAACCCAGGGATATGGAATCTGCAAATATAAAGGACCACCTGTATCTCTCCTTTTGGACTCAACATCTGAACTCACTTCCTAGGTTTAAGTTCCCCACTGTGGGAAAAGCAGTCTTCCTACTGGAGAAGCTGGAAAAGACAAAGGTCATTTTTCCAACCCCCCTTGCAGAGAGGGTGTGGGCACAGGATGAGGCTCCCCTACCCAAGCCCAGTCTCAGGGATACAACAGAATCCATTCCACCAAGAGTAGCCATTGTTTTCAGTCCCTAGGGGCAGCAATGACGGTGGTATCCACCATGTCTCCCCTGGATGAGGTCTCTGGCCTCATGTTAATTCTTCTGGCTTGTCCTTAGAATTGTCTGATTCTATAATTCTTAACAGCTTAGCCTCAGACCTGAGAGCTCCCTAACTCTTCCAAGATTTTGCTTCAATATTACATCTGCTTAAATTAGCTAAAATCTACATGAATTTCTGTTGCTTGCACCCATCCCTCTGTCATAACTTCAGCTATCTTCTCTCTCCTGATAGACTGAAGTATGGACTTCCTCATCAGAGTGACCGATGACTCTTCATGGTAGAAGGCAATGAGGCTGGGGAGTCAGTCACCAGAGGATGGTGAATATAGGTTCATTTCTCAGAGCCCCTGAATGCCTAGCAAGTACGGCTGCCTCAAACGTATCAACCAAGGAGTCCATAGATTTTTGAGAGGGGTAGATCACCTCTGCAAGTTGTTAGCAGCCTGTGAAAGGAAGGCCACCACAGTCCCTTTCAAATGACTGAACAATTACTTACAGGGTAACTCAGGACAGTCAAGGGAGTCAGCTATCTGATAAAAAGATTTGGCAATGAAAGAATTAAAAGAACAATCCACAAGACAGAGGCCATCTGATGACCCCTTCTCCTTGTGCTCTCCAGGAACAGCTGTCCCCAGGGATGGGAGGGCAAAGGGAGTGCACGTCCTCTCAGGATCCTCATGACCCTGTAGGGAGGAGATGTTGCAGCCTGTTTCCTGAGCTTCCCGGTGACAGCAGCTCAGAGCATAGTGGCTTGGACCTAAGTGGATTCACACTGAGCTTTCTTTCCATGATACACATTTGTCATGACAACTGGAATCATCTGTTTTCATGTAAAGGCCAGGAACTCGGGCTCAGTGAAGTACATCCTGTGACTTGGCTCTGTAGCTTCATTCAAATAAACAGAACCGCAGCCTCTGCTGCCCCTGGGGGGTGTTGAGAACTGCATGCTAGTCAGGGTTCATTGCCAACACAGTCAGGGCCAAATTACCTAGCATCTCAGAACACAGCAATTAACCCACACAGCAGTCCCTGGCAGTTGGAAAGCCCTTTCCCTATAGGAGTAAGTATCAGCTCACCTGATACTTCTTGTTTAGATCGATGAGGGAGGCCAGTTCTGTTGAGTTATCGTCAAACTTTAAGACACAGGGACACATAGCCCTGTAGATAAAACAGAAGAGACACTGTCGAATAAGTGATGCAGGAATGTTGGCTTGAGACTCTGAATGTATTTCAAAGCTATGCTAAGGGTCAATGAAGGTGTCCCTGACCTAGATTTGCTCTTGAAAATGAAACAGTTACTCTGACAACTGTAGGAGTGATTGTTTCGGAGATGAGTCACCTTATGGCTGTCTGAGGCCCATCCTGGGCTGAGAGGTCCACGTCTTTCTAAATAGTAACAGTGACAAAAATAATTGTTAATGTACATTAAGTGCTAACTGTGCCAATCATGGTGATATGAGATTTATGGGTATTAACTTGTTTAATCCTCCTGTTTTATAGATGAGAAATCAGAGCTCATGATAGTTAAGTATCTTTCTCAAAGTCACAGAGCCATACAGATGCCGAGTGTGGGAGCCTGGACTTGAATTTGAGTCTCTCTGGCTCTGAATCTGAGCTCTGAGTCTCTGTACTAAATTGTTCTGGTGCTCATGTCTGATCTGCAGCTTTGCACTGGCTAGCCATCCAGCACATTTGGGTTTTGGACCAGGAGGATGAAGTAATAATAGTGCAGAGGGCTCAGCGTAGACCCAGCCCCACCTAGGACGGCTTGGCCACTAAAGACAGCAGAGACACAGGGTTTCGCAGAGCACTGGAGAAGAGTCACAGGACAAGGTGCCCCTTATTCTATCCAACTGTGACACTCACAGACCTGGCCATTTCAGGTCTTCAAACAGGCTTGGCAAGTGCCTACTCTGAACCTTTGGTTTTAATAGTCTAAAAAACCCTGCAGCAACCAGTAGCAGACTTTTTGGAGAGCTGTTCTTGAAGTGGAATGAATACCCTGAGCCCCCTGTGTGGCCCAGTGATTGGAGAAAGTGGGAGCCAGTGAATGAATCAGTATTTGAAAATAGCATGCCTGGCACCAGTCACCTTAATCAGCGCGTGTCACCCAGCAGCCTCCTGTCTCTGCTCATGGTCCCTGATGATTTCCCAGGGGACCTGTGCAGTCTGGGCCCCCTAAGTAAGGTTTGGCATGGATTGTCAGGGGATTGCCAACGTACCCCTTAATTTCCAAGAGCAAATCTGGCCCTTGTGAATTATTCACTCAGCTATTCAGCAAACAGCTGCTGAGCCCCTGTGCTGTGCTAACAGTGACTCAGAGTTCTTGGGCGGTGGGGGATAATTAATAATTACCACATGATGTGCTCAGGGATATGGAAGGGCCTGGACCGGGATTCAGAGCTGGGGGGAGGGTTGCACAGCCATCGTAACCTGGGCTAATGTTTCACATAGGACTTGTAAGAAAGAATGCTGTGGGAAATGGGCAGTTAGAAAAGCATCTTATTACTGAAAGTCATGGAAATATGAAATACTAGAGAGGGAAGCCATCTTTATTTGGTCTTGGAGACTGATTAATGAAGAGAGTCTCTTAGGGGCCCTCCCAGGACCAGGCTTCTCTCTTCTCTGGGGAAGACTCTATTCTCTGCACACTGCTGACTGATATGGCTACCTCATTCTTTAACAAGTGACAATGGCTCTGTATTTGTGAATGTCCAGCCTGGAGTATACATACCAACCACAGGCACTGTCTGTCCTGGAGATGGGCTGACCTCTGGGAGGTGACACTCTGGATACACTGAGAAGTAAACCTTACCCATATGACCCGACTCCATTCCTAATGCCTTTCTCTCCCCACCAATGTGTCAGAAGCAGGGTGGGCTTCATGTGCAAGGTGCTGAGGCCCATGCCCAGCTCAGAACCCCTAGGATGTCCCCCCATGAGCCATTTTCAGTTTAGAAAATAGAGAAGCCTTCGCACTCCTCCACACTCTGCCCTGGGGTTTTCTAACAAATCTGCTAAGGGTCCACAGCCCTTTTTGGAACTGGAGGAGAGTTTCAGTCTCACCTGAGGATCAGCCGCGGGCAGCTGATTGTTCTCTCCTTGTACAGCTCCCTCAGGTTGACGATCTCCAGCACCTTTACTAGGTTCACAAATGCCCGAGGAACCTGCAAAAAGGAAGAATCTGTTACCAAGAGAACAAGGCTGGGCGACTCCAGCCTCCTGTGTGGACCCGGGCTGCTCCTCCTGCTGGAGTCCAGATGGAGAGAGGTCTGTCTGGCCCCGTCCCTTCCTTCCTCCTTCCCTTCTCCCTCCTCTCAGTTCCTCTTGGAGGCCCGTGCCCACAGGTTGCTGGGGACACAGAGGACCTGCAGGGAGGTGTTTGAACCCAGAACTGACTTAGCCTGGGTCGGAGGCCCCAGATGAAGGCTGCGGTGGAGCTGCCAGAGGATGGGCAGTCCTGCCTCCGTACCTCAGCATGGAAGATGTCCAAAGCCTTCATGATGTTGTTCGTGAAGTTCTGGGGAGAAGAGTGGACCTGCAGGAAAAGGGAATGTCTCCTGAACCCCATTTACCCCAATCTCTCTAAAGACCAGGGCCATTTTCTCTATCAGCTTCTCCTTAACCTGCATTGGAGTCAGAGCAGGCAATATTGAAATAGAGGGTTTATCTTTGGGCGTCCCATCTTTGATCCCAAGCCCCTGGTCCTCAGGGAATTGCCCTTTCTTTTACATGGAGCTATAGAAAGCTCTGGATCTACTTCACATCAACCAGATGTAGTGCTTTAGTTAAGGCACGTCCCTCCTCTGGCCCCTCTGAAATGGAGGTGATAGAACAATTGGCCTCTGAGATCTCCTGCACCCTGACTTTGGGCTTCAGGTATCTGGGGTGCCATATCTTAAGCAGCTGGCTTATGGAGATAACAGGAGGGGACAGGGGTCTCATGGAACACCTGCCCCCAAGCAAAGACACATTACTCTTATTTCCCCTGATCTTGCTATTTGTGGTTTGTAAACTTTTGTTAAAACAGAGGAACTCTTTCTCTGAATGAAATCCAACTAAGAGCCTTGCTCTATGAAACAGATCAGAGCTGTCACTCAAGGGAGCCAGGGAGGGGTCCATGGTCCCGGCTCCCCATCTGCCTCTTGCCTCCTCGTGGATGCTTCAGATCACAACTTGAAAGGCCCTGGCCCCATGTGATTTTGATCCAGGATACAGCTCTGTGGGCTGTGGGGCTGGGAGCAGGGTTGCCCTTCTGGGCAGGCACTCACAAGCTGCAGCAAGATCATCACCTCGCACACCTTGTTCTACTGATCCCCTTTCTGCCTACCTAACACACCCATCTTCAAGCCCCGGCTGGAAAGTCTCCGTGCTGTGCTCTGACGACTGCCACCCCACACACACACCAAGTACCGCCGACTCAGACTCCCTTATGTGCAGCACCAGAGCACATGGTGATGTTTGTTATTGTGATTTTCCTGTATCTCTTCCTTCTCCCACAGGGCAGCTCCTCAAGGACAGAACCGGTTTCATTCACTACTGCTCAGCTCCTAGTGCAGTGCATGGGTGCATGGGTGCTGGACTTATCAATATGGCCCCAGGGGTTTCTTTCTGGTCAGAGATACTAGGATTCCAGGAAGACGTGCAGCAACTGAATCTTGGGCTTCCCATTAGCCCCAAATGATGTGGCTCTGAACCCCAGCCTAACCACCCTCCTAGGAAATCAACTTTATACAAGTGACAGCGCAAAATCATGGCAAGCCTGGACTTATGATTAAGAAGCTGATTTATAATTATGTCTGAAGACAGGCAAGACTTTTCTGGATCATGGGAATGTTATCCCGGTTTCTAGAATGATCTGACCAGGATCCTCTGGTTAGGAAACTTCATCAGGATCAATTTTCTAGATTCTGCTTGTCCTGTTGCATCTCTCCCTGGAGGTGAATGCCCTCTGAGTTCCAGGGTTAATCTCAGGCTGGTTCCAATCCAAACCATGAGCCCTGTCGAACCTAGATGTGCTTCTCCAGAAGCCAAGCAACCAGCATTATGGTTCCATCTTTGATCCCAAGCTCCTGGTCCTCAGGGAAATGGCCTTTCTTTTACATGGAGCTACAGAAAGGTCTGGATCTACTACATCGACCAGATGTAGTGATTTAGTGAAGGCCTGTCCCTCCTCTGGCCCCTCTGAAATGGAGGTGTTAGAACAAGGAGGTGTTTTTTTGTGAGAATGAGTCTTGAAGGGCCCAGAGACCTACCGGGTTATTGCAGAAATCACAGAGATCATTGCCTCCTATAAACAGGGTGATTATCTTCCAATCCTCCTGAAAATTTATCCTCTGAAATGAATAGGAACAAGTAAGTACCCGTCTCAGAGTTAAGTCCAGGAAAATACAAAGTGCTGAACATGGGAAGTGAAGGATCTCCACAGGCCAGAGAATGTAGTGGACATTCATATTTCCAGTTCTTTGATTTTGGATTCCTGAGGTCATCAATGCTAAATGGTTCATTTATTTTAGATGGAGTCACTGGACTTCCATGTGGCTCTGTGTACACATAGCAGCATACAGGTCACAATTTTCAATTGTCCTGGTGGGAGTGGATATGCTGGTGCCTTCTGAGCTTTGGGTGGGGGATACAAGAAGCTGGACCCTGCCCTGGGAAGGGAAGTTTAGTTCTGGGACCTTCTAAAAACCTGGAATACTTACTTTTCCTTAAGGGAGAAAGGACCATCTTCCATGAAGTAAGGGAGCCCTCAAACTCAGATCATACACTAAAGTCAAAGCTGCCCATGAACAGATCAGCTAGAGATGCTGGTCAGAGCAAGATGGCAACTCTAAGCACATGCTCAGAAGCTCAGAAAAGGTTGGGGTTTTTTTTTTGTTGTTATTTTTTAACCTTTGGCACCTGCATCCTCCAGGAGGGACCCGGGGAAATATTTGAAGTCACAGGATTGGGTGGAAGGGTCTGGCCATACAAATTCTATAAATGGTGGCCCAAGAATTTGTGGCCCTTGCAATCTCTTACATTGTCTCTGATCTATGTAACTTTGCTTCTTTGGCTTCCAGAAGAGTGAAAGGAGAAAGATTAAAAAATTCAGAGAAATCTGACATAAGGATAGAAATATTCAGAAACTTACCAATAATAGACTTTGGAGTACAGTAAAATACATATAAAATAATTAATCCCAATTCCTCTTTTTTAAAAAATTATTTTATCCACTTGGGAACAGCTCCAAAAGGTCTGAATTGAGAATCTGCTTTCATTTGCGGGAGAACCTCATGTTCATCTTTCGGAATCTAGCTTAACTGTCTCAGTCCCCTTCCCTGGACCCCCCAAGCAGAGGGGCCTGCCCCTTCTTTTGCACCCCTACTCTACCTTACACATAACCCTCTTTATATAGCATATGTCGACTGTTTCCTGGTTTTTGTTCTTCCCCTTGAGCTTCTTCTTGAGGACAGGACTGTGTTCCACTCCTCTGTGCATTCCCAACCTCAGTCCAATTTCCAGCTCATGGTGTTTAATCTGAACAGCTGGCTGACTGACCAAACAAATGAATGGGAAGCCTCTTGTCAGAGGAGCAGAGGTCCAAGCCTAAACCGTGACTGCTAGATTCCCAGCCTGACTCCCATGTACCTCTCACCCCACCCGACCTTCTCTATGTCCATGGGTTTATCCTGCCTACTTCCTGTCCCAAGGAGTCCCTCCCTGACTCCCCAGACTCACTGAGTCATTCTTCATCAGGTCCACCAGCTTCCTGGCCTGTGTCGGTAAATCCCTGTGGGCACACACAGAAGAAAGTGGGATGAGGAGCACAGACTGAGAGAAAAACTTAGCAGAGAGCAGATCAGATACAGAGAAGAACCAGGGGCAGAGGAGAACCAGGGGCTCCAACAGCAAGGGACACTAGGAGAGTCCCGTCCAGCCTCTGACCCCAAATACTCCTTCCCCACCTTCAGCCATAAACCCCCATTGAGGCCAACCCCCTGGGCTCAGCGTTGCCCACCCCCAGGGTGCTCCGGCTCACTCAGCTTTGGCTCCTGCCACCGCCTGGTTTAAGAAAGCCCCGGGAGTGTTTTCCTTCCCCGTGCCAATGGAGAAGCCCTGCAGGGCAGGGTTGAATTCCCGGAGGATGTCTGGAAACATAAGGAAGGGAGAGACATGTTTAGCAAGTACCCCAAAGCAATCATCAAATTCCTATGACGAGTCCCATTGGGTGTTAGGGACAGTCCTCCCTCTTACCCTACTGTTTAGTCAGCATGAGAATAAAATGTGCCCAGCTTAACCACACAGCCCATGGGCAGCACGTAATAGATGCCCAGCAAATTACTGTTTAATGCATGCAAGTCCAGGTTAGGTGCTTTCTCAGGCATTTTTGTCTTTTTTCAAAATATATAAAGCTGTGTTGAGATATAATTCATGACACAAAAGCTGCCAACTTAAAAGGACATAGAGTGTGATCATTTTGAGTATATTCATACAGTCAAGCCACCAACATGACAATTTCAGAACCTTCCCATCTCCACCAAAGAAACCTGTGCCACCAGCAGTCAGTCCCCATTCCCTCCAACCCTCTGGCAACCACTAATTTACTTTGTCCCTAAAGATTTTCTTACTTTGGACATTTCATATTAAGTGAAATCATACACTACAATGTCTTTCGGGGCCGGCACTTTTTACTGAGCATAACGTTTTTAGCGTTCACCCATGTTGTAGCATGCATCAGTACTTCATTCCTTTTTATTGTTAAATAATATTCCAGTGTATGGATATGCCATATTATATTTCTCCATTCTTCAGTTCATGGACATTGGAGTTGTCTCCACTTTTGAGGTATTATGAACAATGCTGCTAAGAAAATTTGTGTACAAATTTTTGTGTAGATTTCTCTTGGATACATACCTAAGAGAGAATTGCTGGCTCACATGGTAACTCTTCTTAACCTTTTGAGGAATTGCCAGGCCTTTACCCTGAAACAACTGTACCATTTTATATTCCCACTAGCAGTGCATGAGGGCTCCTACTTCTCCACATCCTCACCAATACTTGATCTGTCTTTTTATTATGCCTATGCTATGGATATGAAGCAGTATCTCAATGTGTTCTTGATTTGCACCAATGGCTACTGGTGTTCAGCATCTTCTCATGTGCTCATTGATTGTTTGTATGTCCTCTTTGAAGATACGGTATTCACATCCTTAGTCCATTTTTAATTGAGTTATCTTTTTACTATTGGCTTTTAAGAGTTCTTTATAATTTCTAGATATAAGTTTCTCATTTAAACATATGAGAAATATTTCTCTCTTTGGGTTGCCTTTCTTGATGATATCCTTTGAAGAACAATATTTATTTACTTATTTTCCACTTGTTCTTTGGGTAGTTTATCTAAGAAGATTTTGTTTAAATTATAATCATGATGATTTGCTTCTATATTTTCATCCTAGAAGTCATATTAGCTCTTACAGTTAGGTCTATGATCCATTTAAAGTTAAATTTTATATATTGTGGGTGGTAAAACTTCAACTTTTTTCTTAGGTACTTGACTATCCAATTGTCCTGGTACCATTTGTTGAAAAGACTATTCTTTCCCTATTGAATGGTATTGGCCTCCTTTTTGAAAATTAGTTAACCATAAGTATAAGGGTTCATTTCCCACTCTCAGTTCTAGTGGATTGTGCTATAAGTCTATTCTTAGCCAGGGCCACACCATCTTAATTACTGTAGCTTTATAGTTAAGTTTTGAAACTGGGGAGTATGAGTTCTCCAAATTTATTCTTTTCCAAAACTATATTGGATATTCTGAGTCCCTTGAACTTCTACATAAATTTGAAGGTCAGCTAGCCAGTTTCTGCAAAGAAAACACCTGGAATTTTGATAGGGATTATATTGAATATGTAGATTAATTTGGGAAATATAAAAATCAAATCTGATCCATGAACATGGGATGTTTATTTAATTAGGACATTAATTTCATTTAGCAATATTTCATGACCTTAAGACCAAAAGAAATGCACTTCTTCTGTTATATTTATTCCTAAGTAGTTTGTTCTTTTTGATGCTATTGTAAATGGAATTGTTTTATTTCATTTTCAGATTATTAATTAGTATATAGAAATACAATTGATTTCTGTATATATTTTTATCTATAAACTTTCTGAACTCATTTACTAGTTCTAATCTTTCAATCTTGATACTTTTTCTTTCATTTTTCTTGCCTAACTGTCATCACTAGAAATTCCAGTAAAAAGTTGAGTAAAGTGTCTTATTCCTCATCTTATTCCCCAGCAGGCAGCACCATTAAGCATGACATTAGCTGTGGGCTTTTAATCAATGCCCTTTCTGAGATTTGGGAATTCTTTATTCTGTTCCTACTTTATTGACTGTTTTCATCTCAAAAGGGTACTAGACCTTACAAAATGTCTTTTCTGGATCATCATAATTGAAACAATCATATAGTTTTATCCTTTATTCTGTTTACATAGTATATGACATTAATCGATTTTGGTGTTTTTTAACTTTGTACTCTTGGACTTAGAATAAATCCCACTTGATTGTGTGGTATAATTTTTTGGTATATTACAAGACTTGGTTTCCCAGTGTTTTGATGGAATTCACCAGTGAAACCAGAAACGCCTGGCCTTTTTTAATTTTTTTCCGTGTGTATGGAAAGTTTTAAAATCACTAATTCAACCTCTTTATTATTATAAATCTATTCGGCTTTTAATTTTTCTTATTTTATTGAGTTCACGTCAATGGTTTGTTTTTTCCTAGGAATTTGCCCATTTCATCTAAGTTATCTAGTTTATTGGGCTTTACCACAATGGATCTACTCTTCACTTGTCATTTTCCCATCTCCCCAACTTCGTGGAGAACTCCTCAGAGCAGGGTCTGTACATACTCTAGGGCCTCCCAAGCTGCTCATTAAATGTTTGTGAGATAAAATGAAGTTCAGACAGGCTAGGAGAATTGTTTAAAGTCCTATAGCCACTGAAAACAGAATGCTAGGCTAGAACCATGGTGTCTCGGGTCCAATACAGGCACTTTCCCCTGTCCTAGTCTACTAGGAGGTGGGGATGGGACTAACTGTATGGCAGATGGGATATCAGGGCCTCGTGTCATCCAGAAGGATGCTCTTTAGAACCCAGCATTGCTGGTTCTTCTTAACACTTAATACAGGTAGATTGGGCTTATCCTGATGGCTTCAATAGAAAAACTGAAATTACCAGGTCTTAGGGTTTGGATATGAAGATCCCATGTGTAAGACAATGCAAGAATTGTTCAGAGGTGAAGTGGTTAAGTTGTGAGAGTAATAACGTAATCAGTGGATTAATCCCAATGTGAATTAACTGGGTAGTAATTGTAGTTAGGTGGGGAGTGGCTGGAGTTGGTATGCTGCTGTGGGTGGGTGGGGGGGCTTTGAGGTTTACATTTTGTCCCTGGTGAGTGGAACTCTCTCTCTCTCTCTCTCTCTCTGCTTCCTGATTGTTATGACCTGAGCAGCTTTCCTCTTCTACATCTTTTTGCCGTGATGTTCTCCTTCACCTCTGTCCCAGAGCAATGGAATCAGCCATCTCCAGACAGAGACCTCTAAAACTATGAATGCCAAATAAACTTTTCCTCCTCTAAAATTATTCTTGTCAGATCTTTTGGTCACAGCAATGAAAAAGCTGATTAAAACACTAGAGCTATCTGAAAACGGAACTGTTTGTCCTAGAAGGTAGCAGGTTCTACATTACTGGAGGAGTCGAGCACCAGCTATGTAGCTATTCGGCAGGAATGTCATAGAAAGGAATGATACACTGGAAAGGGCAAGAACTTGCTGGTTCATGCAGTTATCTCTGCCAGGAACATTCCATCCTGTTTCCTTACCTGATAGAATCTGGTTCTTAAAGTTCCTTTTCAGAAGAGAGAGTTAGCAGTCTTCTTTTTTATTCCTCCCTAGATTTTGTTCATGGCTATAATTATCAGTACGTGGATAATCGTGTCTCTCTTTAGGGAGTAATGCCAACGTTAGTGATGTCATCAGAACATTGTTCTCCTATTTTTTGAGCACCCAGCAGTAGAGTATATTGGAGTATATGCCAATATACTTGAACAGGGGCTTGGGAAGAGGTTCTTTTTTGAGCTTACAATCTCATAAATTTCTCACGCATTTCACTGTAGTTATTTCTCCCAAGAATAATTCAGCCCCTACAATCAAATTATCTTTGCATGTCTAACAAAAAGAAGTCGGAATAGTCACCATTCCTTGGGTTAAGTGTATCAGAGGGTGGGATCCACCTGAGGGTTGATGTTGCCTTAATCCTTTGTAAATCACTTTGGCAAAAGATCTTAAACTAGATGATTTCCAATCATCTTGTCTACAATAACAGCCTGGGAATGAGAAAGTCCAGCAAACTGTTGTATATGCTAGGCTATGTCATACCCAAGTTAATCATGCTCACAAAAGCATCCCAAACTATTGCCTAGCAGTAGGGCAGTTTATTTATAGCTCTTGCGTGTAGACTAGAAATCAAGAGGACAGGGAGTACTGGGGCATAGAACTGTACCTATTTAAATTCAATATGATATGCCAATAACCCAACCAGATAACAAATGTAAAGTCTGATCAGTTCTGCCTAAGTGAAGATTAGCATCCCTGTCGTCAAAGTCTCAGCAACTTAAAATGTGGCTCATGCTACTCAGAAAGCTGAGGCAGGAGTACCACAAGTTCAAGGCCAGCCTGAGCAACTTCTCAAGACACTGTCTCAAAATGGGGGGCGGGGGAAGGACTGGGGATATGGCTCAGTGGTAGAATGCCCCTGGGTTCAATTCCCAGTGCCATTAATAAATACACACACACACACACACACACACTTTTTAAAAGGGGAAGGCAGTTCTAGGGTGTAGCTCAGTGGTAGAGCACTTGTCTAGCACATGCAAAGCCTTGGGTTCAATCCCTAGTACAACAAAAATAATTTAAATAATTTCTTAGCTCCTAAAGATATATTACAAAGAAATATCTAGGAGAAAAGTTAATGTGAATTAGACCAATTAATTCCCTCTTAGGCAAACTTATTAGCCAGAAGACTTTGAAGGGAAATAACTCAACATTAACATTCACTGCAGGTGTACTTTAAGAAAGCACTGCGATGTGTATGTACCAAAGAAAATCAAAAGATGAATAAGACCTGCCAGAGAATGCAGCCAGGCTTAAAAAAAAAAAAAAAAAATCATTCCAAGCAGGTTGTTGTTGAAGTAATCAAGAAAGATGTTAAGCTCCAAACACGGCTGTGTTTGCACAGTCTGAACAAAGAAGCTTTATCTTTCGTTGCGGTTCATAAAGCGACACACAGAATCTCAACAGGCAGCCCATGCTTCTCTCTGGGCCTCTAGGATGTTCTGCTCAGAATGACAGGCAAAGTAGAGAGGATTCCCACCCTTTTCTTCATTTTTTTAATAATCTGCACTAAGATTTGGTCTGAGCTCTTTTTCCCTCTCGTACTCCTCCTTGAACAAAGGAAATTCTCCTCCCTCTCTTACCCTTCTTCTTTAAAAACCCCAAACTCCAAAGTTTTAATCCCACTCAGAAAGCTGGGTCGCGGTGGCAGCCTTGGGGAAGCAGCGCCCCCTACTGCACGCAGCTGGCTCCCGCCGCCCGTGCTTCGCTCCAGGAGAAGCTGAGGAGGGCGCAGGTCCCCCAGCCTGCCATAAGGCACTCAGGCTGCGCTACTCACTGGCCAAGGTGGTCACGGTACTGATGTTCTGGTCTCCGCCGACACTGGGAACCAAAAAAGAAAACGGAGGTTTAAATGCCAGCGATGCTGACTGCTTCAGACAATCAGAACAGACCTTTCTCCTGAAATACAGCCAGAGGGCGGGCCCTCTCCCCATCGTGTAGGTAAAGGACTGAACAGCAAACCAGAGTACAATGCTTTTCCCTCTCCCACCAACTGTCACATCCACACCAAAAATGGATTTAAGCTGTCATGGTTGCTTTGTTTGCTTTTGAACTTTGAGCTCCGATGACCTGTCTGCAGGGGGCGGGGGTGACTAGGTGGGTTCCCCACACCCTGCTTTACAAAGGTACAGTGGCCATCCTTCTGCCAGCCCTTCCCCAACTAGCCACCACAGCTGCCTGTTACTATTACTAGTAAAAATACAATTTAAACATTTTCCCCTGCTCTTTTTCTTCCTGTTTAAAAGTAATTTTTAAAGGGCACGGTCTAGATGAAAACCATCTCCCAGTCCAGTGCTAAAATTCCAAGAAGACCAAAGGTAGATGGGTTCCTAGGCATGGAAATACATGGCATTATCCAGAATCTCTGCTCTTCTGTTTCCTCTTATTCTGTGGCAAGTACAGCTAGAAGCATCAAAAAGGTTCCCCCCATGTTCAGGGTTTAACTGCACAACATGAAAAGGAAGCCAGGGATTCTGCACTTGGATTAAAGCCAGTGCAGGATGGAGATGCCACATTCCAGGCTGAGGACACACCAAATGTGCCTGAGCCAGCCTTTTATCACACGGTGCGAGTCCTCCTCACCACGGCTTGTGGCAGTGGTTAGACCACAAGTAGAGCAGGATCAGCCTGCCTGAAGTAATATGTGTTGGGAGAATGAGCCAAATAGGGTCAGGAACCATCTTTTTGGTTTCTTTTTCTTTTATCATCTGGCTGTATGATCTTGAACAGGTTGCTTGCCCTCTCTTGAGCCTTGCTTCCTCTGAAGAATGAAGGCCATTTATAATGATCCCATCTACCATTTAGACCTATTTTGTGTCGGGCACTGGGCAGGACACTTAAATTCTCACTAATCCTTGAGCAATAACATTATCCTTGCATCCAAGATGAAGAGACAAGCTCAGAGAGGTTAAGTAACATGTGCCCAAGGTCACATAGAGCTGGGTAGGTGGGGCTCAGATACAACTCAGTTCTCAAAGCCAGGACCCACTCATCACTCAGGCCACTACCTCCTTCTGAGATTACATCACAGAGGGAGAAACAGAATACAGAGAAGCATTTCCAACCCAAACATTTATGTGGTTTCTCCCCCAGCCCCCATTCCCCACTCCTGTTCAGATCTCACCTCCTGTATTAGGGACTATGGGGGTTTGAGGGAGCTGGTAAATACCTTCCTCAAATTAAACCTAGAATTAGTCATGGAAAAGAACTAGGAGGCCCATCCCCTTCTTGAAGCATTGCTTTCTAGAAGGTTCTGTGGTCTTCAGGGCCCTACTGTGCCCTCACTCACCTCCAGGACAGGCCTCGGTACTGAGTTATGACGTCAATGATGTCCCCAGGCTTGGACCCGGCCCCGTTGCCTGCCTGAGAGGGAAGAATGAGGCATGAGTTTCCCTTGGTCCCCCAGCTGCCCGCCTCCTCATTCTCATCCCAGCCACCACTGCCTGGATGCTCTCTGCAGTCCAGATCTAGATGGTGCCACATCTGCAGGCACTTCCTGCCTCTTCAGAAAGGCTCCCCTGGGGAGAGCCTGGCACTGTGCACATCCTGAGAAAGGCTGCCTGGGCCAGGACCAAGGGCAAGCAGCAAGCCCAGGGCTCAAAACAAGCCATGGCATGTATTCCTTAGTGGGCCTATTTCAGGGTCCTATGTTCCTCGGTTTTTAAAGTCGTGAAATACATCCTAAAAGGAAACACACCATAATCCTTTCACATCCTTATGTTTCATACATGTACAGTTTTAAAAATAGCAATATGATGAAATCCCATGTTTCTTAATCCAGCTGAACTAAAAGTAGGGCTTTTTAAAACCCTACAGTGTGAACCCCTCTCCAGGTGCATGTCCGTCACCTGAAGCATGCTGTTCCTGAGCAGAGTCATTCTAAAGGGCATGTTGAGGATGCTCCCAGGGTTTGCTCCCCAATCTTCTGTACCCAATTCTTATGCTACCTGCTTGGTATGTCACACTCAAGATGCTGCCTCCCCAGGTAGTCCTGAGCAGATATGGGATTTTTTTTCCCCTGGTACTAGAGATTGAATCCAGGGACACTTAACCACTGAGCCACATACCCAGCCCTTTTTATTATTATATTTTTTTCTACTTTGAGACAGGGTCTTGAAAAGTTGCTTAGGGCCTTACTAATTTGCTGAGGCTGGTCTTGAACTTGTAGTCCTCCTGTTTCAGCCTCCCAGGTTACTGGGATTACAGATATGTGCCACTGTGCCTGACATTACAGATATGTGTCACTGTGCCTGGCATTACAGATATGTGTCACTGTGCCTGGCAAGCCATAGGATTCTTGATGGCTCCTTTTCCTAAGAGCATCTTTCAGGAGCCCAGGGGGTTAGATGGAGGGAACATCAGGCCCCACTGAGCAGGATGTGGCTGGGATGAGCAGTGTGTGAAGGTGCCTCTGTGCAGCTACAGTGGGGCCTTGGGGGTAAGGAGTTGCAGAGGGCCATGGAGGAGGCTGCCACAATACAAGGGTAGGATCCTGGACTTAGATCCCTGAGTTCTGGCCTGGGCACAAGTTGGGTGGCCTTTGGCACTCACTACACCTTCATTATTGGCTGAATGTAAGGAAAGTCAGACTTCTTGTTGTGGGTATACTGAGGAAGCTAATGTCATTGTGAACAGGCACAGACAGGAAAGGTGTCATCCAGTCCTGGGGAGAGTCTGCACTCTACTAACCCCTCAGGGAAGAGCAGCTGGGTTCTGGATGGGTGCTTATGTCTGGAGACATCTGGGAACCCCAGATCCAGGCTCTCTAAGGGCCTGATTCTGTTCTCTGTGGATTGCTTTTTGTGATGTCTAGGGTAGACCATGGGGCAGCTGCAGAGATGGGCTTGGTTATCTTTGGAACATGCACCTCTTCCACTGACTCCTGTTTCTCACCCCTGTACCTTCCTGCCCCCATTAGCACTTGTCCCCGTCCCAGGGCCTCCTCACCCCTGCCTCAGCACCTTCCCTCAGCTTTCCTATATGGACAAATCAAACCACTGCGTCTGAAGACATTCTACACCATGGCCAGGAGACCTAGTCCAATGCTCCTACCACTGATGGGCTGTGTGACTTGGGGTGGCCACTTCTGCCACCCAAACTCTCTCAAAGGTCCTTCCACTTCCTGTTTTCCCATTCACTCCAGTATGAGGGGAGGGGGAGTGATGAGGTCAGAGTAGAGATGGGAAAACATGGTGGGCCAGGAACGCTGGATGCTGGGGTGGGCAGATAGAATGGGGAAGGCCCGGAGATGAGGCCTGGACCATCTTTAAGAGCCAGGAGTGAAATTTCCTCTCTCCATTTCCTCCTCCACATTCTCAAATCCATCAAAACCTCCCTTCCCACCCTTCCCTTCTAAAATCAGAGTAACTTACCGTGAGAGAGTCACCTATGGCTCCAATGACCTTGATGTCAGCCGCCTTCAGCCTGTGAACTAAGGATACAAGCTGGAGTGAATGGCACGTAGGAGTTCCAGGAAATCTCTGGACCTCTCTCCCCTGAAAACCAGTGAACATCTTCCAGGAAAATGGAGAGAAAGTGAGTTTATAGGAACACGCCTTGGACAAAAGATCTGAGAATCCCATCCTGCCGATGGGATAGTACTAAACTAAACTGTTTTATATTGGATTTTATTTTAGGGTTAAGCAATAGCAGCCAGGAGCCCAAGTGTGGGTCTCCTCCTTGGGGCAGAGGTAGGAGCTCTAAAAGGGGATCTTCTGCTTTGTGGGTCACACAGATGCTACAAGGCTATTTGTGAGTAAAGAAGGAATTGTAGTGGAGATGGAATCCATATTTAATCTATTCCAGGCTTTGATATGATTTGGGATAAAACGTTACATCATCCTATGAAAGAGCAACCAAATTTCTCTGGAGTGAAAAGGGAAGTACTTTTACCACTGAGTTTTTTATTTTTAATTGAGGTAAAAGTCACCAAACATAACCTATTTCAAGGTTAACAATCATAATGTACAACCAGCAGCACTATTTGGTTCCAGAATATTTGATTACCCCAAAGGAAGACCCTGTACCCATCAATAAATCACTTCCCATCTTCCCTCCCTGCAGACCTTAGCAACTAGTAATCTGCTTTTATCTCTCTATGAATTTACTTATGTTTAGGATAAATAGGTTACACAATATGTGGCCTTTTGTGTCTGGCTTCTTCTACTTTGCATAATGATTTCGAGGTTCAACTATATGATTGGATACATCAATATGCCAGATATTTCATAGCAGAGTAGTATTACACTGAATGGACATACCACTTTTCTTTACCCATGGATGCATCCATGGGCATTTGTGCTGCCATACACATCTATGTGCAAAGATTTATTTGAAAACTACTTTCAATTATTTTGGCTATTTACCCTGAGAGTAGAATTGGTGAATCATGTGATAATACTATGCTTAACCTTTTGGGGAAGAAGTACTAAACTGTTTTATATCGGATTTTATAATTTAAATGTTTTAAAAAATTTCTTAGTTTTTTAAGAATCTCTTGCATTTTATCACATACTGTCATGTAGCTATTGACTCCAGCAACAAGCTTGCTGGGCACCAGGGCAGCAGCTGCTGCTCTAAGGACAACACAGTGACCAGAAATGGAGATGGCTCTCCCTTAGCTCACAGGCTATGGAGAGTGTGGGGGCATCCCTACTTATGAAAATTATAGCTTGATAAGCACTGTAGGAGGTGCAAATTGTTAAGAAGGTCCAGAGCTGGAGGGATGGGCTCCCCAGGGGCATGGCAGGGGAGGATGTCAGAGCAGACTTCATAGAGAAGGCATCACATGAATTAGGCCCCAGGGAATGGTGGGATGAGTCTGAGGGAGGGCAAGGTGTTTGGGATGGAAGGGTAGAGGGGCTACAGTAGAGTAAAATGTATGTATCTAAAGCACAGCTAGTGGTACAATTTGGTTTAAGGACTTGTGAGACTAACACAAAATAACACTGGAAAGGTAGCCTAGGGATAGGGGTCTTTCATTCTTGGCTAACAAGTCAGGAGATGAAGATGAGTGTTGCTGTGTATGTGTTTATGAACATACATGCATCTACCCTATGGGTATCTATCCCTTTTGCCTAACACACACAAGTCAACATGATTCCAAGCACATTTTGGGAACCACACCTAGAATTCCTCATGCCATATATATAGCTCTGTCCCTTCAGTCATAAACTTTCCTCCCTCTCCCCCCAAATACCTTACTCCCAAGGTCACTCTGACTTTGCCATGGCTTCATCTTTGCTCTCACACATGCGATCTGTTATCTCTGGTGGTACAATGTCGCTGCAGTAAGTTGTGAGAATAGTTCTCCTGCTTCAGAAGAAGCTAATATAGTGTTCGCTCCAGGGACTGGCCCACCCTGGAACCAGAAGCCTATCATTTAAGTGGCCCATTGCTTGATGAATAAACTGGAGCTGTCTTCAGGAGGCCTCCTGGGCAGCTTTCTCTGCTGCAGTGAATCACGGGCAATCCTTTTGGCATAGCTGGACTACAGTCAACCCGTAGCACCCCTCAACACCCAAATCATAGTTGAGTAATGATATCTGCATAGCAGGCTGTTCGGCATTCAGAGGAAAGGATGCTCAGAAGCACCTTCAGGTCTTGTCTCCTCGCATGAGAAGCCTTGGCCGTGCTGTCTGTACAGGAGGAAGTGCCATGCCCGTGAGCATTTGCTCTCATGGGAAAAGTCCCTGCTACTTCCTATGATAGGACACAAACTGACACGCCCAAAGTTCTGAATATATGCATACAAAATATTCAGATTAGCAGTCCTGATACTTGCGTCAGTCACCCGATGAGCTTGTTAAAACACAGGCAGCCGGGTCCCCCTCAGAATTTCTGATTTGGAAGATCTGGGGTGAGTCCAAGAATTTGCAAGTCGAACAAATTCCCAGGTACTGCTGAGGCTGCCAGTCCTATCTGGGACCACACTTTGAGAACTAATGGTAGAGACGCTCTTTATTTTTGAAGCTGTTGACAGTGGCTTATCTTTGATGTACATGAAAAGGCCAGGGCCATTCCTGCCATGTCTATGTACAAATTGGTTCTTACACAACTGCAGCCATAGTGTAAAGCCGGAGGGTGGGTTCACTGAGTGACCTCCTTCTGAGTCCTCCCTCCTCCTGGTCACCATGCCTTGAATACACACACACACACACACACACACACACTTCTACATGATTATAGCTGATACCTCCCAGCCTTCCACAGCTACACTATGTGGTTAGAAGAACAATATACAATCACAAAGGCAGCTGCACATGTTAGCACACATCTACAGGGCTAAGCTGGAGACCTTGAAAATGACCTTTTCTCAAAGGAGTCAGGCTGTGGGTCAAAAAGGCAGCCAAATGGAAAATAAGCCCCTTCCCCCTCAACCTGAGATGGATTATTTTAGCTCCTAGTGATGACAGTGAATCACTACATTCTTACTGCCACAATAGAATGAATTCTCTGAACATGAGCTGGTATGCAAAGGGTAGGGGAAATCTTTGGAGGCTAGTAAAATATGGACGAGATAGACAGATTTGCTTCAAAAAGCTTTGTTATTATGATTTGCTAAAAAGGTGGCCGAAATTGGCCATTCCTTTCTCTAAATTTGTCCATTTCTCTCTCTCTCTCTCTCTCTCTCTCTCTCTCTCTCTGTGTGTGTGTGTGTGTGTGTGTGTGTGTAGAAAAAGAGAGACAAATTGTTTCAGGGCTGGGGGGGAGTTGGTTTCCACTTGATCACTTGGAAGGATTCTCAGCAAGAGATAATAAATCAGTGGAATCAGCCTGGGTGGGAGGAGGTGACTTATCTGGGATTTTATTGTTAGGATGGACTCCAGAGCATTTCATTGGTTTAATTTTCTGTAGACCTTGGTTGGAGATTTATAATGTCATCATATACGACAAAGGCATGGCTTGAATACAGCAAAGTGCTTTAGAAATTGCTCTCCTTGGAAAAAGAACCATTTAGAGATAAGATTAAATTTGTGTGGACTGATTAGCTAAACATTATCTGGAACAAACTGTCCATTACCTTGAAAGAAGTTGATAAACATATGATTAACTCATCGAGATTTCTAGAGAGAGAGCCTCTTATCAGAAGGCCCTCTGAGCTCTGATGAAGTATTAGGAAGAGCGGGGAAACTTCCACAGAGTAAGGAATGGGGAAGACAGTCTCTAGTACATGGAAAGCTGTCCCCAGGAACAGGGCTGGGCACTGGTGTTTTGTCTTGTGGACCCCAGCAACTTAAACCACTGCAGCTATGATCTGAAAAACCAACTCTTAATTGTCAGCTAGGGCTGCCCATCGCATTCACTCTCTGATATTAAGGATTTGTGAAATTACCTCCACAGTGGCAGCAGTTTGCTGGCACAGACTGAAACCTTGTTTCTGCCCTTGGAGTCCTTGGTATGAGTTTATGTGATTATACTTTGCACGGAGCAGAAGCTCAAGAAATGTATTCACAAAGAAATGATACAGGCCCGGGGTGGTAAGTCTGCCAATTAGTCTGGTCTGACCCTTGCACGTTGTATACATGTATTGAAATGCCACACTGTACCCCATAAGTATGTGCAATTACTATGTGCCAATTAAAATATATATATATTAATTTAAAAGAATTAAATTAAAGGCTATGTGGTCTGTGACAGGGATTTTACAGCTCTTAAAGTTTTAAAAGATAACAACTGTGGGGCAAGGAAACATGAATAAATGTATTGGGGGTGAATTTGCAGTTGTTCAATAGGCTGGCTGCACCTGGGGAGGAGCAGACTATTGGCCCTGTGGGGCACCATGACTTCCTGATGACACGCTAGGCCAACTCACAGGAGCCATGAGCAGGTGGTGACCATAGAAACAGCTTCAGGACCTAGTACGTGAACATTACACTGCTGGCTCACAATGGGTTGGGACCACTAGCAATGGCCACCTGGTGCTATAAGTGGGCCTGTTTTAGTTTTTGAAGAGTTTAATGTAGCTAAATGGGTTAAATAAATGATCCTGGAAACTAAAGCAGGAATCAATGGTTTAAAATGAATGAATCTTGCTGGCTTGTCATATTGGTGACAGCAGCATATAATTAGCTTTGGGGACCCCTATTTTCAAAAGCTACAAAATTTTCCCTCTCCATGGACTTAGCAGTTTGACCTCAGATAGCCAGTTCCACTAGATAGCCACCAAACTACATTCCCTCTCGCTCCTCATGGCCATTCTTATTTGCAGGAAGTTTTTTCACTGGGAAAACCTCGAGTCAGCTACTAGACCCACCATATATTTTCTTGGCTATCCTAACCCCATGTGAGAGAGGGCCAGCCAGTAACATAAAATATTGATTCAAGTGTCTACAAAATTGTCAAGCCCTTGAGACAGAGCACTCAGCAAATTGCACATATGCATTAACTGGGAAAGAAAACTTAATAGCATTTATTTTTTATTGACTACCAAATGCCAATTGATTATAAAAAATTACATGTATCAATTCTCTATATCTTATCTTAAAGCCCCACAAATCAATGGATGAGGTTCATCACCCATGAGCTATGAAGCGTGACGAGAATGAGGTACCCAGATTGTCAAAGGCCATAGACTGTGATGACTTGCACTATCCTATTATGAAATATCATTTTGGGTGATATTTAGATCCATGCATCTGTGGATTGAGAGGAACACTAAGAAAGGGGACTGTAAAGAAGGCTTTGAAAACAATTCTGAAGGCAAAATAGTTATGATAGTGCAAAATAATTTTAATGGAAGTCACTTTGGTCTGGTTGATTTTTTTAGATCTTTTCAACTCTGAGAATTGATTTGATGAATTAGAGTAATTCAGAGTCATCCAACAAACATTTATTGGGCTTCTATCACATGCTGAGGCATTGGAGATATCAACATAAGGTAACCAGTTCTTCCAAGACATATATCAGAATTGGCATGACTGCAAACATGGTCTCCAGAAGAGGAAAAGAATTCATTAGAAACATGATAATTATCAAGGGAAAATAATGTGGTGATCCTGTGCCTCCTTATCAATCCTCCCTCGTTGATCACAATAGAACAAGTATGGTTAGTCATAGAAACATGTTTTTCATTATTGTTCAGTTAGCAGTGGTCATTTTTCTGGATAACACTTTCCAGAAAAAAAAATGTTCTAGATGTTCAGAATCTGGAACACTCATGTAGGAGTGCTCCCCCCGGGTAGATGAAGTGAGTGTTATGGTCCCCTGTCACATCAGCTAACTCAGGGAGCCCTAAATCTACCTAGCTGTTTATTCAAACAGCCCCTATCACCAAGGGATCTCAGATCTTAAGGTCTTGAGATTTCTTGCTCTTTAATCTTCAAGCACCAATAAGTACAAGGATCTTCAGGGTCAGGGGGTAAAGAGGCTCATATTTTATCTGGTTTTTAGATGTTGAGATATGTCCTAATGGATTGGTTGTCATGACAGAAACATAACTCAGAAAGATTGCAAAATGTTATCAATCAAAATGCAATCAAAAGATTGAAAAATCATAGATTATCCTTTCAGAGTGATAAGATTAGAAAGGAATAGATTTTATTTCATTGTAAAAAGTATGGCTATTAAAACATTCAGATTGCCATTTTATCTCTATCCAGATATACATACACACACATATCTCTATCTCTGAGTAAGGGTTTTTGCCATAGGAGGTCCCATGTAGAAGGTTGGCCATTTATTTCTGCTATTAAAGTCCAATGGTAAACTAACCAATAGGAATGAATTGTCACTAAGTGTGGGGACAAAAAGTCTAGAGATAAATGCATGGTAAGATCTATGTCCCTTCTATGGTTTGGATGTGGTTTGTCCTGCAAAGATTCAAGTGTTGGCCTTGGTCCTCAGTGTAGTGGTATTACTTTAAGAGATGGGACCTAGTGCAAGGTAATTAGGTAACTGGGGGCATTGCTCTTGGAAGACATTAATGCTGGTCTCACAAAATGAATTAGTTCTCATAAAAGTGTGTTGTTATACAGTGCGATCACCTCATGCACTTGGCATGTCCACACATGACCAATTCCCTTCCCATTTCTCTACCACTTTGTGACCTAGTCAAGGTGATATCACCAGAGGCTGAACAGATAGGTCACCTGATGCTGGACATTTAGCTTCCCAAACTGTGAGTAGATAGACTTCTTTTCTTTATAAGTATAAGCTTCGGATACTTTGTTATAGCAACAAAAAAGAGACTAAATACAGTGAACTATGTGTTATAGCATGGAACAGAGTCAATATCAAGATTTTTAACTTACTTGACAGGCATTTGGCTTAATTTGACATATGTGGAGGGCAAGTGTAAGCCATGGCATTTACTTCCTCTATTCACAGCACAAGGAGTCAATCTGACCACTTTTCATCATGAAAAGACTTTTCATCCAGGGAAAGTCCTTGGAGGCACTGTGACATCTCCAAACTTAATTTTCTATCTTTTTGATAATCTTGAAGCCATGAGAGCAATAGATCAACTAGACTGTAAACTTCTAGAAGGTACACAGGAGGCATTAAACCATTCTTTAACTAATGAAGTGAACAAATAAATGAATACATCCAGTCACCCTCCAGGACCAAGCACAAGGACTCACAGCACGGATGCTCTTGGGCTAATGTTTTGAGTCATGAGAGCTACCAGGTGACATCACATAGGCCATATGCACAAAGCCTTCATTCCTAGGTTCCTTGTTTGGAAGAAAAGGGGCAGTCCTTGGTCAGCACCTCTTTGAGGAGGTTGCTGATGACTTCATAGAACATTCCATGAGTCTCACATTCAGAACCCAGCAACAGGCTCATATTTAAGAAATACTGAGAGGCATGAGAATGCACATCTGTAGGAGTGTGTGTACTGTGGGCACTGTGTAGCATTCAAGTGCAGCCCGCAGGTAACCTGGATGGGAACTATGGACTGGCTAGTTTTGCTTTCTCAGTTTAAATGTACTTTTCCTTTCATGGACAAAGAGTCACTTCACTTTCAAATCAGAGATGGTGACCTCAATTCACTCAACTACCCTTGGGCTCTTTCAGAATACGGCCTACCATAGGATCAGTGCTTAATAAATGCTTCCTGATAATGATGCTATCATATTTTAAAGACTAATCAAATACTCATGTGCCCTTGTAAATACACACACAGAGAGAACAATTTCTGTTGTCCTTGCACATCCCCTGGGGAGTAGTTCAGATAGTGTGGGGTTAGGCTGCCTGACTGTCCTGAGGTTGCTCTGACTCGGATGATTTCAGGCTTCCCATGAGTTTAAAATTCACTGACCTGAGGTGGGGACCGTGTTGGAGGGGTCCTTGTCAGGACATATGATTTCTGTTCCTTCTCTCACCTGAAATGAGACACACAGAGAAATAAGAAGAAATGGATCTTGCTAAATTGGAAACTGGGTCAGGAGTAGACCTCTATTTTGAAAACTATAATTTAAAATTAGAAAACAAAAACCTTGGTGACTTTTACTCTTCCTCCTTTCCCTTCGTCCCTCCTATCCCACTGTCCACAGCATCCTTTCCCAGTGCTCCAAATCCACCGCCTCCTCTCTGGTGCCTCCTCCTTGCCTGAGCTCAGCCTTGGTTATTTCTGGCTGGAACACTGCAGCTTTCCCCAGAGCCACCAACTTCTGGTTCATAGGCTTGCAGCCTCCCAAGTCCCTTCAGAGTGGCCTCTCTCAATAGAACACAGCTATGGCACTCCCCTGCCCAAATTCTTCATGAAGCCAGGGAGTTTTGTCTGTGCTCTTTATTCTTGTGTCCCCAGAACCTAGAACAGCGGCTGGCACAGTAGATGCTCAACAAGTATTTGTTGGTTGAAGAAGTAAATTACTACTCTGTATTAACTTCGGCATGAAGTCCATCCTCCCTCCCATGGTAAGTAATGTCCCAAGATAGGCTTTTATTCCCTGGATCAATCTATCATTCTATTTATTCAGTCAACAAATAGTTATGGAGTACTGACCCTGAGTCTCTGCACTCACTGAGCCTAGAAGTATACAGCCTGTGCTTCCTAAGTGTGTCCTGAAGGAGTTTATTACTCCCTCCTATCAGATGATAATAAGAGCAATGCTTATATAGGACTCATGCTATGCCACAAAAATATTATAAATGCTTTGTATTTATTAACATGTGATTTCATAATTCTGTGGTAGGATGATACTGTCACTACTTCCCAGGTTAAAGAAAAACACAAACAAACAAGGCATGGAGCGGTCAAGGACCTTGCTCACTGACACCCAGCTAGTAAGCAGAAGAGTCCAGAGCCAGTTATCTTACCCACTGGGCCACACTGCCTCCTGATGTGACTCAGCTGTGATGTTGGGACAAGTTGACCATCAAGTCCTTTACACAGGGTCTCAGGGTGGAGGCCCAGGCCGTGAACTTAACTTTCAGCACTTGGAATAAACTTTACCCTCTTTTGTCAAATAGGAAGGCAAGGGTTAGGCCCCAATTCAATTTGGCCCACCTTGGTCCCCAGTTCCCTCAAAACAAAGGCACCCACCTTTAAGTATTTCTTGGCTCCTCAGAGGAGTGCAGAGTGCCCTATCTAATCTCCACAGGAGGTATCAGAAAGACAAGCCTGAGATAAGCCATAAGCAAGATGTGAGAGTGTGACCTGTCCTCTGTGGGTGTAGACAACCCCTGAGGGCCTTTTGGTCTGCATACTGTCTGGTTCCAGGCTGCACCACTTTTCTCTACCCTTCCCTAGCTTTCTGGTCAGATCAAGGGTTCACATTTACATAGAAGTGCTTGTCAGAGGTTTGGGAAGTGTCTGAGGAGTCCTGTCTTGCATCCCATTAATTGGGAACAGGCAATAACAAGCAGCATGAATACCCCACCATGCCATAAGAGCAGGTGCCAGGGTAGTTCCAAGAGGATATTGTAGGAAGATCTGCTAGCCACACACTAGACCCATCACTCTCTCAGAGCCTACCCTGACTGAACTTCAGATGCATATGGCAGCCTCTGGCCCTCTGCAGCTCCCAGTGTGCCCAGAGGCAAATGGAATTCCAGGACACAAAGAACCTTTTGAGCAGCTTGAGAGACTGAGACAGGAGGGTGGGGAGTTCAAAGCCAGCCTCAGCAACAGCGAGGTGCTAAACAACTCAGTGAGACCCTGTCTCTAAATAAAATACAAAATAAGGCTGGGAATGTGGCTCAGTGATTGAGTGTCCCTGAGTTCAATCCCCAGTACAAAAATAAATAAATAAATAAATAAATAAAATAAAACCCATTTGGAAGGTTCCAAAAACTCATCAAGGTGTGCAGCCACTGGTCCATCCACTCATTTGTTAGTCTCAAAAGAACTTTCCTTACCTCAAGCTTCTCTTGGGGTTTTCGAAACCTGTTCGGGTGGTTGCTATTCTTGTAGGTGAAGAGATAGGGGCTCTCCTGCAGGGAAATGTAATATGTTGTAACCTTGACCCAGAAATCTGTATCCCTTAATAATCAGGGCTTATTATCCAGCAATACCTTTGGCCAATGGGGAGCATTCACATCATCTTTTAATAATGACAGAACCATTGTCTGGCCTCTCTTCCCTGCGATGCCCAATCATTCCCTGGAGGAGCTCACTAATGAAATGCCCAATTTGCAAGTCAGCATCTCTGTCTCTCTCTCTCTCTCTCTCTTGGATGACCCTGGATGTTGGTGCTACCAGGCTAAGTACATGCATCTTGATGAGAAGAGAAATTAATTCTAAGCTTCTTGGCAGCCAAAGCCAAGTTAGAAACAGGGTGAATTATGTATTTCTTACTGCCTAGGAACCCAAAATTTACCAATTCATCACCAAAGCTAAACATTTTAACTAGTATTAAGGTAGAAGACATCTCATTTATTTATTTGCAGTCATTTTCTTGTCCTCATAATTGGCAATGTGCATTACACACCTGCTACATATCAGATGCATGTTTTGGACACATCCACAATGACTCTCCTTCATCACCACTGAGATGCCATCATTCCTAACTCCTTCTCTACCCAGAGGGAGGAGGAGGGCTGGAAATGGCATCTGGGGCTCAGAGCCAGGGAAACAGAGTAGGTGAGGGGGACCATCCCTGGTGGCCAGGTGAGCAGTGCCTTTGCTCCTGTGCCTTCCACAGATGTGAAGGGCTTTGGTTCTTCTAGAACTCTTCTAGTGGCCCACATGCAAAGAACAGATCCAATACTCTCAGGGGGCTAAAGTCTCAGTCAGGGAAGACCCCACTTCTCAGCAAAGTCACTTGGTCCCTTACCCCCAGCCCCTCCTACCTGAGACGGACATTTCACTGGCTTCCTCTCTGTTGTGCTGAGTGGCTCATCTTTCTGCCCCACTGGCTCCATCTAGAAAATAAGGTGATCTTAAACAGAAGTTCTCGCGCAGGTAGCAGCCCTCTGAGGTACTGTTAAGAAACACTTATTAGCGCTTCCAAGTTTGACCACTGGACCAGAAGCATTGGTGCCAACTGGAACTCATGAGAAATGCAAATTTCCTGCCCCCATCCCAGATCTAGTGAGTCTGAAGCTCGGGGCTGGGGTGCAGCCCTCAGCATAGTAACAAGTCCCCTCTGGATTCCAAGGCCTGCTCAAGTTGGAGAGTCACTGTTTGAGAAGAATCAGCGAATTCTTGGCGTTATAGGGTCTTCCTGGTCCCTCCCTCTTGACAGTATGGGAGGAGGAACTGAACACAGAGAGGGTGAGGTGGAGCCCAGCCAGCCCCACCAGCTAGTCACAGCTAGACTATGACACTGCTGTCCTGGATCCAAACAAAATTCTCTCGGTGGGTCACACAGCTCCCTGGTCGCCTGGGGGCCTGTTATCAAGGGTATTTTTTTGTTCTCTCCTGCTGCCTGGCTTTTGGCCAGCTCAGTGATGAAATTTCCCTTAGAGAGAAGCGCAGGTATGGGAAGGAAGGGAAAATCCGTGGCTTCTGTGTAAAGTACATGTCCTTGCCCAGGTCCCCGCCCCATGCCCATCACCTACATGGGTGCCAACAATGTGCTGCCATTCTCAATAGGGAATGAGGACCCTCTAGTCACAGTTTTCACAGCTGCGAGGGGGCAAATTATGGGGCAAGCAAGCCCATATCTCTAACCAAGATGCAGAAACACAGAGACATGGAACACAGATTAGTCCCTCACAGCCAACCAAGATATCTAGCAATATAGGAATGAGTGGTGTGGTATCAGCTCTGATGTTGGTAGCTCCTTAAATGAAAACCATGAAGCTACTAACAACACAGACAAAAGTTATGTGGTATAAGCCAATCTGAGCACAGTGGCACATGCCTGTAATCCCAGCAACTCCAGAAGCTAAGGCAGAAGGATCTCAAGTTCAAGGCCAGTTTCAGCAATTTAGGGAACCCAACTCAAAATAAAATTTAAAAAGGGCTGGGGGTGTAGCTCATGTAGAGCACTTACCTAGCATGCCTGAGGGCCTGGGTTCAATACCTAGCACCTTCCCCTCCCCCTCAAAAGAGTATGGTATAGCAGAAAGGGAACCAGAAGATTAAAAAATTTAGGTAAAAGTAATTAAGAAAGAGCCAGGTATTGTGGCATATGCCTGTAATCCCAGCGGCTGGGGAGGCTGATGCAGGAGGATCAAGAGGATCAAAGCCAGCCTCAGCAAAAGCGAGGCGCCAAGCAATTCAGTGAGACCCTGTCTCTCAATGAAATACCAAATAGGGTTGGGAATGTGGCTCAGTGGTTGAGTGCCTCTGAGTTCAATCCCTGATACACCCCCAACAACAACAAGAAAAGTACTAAGAAATAAATAAAGGCAGTTGAAGAGTTAGATGAAGGAGGAAGGTTTTCCAAAAGATTTTTTTGCTGTTTTAAATCATTCAGTATACATAGATAAATGCTTTAAAAGAAAACACAATGGCTTTGAGGAATCACAGATCTTCTTCTATATGTGCTGTTTTCTACAGTTTGGGAGCCTCATGTTTTGAAGTCACCCTGCTGCCCAAGGTGCAGAGCTCTGGTAACACCTTTGTCCCTCATGTATCCTTCTAAGGACTCTGGCAGGGGATGCAGGAGGCTACTGGCTGGGCTACCCTCCTTGGCTCAGTCACCGGTCTGCATCTGCCATAGGATTTCAGATCCTTTACAAAATTCCTTTCCAGCCTCTGTGCTCGGTGAACATGAACCAGGAAGGAACTTTACCCCTCCTGGGACTGGCTTAACCAAATGGAAGGAGAGTCAGATAAGAGGGCATAATTAATGTCAGAAAAGGAGTGGCAGCTCCTTAGCTCTGGGGCTAGGGAGGAACTGGGCTCCCCAGCTTCTTTCAGTTTTATTCTGATGGTGGCAGTTCCTAGAAGGGGAAGGGCTCACCCAGGACATTCAGGGCCACTTGCAAAGGGCATGTTCAGTGGGCCTGGTTTGAAGGCCACATGTTAATATGTTTTGCTTTTGTTCTTTCCCCCATCTTTTAAGAATTCAAGCAATAAAATAATCTGGAAAGTAAACTTGAGCAAGTGACATCTGAAGGATTCTGGTAGAATAGGTACCAGAGACATGGAACACAGATTAGTCCCTCACAGCCAGTAGAGCTGAGCCTACTTTTTAAGGATATGAAAGAAGGAAAATTTATAGGGTTTCCCAATAAATCAATTTCTATGAAGAACCTTGTCCTAAATGTCTCTGTATTAGTCACACATATCCTTCTTGCTCCCTACCCTGCCCATGGCTCTAGCACCTTGCTCAGGACTTGATCGAAGGTGGGAGTCAGTGATTGCTGGAAGGATCTGGGACTAGTTCTCTAAGGGTGGGTCCCTTTCAATGCCACCATTGTGTAAGAATTCTGAGAAATTATTGAGGCAGTGGCAGCAGAAAGGGCTAGGGCATGAGTTATGTCCCAAACACAAAGTCCTCCTCATCTGGTACCAGGAGCTTAAGCTTTGCCTGGGGGTAGGGTGGGGGCCTGTGCAGCTGGGACACTTCCAGGCATGTTTTGGATGTGTGCAACTTTTTCTTCTCTGGCCCTCGGAGCTCACACTTGTGGGGCCTTTGCCAGGGCCGAGTGTCTGTGAACGTGGGCATAGAATGTGCACACCTGGCTCTTACCTTGGTGGTTCCTGTGAGGCCCAACACAGAATTTAGGAGGTATAGCAGAGATTCCTGCCTTCCCTGTGCTCCAGGGAAAGACAGTCAGTGAACCAAAGGGCATGGGGGCGCCCAAAGGCTTCTGTGCTTTCACAAGCCCCCTGAGGTTGGCAGAGGGTCAATATATTCTTTTGGAAGGTAGAGAAAAGGGAGACCCATGTGACTTGCCTCAGGAAACCACCAAGAGTGAGCCTGGATCCAGAGCTCAGGTTTTCTGGCTCCTAGCCCAGGACCCTTCACCCTAACATGTCATGTTCTCAGGGATGGGTTCCGGCCTGTAGGAGCTGTCCGTGAGTTCCAGCACAGCTGTGGGGTGGCCTGGCATTTTGCCAGTGAAGAAACTAGGTAAGGGACTCATAGGGAACTCCTCCCTTCCTTCCTGGCTGCAGGAGCCTCAAGGGACTTGCTGGGCTCTGTGGACTTGTGGTGGGTTGGCCAGGTCTGGAGAGAGTAGGGTAGCTGCCTGGCCAGGAAAGCTCTACCTCCTCTTAGAGCACTTGGGAACTGTGCCCCAGTCCTTTGGCCTTGAGAGTGAGGACTTCTATCCCCCTTGGTGTCCCTGCTTCCCTCTAGTGGGTTGGGAGAAACAGCATGCATATTGTGTGCACAGGGACATCCCTGGGCAGCCCAATAAAGGCGATAATCATCACTGCTGCCATCAACACCAAGGACCATAAATAACATGATGAAAGGAGAAAGAGAAAGGAACCCAGCCTTTCCCCAGTCTCCCTCCAGTGCCTCCCCTGTCTTGCACTCAAGGGCTCCCTTTGTTCTCGGGGCCTGATAACTATCCCCACATTTCCTCTCTGGTCGGACCAGCCTCCTTCTTACCCCTTGCTACTACATCTGGTCCATTCTTTCCTCCATGCCCCTTGCTCACAAAGATCCTCTCACTGAGAATGTCCTCCCTGACCTTCCCCAACACCCTCAGCCTCTTCTAATCCCATTCACTGCCTCTCCTGACCTCCCAGTCCATATTGCCTCTGGGTACACAGCTTGGATATCCCTGCTGGCCCCCTGACCTTCCCAGCCACACACTTAAGCTCCATGAGGATGGAGCCCACATTGGTATCTCTTGAATACTCCTTGGCTCCCATCAGGCGTGTTGAAGGCACCCGCTTGCTGGTCGGGAGAAAGGTGACGTGGGAGAAGGATGGAGAATCTGGCTGAGATGGAACAATCAGCCTTCACCCCAGAGAGAGTGGGTGGGAGGGCAGCTCCCACTGGAGGGGCCAGGTTCTTCTCTGCCCCCCATGGAAGATCACCAATGGAGTGGTTTCCTGCGGGAATTTCCTACGCAAAGATCAGAGCCATAGAATAGTTTTCCTGTTCAAAGAAATCAAGTGCTTTCTCCAAAGGACAGTGTGGCTCCATCCTCAGGGGCTGCCAGGAGGCTCCCTTTCCCTCTCTGCTCTGTGCCAAACACGTGCCAAAGTGTAGCTGCTCGTGTACTCCAGAGAGCACACCCAGTGGAGGAGATGGAAGAAATGTTTCTAATCCAGAGAAGAAGAAAAACAAATTTCTGTCGCTAGAATTCTAAAAATAGGGCAGCTCTGATGGTAGGGGCAGGGCAGGGGATAAATGACAAAAAGAGGCCTCTGCCTAGTGCCCTGGAAAGGCTCCAAGCCTTGTATGGCATTCTATCCACCCACTAACCCCAAGACCCTGGGTGGCTTCAGGATGTGGGGATGAGCGCTATCGGTACAGTACAAAGAGCAGCAGAGTCATTGAGAGCCGGAAGCAAGCCACACACTGGACATGCAGGTGGAGGCGCTGTCAGGGTTTTGCAGAAAGGAGCTGAGACCCTGAGTTCACACAGCTGGGAGAGGGGATTCGGGTTTCAGATGGGACCTAGTTCTTCACCACTCTGAAGTCCATGCTCATTCCAGGTGCCCCCTGGGCCTTTAGATCTACCCAAGGATATCTAAGTGTGAGGACACTGGATAGATACGGCCAAGGGTTCCTGTGCCCAGAACCCCACTAAAGCAGAGGTTTACCACACCGACTCTGGGGAAATGGACCTTCCTCTGGGGACAGCGGGATAGTGGGCCCCCCACTATCCCCCCACTGCCTGTCACTGGCAGGTGGCAGCCCAGCTCTGGGACCTGGGTCAAACTCTTCAGAGGAGACCTGGGCCTGTACCAGGTGCGACGAGCTCCCCTGACATCCTGCACCTCCTCCTCGGGGCAGTGTGAGGGGGCTCTGTGGCGATGGAAGCCCTGCCCCTCTTGTGGGCCACTCCCAGGCTAGCATGAGCCCCAGCCCCGTCCACTCACCATGCTGTTCCAGAGGTTCAAGGCGAGGGTGGTGGGATCCTGGTGCAGGGGCCTCTCCTGGAAGAGAAGCAGATAAAATAGGAGCCTGTGTGCCCCCAGGGTGTAATGGCCTCTGCACATGCTGACACTCCCTAGCACTGAGCTGGGTGGCCTGGCCCAACTCTGTCCCTTAGGCCCTCCCCTCAGCGATATGGTGGCATTATAGGAACAGAGGGAGCAAGTGGCAGGGAAGCAGTCTGGTGTGGTGGAAGTAGGATGGTGAAGTGAGAAGGGAGGCTAACCCTCCTCTTCTGCCTCCTTAACCATTGCTTTAAATGTCGGTAAGCCCTGGGGTTGACACAATGGTCCTCACAAGCGTGAGCTGGGGGCCTGGAGCAGGAGCTATCTCCAGATGCCCTCAGAAACCTTGGTTAAGTGTGGACCCACCCCAGGACTGCGTGATCTCAGTGGCCTCTTACCCCATGACCTGGGGGAGAGGAAAACACAAACTCTCCTCCCTTCAGGGATGGAGGTGGAGGAGTGTGCAGAGGGAGGAGAAGAGTTGGTACCCGTGGAAATGCCAACTTGATAATCACCACAGCTAAGGGGTACTGAGCACTTCCCCAGCCCCAGACACTGTTCTGAGTTCTCCCTGTCATGTGACCTTGACAATCACCCTAGAGGGAGGGAATCGGACCAACAGTCCTGGTTTTATAGATGCAGAGTCAAGGTACAGAGAGGTCAAAACACGTGCCTGAGTGGTTGGCCCATTCTGGAGACCCAATTAAAAGCTGGGCCATCTGGCCTGTGTCCCTGCTCTTTTCCTTTGGGCTACCCAGCCTCATGCAGCTATGCAACCCCCTGGGAAAATTGTTTAAGAAAGCATAAGAGAATTTTGCATCACGGCCCCTTGAGACTATGTATCCTGGGTTTTGAAAAGCTGGACTGGGCTAGGGCTTCTGCCAGGGGAAGGGTGGGAGAGGGAGGTGGGAGCAGATGCATGGCCTTGGCCTTCCCCGCCCCCCATGCTCCTGCTGCCTCCCGCCCCTCACTCACCAGAGGTGGCGACATCTCATAGAAGAAGGGCTGGAAAACCACTGCAAAGGACTCCTGCCCACTGAACCTGCTGGAGGCCAGGAGGCTTTCCCAGGCTTCCTGAAGAAGAGAGCAGAGGGGTGCGCATGCAGGAGCGCCAGCAGGCCAGAGCTGGCCCAGCCCCGGCAGGGGCTTCTCAGCAGCCCCTCGCTGGGTCTGCCATCACGCATGGTGCACAAACAAGCTACGGGGAGGGTCCCTCTTGCCTCCTGGTTTGGAGACCTTGATGGGCTAAGCCCAGTTTTCACTTGCCTCTGAAACCCCAGCATCAGGTAAGACCAGAGGTACCTGAAGATAGTCTCTGGAAGTTCAAGAATATAAGGGCCGGGCGCCGTGGCGCCCACCTGTAATCCCAGCCACGGGGGAGGCTAAGGCAGGAGGATCATGAGTTCAAAGCCATCCTCAGCAAAAGTGAGGCTCTAATAAGCAATTCAGTGAGACCCCCGTCTCTAAATAAAATGCAAAATAGGGCTGGGGATGTGGCTCAGTGGTCAAATGCCCCTAAGTTCAATCCCTGGTACCAAAAAATAAAAATAAAAATAATAAAGAATATAAGGCAGCCCAGCATGCCACAGGGCCCCAGACTCTGTTCAAGGTCTGATCTCTGCAGAGGAATGGGCCATGAGCCACTGCAAAATGCTGTCATTTCCAGAGTGAAAGAAGTATCGCACAACTTCATTTACAACTTTTCTCTTAAACACAAATCCTCACATTAACATGTTAGTAGGAGCCATGCGTTGAGGTGTTTGCTCATGAGGACGATGACTTTCATTGAGCCCTCTAGACTCTGCTGGGGCCTCTCTGTCAACTGGCATGCATGTCTCTGGAAGCCCTGGGTTGTCTTTGGGCTGTGGTCTGGAGCATAGGTACCACCTGGGCAAAACCAGATCACCAGCCACAGATGTGGTGGTAAATATGGAAATGATGACAAGAAGCAAAGTTCTTCACTCTCTTGTCTAGATATAGAGCCAAGGCACCAAGAGGTCATGGTCCCCTACTCCCAATCCCCCTGTATTGCAATGCCCCTGAGTTATATATGGGACGATGGGCTCATCACAGGGAACCAAAGCTACTATCACTTTAGTTCCTGATTGTTGGTTCTGAATTTGGCTGAATAAGTTCCATTGGAGCAAAAGTAACCCCTTGCTCCCAGCATCCCTGTTCCCCTCATGACCACTCCAACCTGTGAGCCAGCAACTCAGGGTCCCCCTGGGCTCACCTGATAGGACCACTGCATTATAACCTTGGCCAGCTTTGAAGTGTCCCCTGAGCAATTGCAGGGCTCTGGTCCAGGTCTGTTGCAGGTCAGAATGAGTCAGAAACGAGAGAACTGAGTGTGTGTGTGTGTTTGCACACACGCACACACACACACACGCACACACACACGCAGGGACAGGAGTCAGGAGGTGCCGGGCTGCCTCCTGCAGTTGCTTAGGGAGCAAGCTGGAGTCTACAGGTTGCAGAAGGGAGGAGGCAAATACTAGGGAGGAGAAAGGCACATGGAGAGGCACTGGAGTGTTTGTCCCCAGGAGGTGGGCATGGGCTGCGGAGGTATTCTCCAGCTCCTCCATCTTCTGAGCTTCCTCTTCCTCTCCTTTGCTCTTCATCCCAGAAATCCACAACCCGCCCTTCTTCATCTACCTCACTCTCCTTCTTCCCCTTCCGAACCCCTTTCCCTCAGCACTGGCTCTCTCTCCTCTCTCCAGCTGTTCTTCCCTGACTTCTTCCACATGAACTTCTTTTCTAGGTTCAAAGCCAGGATTTTAGGATGTGGGTCCAAGAAGTTTAAATTCTATAAAAGTTTTTGAAATACATAGGAATCAAGTTCTGAGAAGTTAAAATACACTCAGGCTACATTTATTTTCTATCCAATTTCTAGAAGTAACACCTCTTGGTTTAGAGATGTTTTGCTAAACCCGCTTTTTAAACTCTCAAATCATTCCGGTGGTTGCAGGAGGTGGGGGCGGGGGGGGGGTCTGGCACGACATCAACCAGACCAAATTTAACTCAGTCCCCAAAGCATTCCTTGGCAGCAGGCCCACCCCACTCCAGCTCTGCCACTCGCTAGCGTGTGAGCTCACACATGCTGCAGATCCCCTCCCGGTCTCCGTGCTCTGGGTCTGCTCATGGGATCAATTAAATGGAGGGTTCCCGCAGTGCCCAGTATGTGGCACCACACAGCAGATGTCCGTCCCATTCTGCTATCCCTTTTACCTGAGATGAGTCCCCTGAAGCCCCCGTGATGTGGCTGCAATCTCAGAGACATCCACCAGGTTCACAAATGCTTTGGGGACCTAGGAGGACATGAGGAATAGGAAGGTGAGCATTTACCAAGTCACATGGCTGCCCAGGGGCTCTCTGGAACTCCTGGTTTGGGGGGCCACCTATTGGTTAAACAGACTAGCCCTTTGGCAGATGTTTGATTGGGGTTGATCCTAAGCTGTGGCCCCTGCAGCTGGTGGGCAGGGAACCTCCCAGCATGGTGTCAGTGGGGTCACAGACCCCCAGGGAGCACACGGGCAGGCCAGAGTCACCGTACTGTGCTGGCCCCTTAGAACCTGCAGCTTTGCCTGGTGGCTCTAGGCAGAGAAGCCCTGCAATTCCTCAAGACCCTGGTGGTCACTGCCCCAGACCAGGCCAGAGAGCAGCCTCAGAAAAGAGCTGGGCCACTGGGTCCCTGGGAGGAACCGAGCCTCCCTCAGAAACACCTTTTTCAAGAGCAAAGTACTATTTCCTGAGCACTTGTCATGTTAGAGGATGACTGGACAGAGTCCTCTGGAGATCTGCTTTTCCTGAGGGTCTTGCTGTCCTTCACAGGAGCCCATCTTCCTAACCTGGAAGAGGCCATTTGAGAGTAAAGCACAAACTGCCCACCAGCCCTCAGAAGCATGGCAGGAGGTGCCTGGAGGAAGCTTGCCCAAGGTCCCACAGTGCTAAGAGCCGCAGCCTCACCTCCTGGTGCAGGTAGTCCAACATCCCAGCCAGCTTGTCCATGCCGCTCGTCAGCTGCCTTTCCTATGGGAGGAGACTGGACTGAGCAAGGGAGGCAGCAGCAGGGACGAGGCTGAGCATGACAGGTCTCAGGCCAGCCCATCAGGAGAGGCCATTAGAGGCCCTGGCTCCCCACCAGTTAGAGTTTCTGGACTTCCTCGTTTTGCTTTTTGGTTTGGTCCATTCTTTGGCTTTCCCCAAACCATCATTCACCAGGGACAAAAACAAACTCCCCCAGGTGAGAAGTCCTATGCCAGGAAAGGGCAAACCCAAGGTTAGACCAAGATCGGAAACCCCTGTTGCAATTTTGATGTTCACATTGAGGGGTGGGAGTCCGGTGGGAGACCCTCCCAGGGGCTGATGGAATGGCAGGAGGGCTCCATCACCTGAGTCTAAACACATCTGCTACCTACCCAACTCACACCCCGCTCCTTCCTTGCAGGTAATGAAAATAAACAAATGAAATCACCTCAAAAACCAACCCTGGATTACCTGTCCAATCTGAAAAATAAATAAATAAAATTTACAAGAAGGCAAACTCTTTAGCTGCCAGCACACCTGTCTGTCCCCTGAGGCGACTTAGACAGAAAGATAAGGAAGGCTGAGAGCAGTTCTGTTTCCTGGGGGACTCAGGCAAGGACTCGAGAGACAGCTGCCAATCACTAGGCAGGGTTGTGGGGAGGGTGGCCCACTGCCTGCAGCATGCTAGGTAGTGCAAAGTTCCCGTGTCTCCCATCTGTTTCTGTGCTTTGGGGCAAGGCTGTCCCTGGGCAGCTAGGTCAGCTCCGTCTATCCAATGGCCAGTGACAAAGCCTTCAATCTTCTTAGTCTTCTTCTGAGTTTCTTCCTGAGCATGACATTAGGCATCACACTTTCCCTCCTGAGGAGCCCTGGGAACTCAGCCTAAAAGTGTCCTTGCTGCCCATCTGTACCACATTCAGGACATTCACCTTCCTTAGGGGGCTGGGGAAGCCCTGCTTGGCTGTCCCCCAAATGAGAACCCAGCTTTAGTAGCTCCTGAATCAAGGTGCTGGTTCACAGCTGTAGATGGGACCCAGGCTCACCCAATCATTCCTGGCTCTGAATGATTCCTACTTGGGCACACAACTGTCCCTGTTTCTTAGTGGAAGACATTTATACTCTTATAAAATGTCCCTCTTCTCTAAGGTCACATATCATATAAACTCCTTGAGCTCCAAGTTTGTAAATTGTTATTTCTCCCAAGATATCTTTTCTCTCCAGATTCAGAAGATAGCCTATAATCAGAGACCAGACTTAACATTTTCTAATAAATTATTTCCTTGGGATTTTTTCCAAAGAAGATGATTATTGAGCCAAAGATAAGAATGTTTTAGGTCTCTTGAATCACACTGCCAGTGTATCCTCCAAGACGCTGCCACCTGTTCCTAATGGCATTTGCAATGAATATGTGTGTGTGTTTTCTCTCCATGTCATAGGATTTTTTTCTCTTATGATTTTTTAATCTCACTCATTAATAAAACTAGACTTGAACTAGGGAGCAGCATCAAGCATCAAGACCCTGAAATCATCCTGTGCACTGCTGTGAGCCAGGCTACTAGCTCCCTCTGAAGACAAGACATTGCAATGCCTAGTGGATGGTCCCCAATGGCACTGTCTTTGGGCTTTGGTCTTAAGAAGCCCCTAAAGAAAAAGTGGGGGCACAATGCCTTATCTGATCCTCATTGAAGGGACCCAAAATTCTTAGGGGAAGAGAAATCCGGGTCCTAAGGCCGGACAAAACTTTAACATTTCTTGTCAGCCCAGCGCAGTGGTACATATCTATAATCCCAGTGGCTCAGGAGGCTGACACAGGAGGATCGTGAGTTCAAAGCCAGCCTCAGCAACTTAGCGAGGCCCTAAGCAACTTAGCAAGACCTTGTCTCTAAATAAAACATAAAAAAAGGACTGGGGTGTGGCTCAGTGGTTAAGTGACTCTGGGTTCAATATCCAGTACCAATAAATAAATAAATAAATAAAAAGTTTCTTCTTAATGGCAAAACTCTTGTTCTCATAGGAACTTTCAAGAAATGCTTGACATGAGACAGGTAAAGGCACAGTGACTCTGTGAAAACAGGTGGGATCTGGAAACTGCCTGGTCAATGTCTGCCTCCAGAGGCACCTCCAGGGGCCCCACGGGACTCTGCAGAACACACTTTGACGGTTACTGATGGCAAGATCATACCTGAGGTGTGCTTGTAGGAATATAGGTACAGTCTGCAATCAACCTTAAGTGAACGTCAGCTCTCCCACCACCACCAGTGCTCATAGCCAAGGGTGACAACAGAATCCCCGTCCTGCTTCATTTCCTAAAGTCAGTACTTACACGAAATGAGAATTGAAAGGCAAAATGATTTTAAACCAATCAGGAAGTTGATTTTCCTTAGCTATAGAATGACCGTCGACTCAACTTATCTATGTCTTCATTTCCTTTTCCCCATATGAGGGATGGTAGGGCAAAAACCCCTATCCCCTGTGATATTAGGAATGCACATTATGAATGTATTTCAACCACCAAACTGTGTACCCAAGAACGGTTAGATGGTCAACTTTGTGTTACCTGTATGTTACCACAATAATAAAAGAAAAAAATTGGATAAAAACGCAAACACAAAACACCTGTCCCTACATGTTTCCTTAAGCATCTATCCATCTGCTCAGCCTCTCGGCCATCCACCTGCCCTAATTCTGAATAGGTGGCCTCAGCCCCTATTTCCAGGTAGGAATCAGGCAGGTTTGTCTAATTCCCCACTCTCACCCAGCACTCTCAATCCCTCAGCCTCCCAGCCTGCCATTTACCTGTTGAGCAAAGGGACACAGGTAACACTGGCTTGTATTACTGAAGAACACATTGATGAGTTTCCAGTCATGTTGAAAGTCAAGTTGCTAAAGAGCAATTGCATAAAAAAGAAAGAGTGGTAAGACCTTAAGCCCAAAGAAATTTCTTTTCATGTCTTTCAATTTCAGGCACCCACCCCCTTAAAATCATATTTATGGATTTTTTTTTTGTCAAAAGAAACATACAGTGGGAGTCTCAAGTGGTATAACTGTTCTAGAAGGCAATTTGGCAAAACATCAAAAACTTTTTTAAAAAAGTGCATGGCTTTTGATCCAATAGTTTTATTTCACAAAATGTATTTTAAAGAAACAAGGACATAAAAAAGATTTAGCTACAATGATGCCTTGTTCATAGGAATGAAAAACCGGAAATAAATGTCTAAAATAGGGGATCACTGTGTAAATTATGGACTCATAAAATGAAACACGATGTAGCAATTAAAACAATGCAGGAAAATATAATTATTGTCATGGGAAAATATATATTGAGAAACATAGGTTAAAAAATCTACATCTAGTAATATCCTGGTTTTATAAAATATATAAAGATATACAGATATCTTTAGAAAAAAATGTAGAAGAGAATATACACCAGGTTATTAACAGTAATTATCTTTGGATATTAAGTTTAAGGATGGTTTAATTTTCCTTGTTTATATTTTTTTGTGATTTTTCTTTAATGACTATGTGTTACTTGTATAAGAAAAAATAAACTTTTGTTTTTTCCGAGACAACACGGTGTAGTTGAGGTACATCAGACTGTGAATTATATATTTTAGAGCTTAGCTCTAACTATCTGTGTGAACCTGAACTGGTCACATGACTTCTTGAAAGTTCAGTTTCCTCATCTGTGAAATTATACCGCTGAATTCAGAACCTCCCAGATATTTTGCAGAAAATTCTATATGATTATTATTACTGAAATTCTGGAATTCAACCATTAGCGGAATTCTTTGTGGCATAGCTCCTGCATTGGGTGCTGTCCCTATGTGTCTTGGAGTGACCTCCATTTTAATTCCTAAACTCTAACATATATAAAGCGCTGAGGAATTCAGGCTTGGTGCTTAGTTAGAACCAGCTTGGTACAAGGCTTGCCTTGATTTGATACTTGCCCATACAGGCAGCACAAAAAAAAAGATCAAGTTTTTGAGCAATCAATGGTAATGACAGTGACAGCTACCAACTTTTACTGAGCATTGACTCGGTGCCGGGGACATCTACTACCTCATTTAATCCTCTGTAAATCCCATGCAGCAGGCTCTTTTATTACTCCCTCCTCATAAGCAGGGAAACTGAGGCTTAGGGGGCTTGAGTGCCTTACCCAGGACCCTCAGGTGGAAAGTTCAGGATCTGAACTCAAGCCAGGCTCACTCTGGAACCCAACCGCCTCCCTATTTGAGAAATCATCTGCCAACTTTTGGCAGCACTACACAGAAAACCACTCTGCACACGAGAGGTGGCCTTGTTTCTAGTGACCTTCAGAGAGTCAGTGTGGAAAGCGTGCCTTTGAAGAGCCCAGGCCACACTGGCTGCTGTGCTCATGGCAAGATGGAGCCAGGGCTTCCTTACTCCTGTGATCAGTCTCATTGCCTGTGGCAGACAGAGGCAGCTCAACCACATCAGAGTTAGAGGGACCTTACCGGGTTCTCTTTCAACCGTCTCACCAGTTCCTTAGCCTGAGTCCACAGGTCTCTGTGCAGAGGGAGGGAAGTAGAAAAAAAAATCAGTAAAATATTGTTTGGAGGGTCTGGAAGTCTGATCCTAACTCAGGAGCCAATCTCTGAGCCTGAGGTCATGCTGGACTCCTGGCTTCTGAAGAGCAGACATTGACCTGCGTTTTAAAATTAGGCCCACCTGGCAGACTGAACTCAGCACTGGGAGGGTGTTGACTTAGACTTAATATGACCTCTATTTTTTAAGCCTCTTTGACTTTGCCTGTCTCCCAAATTCTACCAACTGCGTACCCCAGACGAGCAGGAATACACCACCCTGGAGAGATAGAAAGGGAACTTACTCAGCATCATTGTTGGGGACAATGCTCTTTCTAGGAGGGCACACAGGCGTCACAACAGAAGGATTGAAATGTCGGAAGATGTCTGCAAGGACTAAAGAGACAGCCGGTTTGTGTCCTGGCTGGGACAGCTGGAGGCCACTTCTAAAGACTATGGAGTCTTGGGGTGAGGTGCCAGAGTCACTGCCCCTATTACAGGGCACAGCCTTCACAGCCAGCCCTGGGCTGTGGGGCCCCCCTGTAGCAGGCCCTGGAGGTAAATGGAGCTAGGAACGACCATCTGTCTAGCACGAGCCAGGCCGGTGCTAAGCATCTGTCATTCAATCCTCAGGAACAAACTCATGGCAACACGACTTCCAACTTAGCAAGGGGGAAACTGAGACAGAGAAACCAAGCAAGCCACCCAAGGTCTTCCAGCTACTGGAGGCTGCTGGGATTTGAACCAGAGCCCTGGGATGCCAAAGCTTTTAGCTGTCTGGGCTGTCTGCCAGCCCCCCTCCCTCCTCCTGAGTGACAGCAGGGCGGGAAAGCTCTGGGGAACTCACAGAAAACACATCCCAGAACTGACAGCCAGGAGACTGCTAAAAATAGGGCTGTCAGGAGCGGTTGTGTCTTGCTCCCGAGAGAGGAGAGGGCAGAGCGGGAAGGGTGTCATGGAGGAGATGTCGGCACCCACTTTCCTGTCTCCCTTTCTTTTTGCCCCCATCCAGGAGTGCCTCAGGGCTTCATAGGAGCAGGAAACAGAAGGCAGCATGCAAGAGGCTCTCTGTAAGGGAAGCCGACTCTGTAGGTAGCAGGGAGCTGGGCTGGAAGTCAGGAGGCCAGGCACTCGGCTTTGTGACTGGACAGAGACCTAATGCCATGTGATTCCATTTTCCTCTCCTTAACCCAAACCAGTTTGCAAAAAGCGCCCATGCCCACACGTGGTGGGGAATCAGAAAGCTCTGAGCCCAGTTCAAGAAAACAGGGACCGTGTGAGGGTGTGTATGGGGAACACTTTGTCCTTTATACGAGGATGGTCTATAAGGATCAATGACAAAACATGAGTTGGTGCTGATAAGCCTTTGAAAGAGAACTGCTCCCCAAATTAAAGGTATCTGTGTCATATCTCTTCTTGGTGAGCAAATTGGACCTCAGAACTTTTCAGATAAATTTTCTAGTCGTTTTGTCTCCTCTGTTGTGTTTCTGGTCTGTCCTCACCGGCTTTTCTCAGGGCTCCCTGGTGGCAGTGGGGTCAGAACAAAGGGCACACCTAGGGGACTGAACCACATGGGCTCCCAGGGACTCTGCCCCACTTCCTAAGCACATCATTTGGGAAAGCCCACTTAAAAATCCAGTTTTCCCACCTGCAAAATGGCCATGTGGGCAAGGGCATGGCTAGACCAGATGAGAGCCGGGAGGCTAGCCCTAGGGGAGCAGGAACCTCAGGATTCTGGTCCAGTCACCCCTCTCCCATGACCTTCAATCTTAAGCCACTGTCTCCTGGCTTCTGTCTGAGCAGAGACCCTTGGACACACTTCTTACCCCTCCATTCAGGGAGTGCCACTTTCCGTACCCAGGCTCCCTTACCTGCCCTCTCAGAATGCTTCTCATCCCCGGGCCCTGGTGAGAAGGTGGCCAACAGAGTACATTCTGTTTTTTAACAAAATTGCCTCTGAGTCACGAGGGACGGGGACCATCTTGCCATGAAGACCAGAACTCACCTGTCATCACTTGCATGCACGTCTTGTCTGGCCTTTCCTCTGTCCTGCAAGCAGAAGCCAGTGTGCAGGGGTCAGAAGGCATTGTCACTGCCCGCAGCCCTTTCCTCTGGCCACTGTGGGGGGCTACTTCATCACAAGCTTTGGCCTGGCCTTGCTCTGCTTCTGGAATTATTCTTTCTGGAGTCGGAGGCAAACCTCAAAGGTGACACAGCAGCTAAAATGGGGTAAACGGCTCCCTCTGGACCCCCCTTCCCAGCTCTCTAATCTGGCTCAAAGCCAGGAGGGGACGCTGATCCTAGTGTCAAATGACCCTGGTCCAATTCCTGCATGGTTCCCCAAGAGCGGAGTGAGAGGCCTTGGTGACAGGAAGCAGGAATTCCAGGCAAGGGACAGAGCTCAGCAGTAGAGCAACTGCCTAGCATACACAAGGCGCTGGGTTCCATCCCCAGAGGGACTCCATCATTTTGGCTTTCCCGCTTCCCCCTGATAACCCAGAGGAACTACCTGGATTCACAGGCTCTGGGAACGTTGGGCCACTTGGTTCTGGACCCTGTCTGTGCCCTGCTCCTCGGGAGGCCTTGAGCAAGGTCCCTGACCTCTCTGGCCTTGTTTCCCCCCATGAATCAAGCAAGAAAATTAGATCAGAGTGCATTCAGATTGCTTTTCCGCTCACTCTGCTCCAGGACAGGTACCTTTCATGGATCTCCAGGTCCACCATCCCGGAGTCTGGCAGCTGGAAAAGACACTTGGCGTTAACAAACCAGCGAGGGAGAGGGCAGAGCCTCTCCCAGGACTCCACACTGCCTGTCAGAACACCCCTCCTGCCAGTAAGAGGGACCCTCCAGATCCAGAGAAGGACCAAGTTCCCCTGTTCATTTTGCATGGAGGGAAAGGTGCTGCCCCAGCAGCAAGCCTGCCAGGCCTCTGAGCCCCAGAAGGGTGAATGTTTTCCCCAGAGCTTTGATTTAAACGCATCGCACAGTCAAATTACATTCTATAGGGAATGGAAAGGTTGTTTTATGGGGGACCCTCCATAATCTAAAATTTACTTTGCTTACAATCTGTCTCCCTAGAATGCAGGCACCATGAGCAGGAACTTTCATGTTTTGTACTTGACTCTATTTCTTGGACCTAGAACAGTGCTCAGTATGTGGTAAGCACTCAACGAATATTTGTTAAATAAATATTCTCTAAATGAACAAAGTAAGTTTCTGAGTTTCCCCTTGGTAAAATGCTGGACAGCACAGGACACTACCTGTTGGAGAAGTCCTAATGTAGGGCTGTAAGTGAATCCACAGCAAACCCCCACCCCTGAGGGCAGTCATGTCCTTTACAAGCTCCAAAAGATGTTTGGAACTCTGCCCAGGACACAGAAAGTGCTCAGCAGATATTAGTTACTGTTATTAGTATTATCTTCCCAGTTTCTGACACACATCGTCTCTCCCAAAACTCCTTGAAGACAAGACGTCAGGTGAGGTGGTGATAGGTAGACAGTGACACGCTCACTGTGTGCACCCAGCCTGCTGTGGCACTTTGCAGAGACCAGCTATCCTAACCACTGGCTTAGTCCATGGCCAGACCACAGAACTGGGTCACATCTCCAGAGGGAGGGCAGGCTGACCACAACTGGGGGCAGAGGCCTTTGTTTGTCAAAAAGAGGACTTGGAAAGGTCAGTCTTCTGGGAGTGGTGACAAGGTCAACAAAAATCACACTACGATGCAAGTCAGGGGTCGTAAACAAAGAGCATGGCAGGTTAGACAGTGAGGGAACAGGCCTCCTGGGATGGAGCAATTTGGACACCGGATGCCTGACCAGAGGGGACGCTGTCCACCAGCTTGAGCGGATGGTTGCTGGAGGGAATGTGGACCCGCGGCTGCCAGCTCTTGTTTTTCAAGAGAAGCTGGAAACACGAACATTTATTTGACATCTTATTTCAGTTGGCAGCTGATCCAATTAAAGGCACAGTACGTCTTGGGCCCCCCAGTTTGCTTCTTTGGATAATTAACAGATGGAGAGCAGATCTTGTCCTCAGAGGTGCAGCAACGGTGCCGAGAGGTCAGGCAGAGAAGGAAGGTGAGAGAACAAGAGAGACAAGGCCAGGAGGTGAGTGGGAGCTCAGTGGGAAGTAACTGCAGGGAGGGCTGGGTGAGCCCCTCCAGCTCCCACTGCTCCCTTTCTTCCACTGCCAGCCACTTTCTCCCCTCGGTCCCGTTCTATGGGAATCTGCCTCACGACAGGTACTGTGACATCAGGGACACAGAGCAAGGCAAGACTCAGGCTCTCTCCTCAAGAATTCAATAGAGTGGATTATAATTTCCCCCTTTCCTGGCACCGAAATAGGAAATGTCTATGACAGTTAACTAGAGAAAAAAAATCCCAGATAGGCTATTGCAGTATGATCTCATTTAGGTTTGATATGTCACCTATGTCCCTGTGTATTGCTATATGTGAGAGAGTGAGCGTGTGAGGTGAGGCAGAGGAATAAGAGGAAGGGTTCTATTTTTTTCACACTGTATGTGTCCTATTATTTCTCATAGTCAATATGTAACACAAGTATTACTTGGAAATGAATTTTATGAATGTTTGCATATCTGATTTTTAAAGTTTTGTGGGGAAAGGGGGAGTCTATAGCAATTTAGAAAGTGTTGATTATGGTCCCAAATAAATGGCTGCACATTGGTCACCGAAAGTTCCAGGAACTCAAAGTAAAAGCATCAGCATTACAGATGCTTTTTTTTTTTTCTTTTCCTTTTTAAATTCATTGTCTTCCACTGTTTTCCCTTCCTGTTTAGCACTCAAACCCAGCGAGGTTCACACCCCTCTTGGAGCAGACAGAAGCAGGCCTACAGGGGACCTCACTTTCAGGTTGGATCCTAAAGGCCGAGGTGCGAGGTGCCTGGCCGTGGACTGATGATTCCGGGGCTGGAGAACATCCAGACAGAGCTTCTTTCCATTGCTGTGGCCCCCCCAGGGAGGAGGGGAGGGGGTGACAGCAGGAGCTGCCAGGCCTGACTCACTCATGAATTGGGGAGCCTTCAGACATGGGGCGGGGGGATGGAAGTTCCTAAGGGGTTGAATTTTAGGAATCTAATTTGGTGGAGATTTCTCTGCCCCAGGTGGAGGAATCCAGAGTCCTCCAGTGAGTGGGGTCACATCTGCTGGGCTCTGTAGTGTCAACATCAGCAGGAGACACAGGCTTAGCCAAGTCAACTTGCTGTCCAGACATGAGACCTCTTTCCTCACTGGTTTCCATCCCCCTTTCACACTGTTCTCGTGGTGAGTCCCCCCTTCGTCCCCCTCCACACACACAGGGCCCCACAGTTATAGAAAGAATAGAGCAAGAATGGGGAAGCTCCAGCCACCAGACGCCACTAGCCTAACGCCATTTCCTGGTGTTAATCCCCACCTCCACACACCAGGACCTCCTCACCCTCTGCCTGCTATACCTACACCCATGTCCATGCCATGGAGTTGCCAAAAGAATAGGGAAGGTTCTGGGCGGCCTGTCCCAGTGCTCACATAAAGGTGGCCTTCAAAAAGAAGTGGAGCCAACCCCAGCAGGGCTCAGTGTCCCAGAGAGGTTGATTATTCAAGAAGATGAGGTCGGAGGACAGACCTAAAATCTCTGGAGGCATTGGGTCTGCTGGCACTGACTAGGAAGTGGTGGCTTGAGGCCAGGCCTGAAGAAGAGGCCGAGGTTCAGGAAAGTATCACAGGGACAGGGAAGGATACAGGGAAGAACCTGAGGGGGTGAGTTGAGAGGAAGAACTGGAAAAGAGAGGACAGCGTCCTGGTTCAGGCTTGGAAGGCGTAAGATGGCCCAGAAATAGAGCAGAGGCTTGATAAGGAAATGTCTGATCAGCTGCTGAGCCCTGCAAAGACCAGGGCAGGTGGGATTTGGGAAGCCATAACTGATGTGCCTGTGTGTGTAAGGGGATTGGGGTGCTCTGCTCTCTAGCTTTCTTCTCTCCAGATGGACCTTTCTTTGCACAATACCTTTCTTTCTCCTTTACTTGACCATATAAAATACACTAGAATTTGTGAGCAACAAGCACATGAAAAGATGCTTAATAACTATTAGGGACATGCCAATCAAAACCACAATGTGGTGCTACTTCATACCCATTAGGATGGCTACCATTAAAAAACAGACACCAACACAGATCAGAAAACATGCATTGTTAAGGATGTGGAGAAATTGGAAGTCTGTGCATTGTGGGTGGAGATGTGAAATGGTGCAGCCACTATGAACAACAGCATGGCGGGTCCTCAAAAAATTTTTAAAAATTACCAAATGATCTAGCGACTCTACTTCTGGATATATATCCCAAAGAATTGAGAGCAGGATCTTGAAGAGATATTTGCACACCCATGTTCACAGCAGCTCACAATAGTCAGAAGGTAGAAGCAACCCAATTGTCCATCAATGGATGAACAAAAGATAAATAAAATGCGGTATAGCCATACAATGGGACATCATTCATCATTTAAAAAGGAAAGAGATTCTGGCACATAAGGACATTACGCTGAGTGCAATGAGACAGTCATGAGACAAATACTGTCTGATTCCACTTATTTGAGCCCTCTAGAGAACTTGAACTCAAAGAAGCAAAGAGGTATGGTGGTTGCCAGTGGCTGAGGAAAAAGGAGAATGAGTTGTGCCTTGGTGGATGGAGAGTTTCAGTTTTATAAGATGAAAACGTTCTGGATGTTGGTTGCACAGTAATGAGAATATACTTTTCACACCAAACTGTAGACTTTAAAATGGTCAAAAATGGTTAATTTTATGGGTATATGTTTACCCCACTTGTAACTAAAATATTTTTAAGTTGGTAAAGGTTGATGTATTTTTAACTTACAAAGCATGCAAGGAGTTTTCTTTATCTTACAAAAATAAAGTTTAAAAGGTTGCTTTAAATTTTTGTGCAATACTTGATTTATCAATGGATTTAATTTATTAATGAGAAGCTCCAAAGATTTCTCCTCACTGATGTAGAGGTAAACTTTCATTTGGCTTAATTTATGAAAACATTCAGAACCTCCTGGATTTTAGGATTTCTTCTTTTCATATAATGCTCTCTCCAGATAAAACATTCTGCCTAATTACCAGCAGCTCATTCAGAGTCTACCTGTATCAAATTCCGTCTCCTTCCCCAAGCTACTTAAAATACTCACAGTTTCCAGGTGGCCAATGGCTGCCACAAGTTTAATGTCTGAAGGCCTCAGAGAGTGGACTGTGAAGACAAGAACCCACATGGCAAGGTCAGATCTATATTCCCCACAATGTAGACCATGGGGTGCAGGGAGCAGACCCTTATCTCACAAGCCTTGCACAGTTGCTGAGGTTCAGTCTATTGCTTTAGGAGTGGAAAGCTGAAGATCAGGCAGTACTGAGAACCATGTTGGAAGAGAGGCTCTCCTCTCTCTGGATGCCATACTGTTACCTGGATGTGGGTTCTCCAAGCAGGTGTCCCATGGAAGGTCATACCTGATCTCCATTTTCCCCTCTCACTTGGTCTTCTGTCTGCCTCTCACTTCCTTCTACCCGATGGCTTAGTATTCATTTCTGGACCACCATTAATAAGAGGGCAGCAGATTAAAATTAAAATCACCTGAGTACCCAATGCTTAACTTAGGCTGGAATAATACTTGTTATGGTTTAGATGTGAGTGTCCTCCAAAAGCTCATATGTGAGACAATGCAAGAAGGTTCAGGAGAGAAACAGTTTGGTTACGAAAGCCTTAACCCAATCAATTAATTAATCTCCAGATGGGATTAACTGAGTGGTAGCTGAAGACAGGTAGGGTATAGCTGGAGGAGATGGGTCAATGGGGGCATGCCCCTGGGGTACATTTTGTATCTGGAGAGTAGAGTCTCTCTGCTTCCTGATCATCATGTGAGCTGCTTCCTTCTGCCATAATGTTCAGCCTCATCTCAAACCCTGAGGAAAGGAGCCAGCTGCCTATGGATTGAGACCTCTGAAACCATGAGCCCTCACATACTTTCCTCCTCTACAATTGTTCTGGTCAAGTCTATTAGTCACAGCAGTGGAAAAAGCTGACTAAAACAGTACCCAAAGCCTGTGAACACACAGAAAGAGCAGATGCACGTTGTATGTAAACGATACCCACGGGAACCTCCTCGACCCACTTGAGTGACCAGCATTTTTAGAAACTATCTCCCTAGAAACCACTGACCAAACTTCCTGCTTGCATTATGGGAGTATTTAAATGTAACCTCCTAAAGATGCCATTTCCTAAAAAGCACACCTGCTTATTTTACTACCCAAGGTCTTTACACAGCATAATAATGAGAACAGCAAGTTTAACTGGAAACACTGATCAAGTCAGTACAGTGTAAGTATACATAAAGCCATTAAACTTAGCCAGCCATTTAACATGGTAAAGCCAGAGAAGGAGACCAGCTCAAGAGCAGCAGTAATAATATCCAGGTATTAGGCAAAGCTAGCTCAGGATAAGGGGAAATGGCTAGAATGGCCACTGCGGCTCCATTACAGAAAATGTGGAAGCCACATGAGTGACAAAGCTCCAACCCACAGCTGCCATGACATTGTCTACCCACAGGGAGGTGAGATCCTAGAGGTTGTTCCAACCAAGAAAGGCACTGTGGCCCCGAATTGCTTTTGTCCCTGAGGTGTGTGTTGGACTCTGTCCCTCCTTAGAAATGGCTGAGGGGGAAACAGGCATTGTATGAGGGACTGAGGATGAAGAGGGAGAATTAAATGGCCAAAAGGTACAAGAAAAGTAGGGTTGGAGACTCTGCTAGCCACATCAAAGAGAAGATGCTGGGCCCTTCCTGCTCGTGGCCAATGGGCACATACCTGATTTAGAAGACGCACTCGATCCGCCTGGGGTGCACAGGATTGGTAAATTCTTCAGGGTCTGCAACTGAAATCAAACATCTGAAACATCAGCTGCCTTATATGGGAGTAGCGCAGGTTTGGAACACTTTGTATAGAAATGACCGCACACTTGTTCTATCTAGGTTCAAAAACCCAGAAGCAACAACTGCCCATGGTCACATTCTTCTAACTCCATACCTGGTTGCCCTGGTGAGAGGAGACAGTGTCTATTGATAATGTTTTAGTAGGTGGCGTATAAGGATGTTCCAGAACAGTAGGGTGGATGGGGGCAGGGAACAGATAATGAAAAAAAATAAAATTTTGCTCTTGGGTTAATGGAGAAGTTCTGGAGATGGATAGTGGCTAACGGATACATAAGAATGTGAGTGTGCTTAATCCCATTGAATGGTACACTCAGAGTTAAAACAATAACTTTTATGTTGTATACATTACTACAATGAAAAAGACATAATTAAGAAATCCAGTACACCTACATTAAATTTTTAAAAATTATTTCTTAAATTTATTTATCATCACTTTCCCTCTTTTATTGTGATTATACAAAAGAAACCATATGAGCCCTTATGTTCATTTTATGCTGAAACCTAGATGAACTTGAAACTGGAAGACTCTTGTGTCCCCATCAGATGGACTGCTGAGAGCGACCAGCACTCACATCCTCAAGGCCACTTGGGCCTCTGCAGGTGCTGCTAAGAATCCAGAGCAGCTTCCGTCTCAGGGAATAACAAAATTTAGGGAAGGGAGATGGTGTATTTTCTCCCCAAATTGAGAGTAGAAGGGGAAATACTCCAACTTGGGAGGGGGGTCAGTTTGCAGTAAATCAAGTGCTGGACCACATCTCAGGACCACAGAAGGACCCAGTGAATTTCTCTTGGTTACAGTAAGAAATACAGCATTTACTCTCATGTCTTATCTTATGGATGGATGTTCTGGGAAGACCTCATCCAGATGCTTTCAGATAACTCACAACATCTGCTTCAAGGCTCACAGAGATAACAAGTCTATTTATAACGCTTGGTGGACACTTCTGGGAATCACCCACTCAGTCTGGGATGATGAGCCCCAAATTCCAGGAGATATGGTTACGCCCTGCCAGGCAGCCACTGTCCTAGGGGAGCAGCTCATCTTGCCCATCCCCTCCAGGTCTCAAGAAGAGGCCATTAACCTGCACCCAGACTTGGATTTGTCCTCTACCAGGAACACACCTCCCACCAGGAATAGCCCTCACCTTGGGCCATTGCTGTCCTTCCAATGTGTTTTCTTCAGGAGAAGAATAGATTTGGGTGGTCCCTTTAATAAAAAAAAAAAAGCAGCAAAAATAGTTCAGATATTTTAGCTGAAATTAACGCCCACTCACCCACCCGTACTTGTGTCTTCCACGCCCTTCCTCCCAGCCCTAACTATGTGCCCAGCTCAATGGTGACCTTTGTATTAAGAAAACCCCAATTCCATTCCTCCTGCCATCAGACACTGTGCTTCCATTAATGGGAACTACAGGGCAGTATCCCAAGTTGAAATGCAAAGGTATTTATTACCTGAGAGGGGTCAGCAATCACACTGTGTCACGCACAAGCACATTATCACAGATTGCCTCGTTGATTCCTTATCAAGAGGCAGAACTTTCCATGAAGGTAATATTGGACAAACTGTTATTGTTTGTGGATCCAGGATAAATCAGGGAAGGCAAAGGACATTCCAGAATAGTCCAAAGGGTGATGTGATCTTAGCAAAGCTAACCATGAAATTTCTAGCAAACACAACTGTACTAAGTACCCAGACAGGGGCTGTGTCCAAGGGTCTTGTTGAATGTGAGGCAAAGGGAGAAGATTCTTGTCCCACTTACTTTGGGCCAGTCTTTTTAAACTTTTTATTTTATTAAAAGTAAAAATTAGGTTTACTTTTCAAATTATAATTTACGTATAATAAATTGGACTCATTTTAAATGTGCAAGTTGTTTTCCCATAAAACATTTAGCTTAACTATATAAGTGGTCAAATTAACAGCACTATAAATAAAGAAAACAAAAAATTACTAACAATGCATTTACTCTCAGCCTCATATGTGACTTCATCTATCTGTTCATAATCTCATGACCACTATTAAACATACTTTTCATTCAGTTTAATCAACATACACACAATTTTGTATCCTGACAGCTTTTTAAAAATGTTTATAGTTGTAGATGGACACATTACCTTTGTTTTATTTATTTGTTTTTATGTGGTGCCGAGGCCCAAACTCAGTGTCTCACACATGCTAGGCAAGTGCTTCCACCACTGAGCTACAACTCCTGACCCCACCAGCTTCCTTTAAATGTTACTTTGTGAGTATCTTTGCTATTACATAATCTTGTACTTATTCCAACTGCTACATGACACATTGATGATCCTGATATTTGATCAACACTTCTGATCTGCTCTGAATTCTCTCCACCTGGTTTTCCCTTACAAGGGAAAAAAACCCCAAAGGGCATCACACAATACCTCAGGAAAGCATTGACTTGGGGACAAGGCTTGATTTCTTTTCCATTCCAGCCTTCTTCTGCAGTTTTACTTTTTGACCCTGAAAATAATTTATCTAGTGTTTCATGAGGAGAGGCAGTACATTTCTATTTTCTGCCCACTGTGAGGTCAGGCCCTTCTTCCCCAGGGAAGCTGACCCAAGGAACAATGGCCGTAACCTGTCTCCAGATCTCAGTGATCCTTTTGAAATTCCCAGAAGCAAGCTTTCTGAGCAGAAAGAGCCCCACGATGGGAAAGTATAACGGTGTGGACAAGTTCAGAGTGCTGGAAAAGGCTGGAACACAGGGTTTGTAACTGCAGCACAGGGAAGAGTGGGCAGGGTAGACGAGGCTGCCCAGACAGACTGTAGAGACAGGGCTGTAGAGTCACAGATGCCAGGCTAGCCCAGGAGTGACTGAGAGCCCTAACTGCTCTGAAGAAATGACTTTAAGGTGTATTTTAAGATGATCATCACTTTGGGCGTAGCAGGTAGATGAGTTATCAGGGCAGAGATTAGAGACTATTTTGGTAATATTTAGATAAAAATACAAATGGCAGCCATCACTTTCATACAGAACTCTCTGTACCAGGCACTGTTCTAAGCACTTACACAAAACAATCCATTTAATCTTCACAACAATTTTGAGACAAATACCATCATCCCATCTTACAGATAGGATAGTGAAGCCCAGAATGTTAAGTGGCATTTTCAAGGTGCTACTGCTAGCAAATGGTGACTAATGGACTTGGAAATGGTAATCTGACTGATCCAGCTCCAGGGGTCCTGCTTGGAATCAACAAGCTAAGTGCAAGCCCCATGCCCAAGATCTATGCCGTGGCTGGCCAATTCTGTCTACAAAGGCCATCTAGTCCATATTTTGGGTTTTGTAGACCACAGAGCCTCTGTTATAACTAATCAGCTCTGCTACTGTATTATGAAAGCAGTCATAGGCCATGTGTAAACAAATTAACTTTATTAATGGGACTACAACTTGGATTCCAAAGAAATTTCAGGTGTCATTAAATTATTTATTTCAGGTGTCATTAAATTATTTATTTTAGCAACCAATTGAAGATGTAGAAACCTTTGTGGCTATTAACAAAAATGGAAAAGAATGCATATATGGAGGGGCAAAAGACCCAGAATGGCCAATGTAATGTCAAAGGAGAACAAAGTGAGAAGACTGATCCTATCCAATTTTAAGACTTGCTATAAAGCTATGTTAATCACACAATGTGATATTGGCATAAGAAAACATGAATAGATCAATTTGAACAGAACAGGGAACCCGGATAGACTTACATAAATATAGTTAACCTTTCTTTGATAAAAAGCAAAGGTGCCAGGAGCAGTGGCACCCACCTAGAATCCCAGCAACATGAGAGACTGAGGAAGGAGGATCTCAAGTTCAAGGCCATCCTTAGCAATTTAGTGAGAACTTGTCTCAAAATAAAAATTAAAAAGGGCTGTGGATGTAGCTCAATGGTAAGGCACCCCTGGGTTCAATCCCTAGTACCAAATAAATAAATAAATAAGAAACAGCAGGGTTGGGGTTGTAGCTCAATGATAGAATGCTTGCCTCTCATGCGTGAGGCACTGGGTTCAATCCTCAGCACCATATGAAAATAAATAAATAAAATATATTGTGTCCATCTAAAAATAAATAAATAAATAAATAAGAAACAGCAAAGGCAACACAGTAGAGAAATGCTTTAACAAATGGTGTTGGAACAACTGGATGCAGACATGCAAAAAAGGAGAAGAATTTAAAGATCACTTTTAGCTTTGGGGTTATATCAAATTATGCAATAGATTGGATTTGGCCCAGGGGCCACAGTTTGCCAACCAACTCCTGATCTAGACTACTACTGAAAGGAGGTCATACAGGTGAAACCAGAGGATGGCATCGCTGGTGATTAGCACCAGCCCCCTCAGGGTGGGATGGTCAAAGTGAAATTGTGAATTCCATAGACTGAACAGTGAACACCAAAACCTAAACAGGCAGCTCTTATATCTAAACACAGCAAGAAGGACCCGGAGAAGGGCTTATGGGAGCTTCCTCAGTACCTTCAGGACTAGGTACCAAGGGCACTTGCCTTGATTATGTGGCCCCCAAACCAGGCTGGGCCAGCAGAGACAGGCCACCACTTGTCAGAATAGCTGGAGCTACTCAAACAAGAAGGCACTATCCAGGGTACTGGTCCACACAGGTGCCAGGAATCATGGTGCACATGTGGCACACATAGAGGGAGAGGTTAAAAGTTTAGACACCCTTGGACTTGTCAACCTCAGTTTCCTCACCTATAAATTGAACCTGGTAATACCTTTCTCATGCACTTGTGAGAACTAAATGCATGTAAACACATAGCACAGTGTCTGACACACAGAAAGATGTACTAATTGGTAATTATAGTCATTATAATCTTAGCATCAGAGGCGGCTGACATGGATAATCTTTCAGCTCCTTCCAGCCTCAGTATTCTGGGATTTCAAGTTAAATGCTCCAGAGTCCCTGTGTTTAACTTGATGGTGTGAGTCATGCATGCTAACTGCCCTGGGATGTCACAGAGGCTCTACCTGGAATCTGAACAGGAGTGTCCAGACCTGAAAACCCAAGTGGATACTTAGGGCTCTTCAATTATGTCCCCACTGACTCTTAGAAAGACTTGGGTCCCATTCCCATTCTCTGTTCCTACCAGGTATATGGGAAGAAAAATTCTTGCTTGTTTCCATAGTACCCTGAGACACTGTGGAAGAAATTATCAAAACACTTGTGGCATCATTGAACCCAAATCACAAGACCCCAAGGGAACTCTTCAAGCTCATGAATCTATGAAGGGCTTTGAGCTCCTTGAAAAATCTCCACCTCAGTAATGTCAGCAAGGGAAAAATACATGTATTTTTCCACTCTAATGGCAATGAAAGAGAAAAACACCTGTGCACACTCAGAGGAACACCTGGCTGAGCTCAGTCATCCAGGTAGCACAGAGCTGCTACCTCAGGGTCTGAAACTGAAAAAGAGCCATTACAGCACCTGACCCGAGACACACTTTCTAAAGCAGTGTCTGTTGACCCCTCCCCAGCTGCCTGGACCACCCCTCCACAGATTCAGATTTGATTGACCTGGGTGGGACCTGGGTGAGCTGTGCATGGGCAGTTTAAAAAGTCCTTCAGGTGACATTCATGAGCTTCTAAGGTTAAGAGCCTGACTTTACGAGGAAACCCAAATTGTTTAGCCCAGCAGCTGGCCAGAGATGGGCGGGGTAATTTCACAAACCAAATTAGAGCAGCACATGCTGTCTAATTTGTAGATTCCCTTGATGTTTGTCCACTTATTTTGTGTCCGGAGCACAGTTTTCCTCCCTTGAGCCCTTCCTTGAGGAAGGACAGCCACTTGCTGACCTTGGTCAAGGATTTCATCCTCACCTATAAATGGAGTGAGACTTCCCTGCCTTCTTCCTGGGGTTGTTGGGAGGATCAAAGATCAGAAAACTGCTGTGGAAGCAGGAGAGGGCAGTCGGGACACTCGGGAGGTGCCTGGTCTTCCTGGATGAACAGAAGGTGCGTCCCCTGGGCACTAGGGAGGGAGGCCAAGGACAGTACCATGGAACTGAGGTCATGCCTCAGTGCACAATAAATTCTTGGGTCCTTTGTGAAGGGTAATGACCTCACAGCGACTCTAGAGGCAGGGTTTATGAACCTCTTGGCATTTTTAGAGACTCAGAGAGGCCACAGGCTCCCAGAAACCAAGGGGAGGGCAGGCCTCAAGCCCGCACTGCCATCCGCTA